ACAATAGGAAATTGTATACAATTTAATAGTATTTACGTGTGGTTTTTTGGCTATTTTCGGCACATCGTATTAAGCATCTTATAATATAAAGTTAATCTGCATTTGTGTTAAGTTTTACTCCAAATCGTCAGTCCCTAGAGCGTCAGGCCCTAGCTTTAAACGGCACTTGGGACTAAATTACTAGTTAGGGAATTATGTTTTTTATATAGTGATAATAACAAAACAACTATATTATGTATATTAACTTATCTGTAAATGTTAAGGTTATAAGTTTTATACTTTATTAGAAGTCATATAGGAGTAATGTACTATGAAAAAATTGAAAATTATAATTTCTCCTAAAATAAAGCATAAAGTGACTGGCCCTTTTAGACATAATTAATTAATAACCTATAATTTACACTAATAAAGTATTCAAAAGCATCTTAAAAAAGTCACGGACAAAATGACGTCGAAAATATACAGATTTTCATGGAATGACCCTTATGTAAATTATAACAAAAATGTCAATGTTCAGTTTTAAATTAAAACAAATTAATTTCATTTAAAAAAGTTTTCACATTGTAATTAACAATATTCTCAAATATATTTTAATTAAGAAAAAAATGAAAATATGAAGGAAACAGGATCAGCGACATCTACAGCGTTTTAGGGCAGTTAAAAAGTATTTGAATTTATTCACCGATGTCGCTGTTTGGAAGCAAGTTTCACTTCGATGACCGTTGTATGGAAGTTTCTACACCCTGCTATTACCATGAAGCTAAAGATACGTGCTCTGTGGTTTTGACTTAAAAAAAAAACACTAGAGATGGGATTTGGGGGGAAAGAAATATAAATGGCATCGAGCAGAAAAAAAAATGTAAGGAGAGGGCATTGACCATTTCTGATTTCTAGGTCAGCATTGCATTGTGCCATTACGTGCGCGTCGCGGCGCAAATGTAGAAGACTAGGGTGTAGACCAAAGAATACTCATACTCCAAGTGTAGTCATCTGCAGGTCTCCAGCTTCCTCATTGGCCCTAGAGCAATTCCAAGTATACAGGGTGTTTGGCGCATCGTGTGCCAAAATGATTTGGTGGATAGAATAGGTCATTTCCTATATTTTCAGCCCCCATAACACGTTGCATGCCAGGCGGCTACTTTTATATTTTTTTTTTTAGTAATTTCACCAAAATACCCAAATCGCATCATTTAATTTCTATTTGAAAAAAAACTACTAGGCGTAACCTCAAAGTAAATATTTTGTTTTAACGTGCATTGATGTAGGGTTGCATCAAATCTAAATTTACTGGCAAATATCATCTAGTTTTTTTAAAATTCAGCTTTGAAGTTTTCCGAAAAGTTAAAAATGGACTGAATATTTAAGTTTACATGGCTATAATTTTTTTTTAAAAGAGATAGCGATCTTCGGATTTTATCAAAACTTCTCTAGTCTATCCCCATTCAAACGGTATACTAATCTTGTTTAAATAATAACAACAACTTCACAAATTCCTTAAATTAGTGCATTTGTTATAGTCAAACCTCGAAGTTCCGGCACACCTAGGTTTGACTAGTCAATCCTCAGGTCTGACTAGAAGTCTTAGTCAAAGCCCAAACATTTCGGCCTTTGACTAAAGAATGTCAGTCAAACCTGGGAGTAACTAATTTGGTTAGGCAAACGTCGAAACTCAATTTAATGAAATCGGGGTTTGACTAGTCAAACCTCAATTAAGACTTTAAACTAAACTATACTTTATTCTGATCTCGAATTTATTGCAAAGGCGTTACGGTCGGTTCTTTAGGTGAAGGTACGAAAAACTAAAACTATTTACTGAGGTTGTTTTTCAGTGTTTCTAGACCGATCTTGAAATTACTAATTTTTAGGGTTCTGTTACCTTAAATTTGAAGGTAACAGAAGGTCCTTTATTAAGGCTTAAAGGATAAAGAGTTAAAACGGGACCCTATTACTATGACTTCGCTAAATTTTGTCTGTCACCAGGCTCGTATCTCATGAATCATTTTCAAAAGATTTAGTTTTTTATTCACTTTAAAAATAAATAAATCAATAAAATACATAAATATTTAAGGGAGGCTCCTATACAGCAAACTTTTTGCAGTTTTTTGCTCGAATTTAAATTAAAACGTAAACAGGTGAACCCTTGAAATATTCACATAATATCTACTTTAAAAATAAATCATAAAATTAAAATAAAAGAAATATTAAAAGGGGGGCTCCCATACAAGAACAGAGTCGCACGGAACCCTTCGTAAGCGAATCCGACTCGCACTTGGCCGGTTTTCTATTTGCTGTTTACTTCTGACCGAGTCTGCCAGTCGTTTCTAGGATTGACTAGGCAAAGCCCGAAGCAGATTATTTTAGTTTCGACGTTTGACTGAACAGTTTAGGCACTTCTAGGTTTGACTTAGTCAAAGGCCGAAATCAGAAATCACTTCGGGGTTTGCCTGAAGGCCTTATGTTGATGCAGCATTTATGTGAAAGCGCTCCGACCAGGGCCGGATTAACCATATCGGGGCCCCTAGGCACAGCTCGTTTCGGGCCCCCCTTTTTCATACCACAACAACGCAATTTGGAAATTTTTACTGTCTACATTACGAAATAGAATGAAGGATTTTTTTTATGCATAACAAGGCAGTTATTTGACCACAATTGCACCTGATGTTAAGTGGGATGCAGTCTAGGATGGTACATATCTGCCCTGTAAGTGCCTATGCACTCTCGCCTTGAAAAGGCCCGGATTATAGTCTTCGGGAAAGACAGCAGCAGGCAGCGAATTTTATTCCAGTCCCTAGCGGTTCGCATTATAAGAGTCATCGAGACGCTTAGTGCGAGCTGGTGGAATGTCAACAATATAGGCGAACCTGCGTCTGGTTCCCCGATGATGGAAGGGGGCTGGTGGAATTAGTTTATGTAGGTAATTCTTTCTCACATTATCCGAAGTGTAGCCTGTAAAACGCTTCGACAAGGGTGGGGCTGTCAATAAGTCGAAGGTTTCCACCGAATCCAGAGCAGCCAAATGTTTCTTGGCAGAGCCATCCCAGAGGTGGCAGCAGTATTCGATGTACTCTCCAAAGTTCAACTTGCTGGATATTTCAAGGCCCAAAAGTTGCAGTCGCTCGGTGATTTTAACAGGCACACCTCGGAGCTGAAGTGGCAATGGGCAGGGCACATAGTGCGCAGAACTGACGGCCGATGGGGCAGCAAGGTTCTGGAATGGAGGCCGCGTACCGGAAGGCGCAGCGTGGGACGTCCACCTACAAGGTGGACCGACGACATCGTGAAGGTAGCAGGGAAGCGCTGGATGCAGGCCGCTACCAATCGATCAATGTGGAAAGCATTAGGGGAGGCCTATGTTCAGCAGTGGACGTCCTATGGCTGACATGATGATGATGATGATGACCTCGGAGTCATAAGGAATGGACTTCGTTTGGCGGAGAACAGACACGACTGTGTTTTTGACGCGTTAAATTGGACCAGATTGGCATCGCCCCAGGTACCATCATCATCAACAACGGACTTCAGTCATCACATTGCAAAGGTATACGCCTTCCTTCAAGTGAAAAGCCTTGCCACAATCTACAGGACGAAGTATCGGAGTATCGAAACAAAATGAAACACAGAATAGGAAATCTAGGAATCTTGCATAATTATTTTTATAAAACTGACATAAACATAAAAAAACCGACTCCAAAAAACCTGCACTAAAAAGTAGAAAATAATTACATTAATTAATTTATTAGGACAAATGTACCACATGATTGATATTCTCGGAGTCGGTGCCAGCCGTTTGTTGCTCTTTAAGACTATCCTAGGTTTTCGACTTCGACGGAGTTGTGCTTAAGTGGTGGGGCCCCCCGAAAGGGGCATTTTTGCGGTTTTACGGTTATGCGGTGTAAAGGACTTGCAGTATCGAAAAAAAATGATGTTCATGACGATTGAAGGGCAATCCTGCATTGAATAAGACCAAATTCATATATTTTGGACAAACCGTTCTTGTGCCTATCATGGACAAAATAGAAAAAATACGTATTTAATGATCCTCTCTACGTCCAATGGCTCGTCACCCCGCAAGCTCCAAAGCCTTGAAAAGGGCCACTTTAACCAGCATATTCCTGCCTCGCGAGTTGGATTCGTCTATCCTTAATCATCCCAGCCGTTTCTTAACTACGGTTCTTGCACCCCTTCCTTGCACTCTCTTGAACGACTCTGTGTTATCTACTGTGGCTGCCCCTCTTTCTTGCACCCTCCTGCACTACTGCGTTGAGAAGTCTTACAGCTGGTCCAAGGTTCGACTCCAAAAATGGGCGACAAGCTATTGGACGTAGAGAGGATCATTAATTATACGTGTATTTTCTACTTTGTCGAAGAACAGTCAATGTCAAAGTCTAACATTAAATGCAGGATTGAATGTCTTTCAACCGTCATGAAGATCAGTTTTCGATACAGTAAGTCCTTTACGCGGTATAACAGTAAAACCGCAAAAATGGCCATTTCGAGGAGCCCCACCACTTAAGCACAACTCCGCCATTAAAACAATAAAATCTTTTGTAGGAATTATTTCCGATTTAAAATCTAATTCTACTGGCCTAAATGTTACGAAAATGAATTAAGTTGCACAATATCGAAATATGAAGAATGAATGTGTAAACCAAAATAGGGCGAAGTTTTGAGGTGGTTTGAGTTTTGTTGCATAAAAATAATCTTTAACATATTTTTCTTTTAATTTTTTAATTGGGAGTGCTGGGCCCCTGGTCATAATGGGCCCCTAGGCACTGGCCTAAAGTGCCTTATGGATAATACGGCACTGGCTCCGACTGTAAATAATATTATTGTAACATGTGTAGTGTCTATTTATTGGACGACTCTCGAACTTCCCAGTGATGGACGTTCTCTTTTGTTAATGTTATCGAGGGATCTCCAAGGAATGATTTGTTGTTCTAATGCATAACTAGTTTGTTATTTAAGGCTAATGTTAATTACATCACCTCGCATTTTTTGCAGAACTCAAAAAGACAACTAGATCTTATTTTTTGTAAATGTTCGTCTATTTTTTTACCTTTCTAACGAATTCTTGTCTTATTGAAGCTTTGAGATGTAATACTATACTTTGTGAATATAATTATTGTGTCTATTCTGTTATTGTTCGACAAATTCTGACAAAAAGACTTCCATAATATATCAGCAGTATTTATTGAATATTTACAAGAATACAATTGATGTGATCAATTTACATGTGTGTATTTTTTATGTCCTTATAATAAACTTTGGCACTGGTTGTTGCGTAGAGATCGTAAAATAAAGAGTAGTTTTAGGTGCGTATTACAGAACAGAGATCAAAAAGCACAGATTGAGGCCTTTGATTGGTCGAATAGACATGTTGACACCACCAATTAATTGACGTACTTTTTAAAACTGACAAAACGAAACTCTCCCATAGATTTTTTATGTCACTACGAGCAAGTGACGTCACTGTTTTGTCAACTCAAACTACTTTTTTCAATTACAATGCGACCAAAAATCGTAATTTACAGGTAATTTAAAATTAATTAAGTTTTTAAGACCAGAATGAAGTGTCTTTTTAGAAAAGTTGTGATTTCGAATTATTGGAGAATGGTGTCAAATTGTCCATTACATCTAGGTATTAGACCAATCACAGGGCATTAATGTCTTGAGATTGAATCGAGTTTCGAGCGTAGTTCTGTGATACGGGCCTTATGTATAGTTGTTGCGATGTTTAGCGCGCGCCGGCGTCGGGGATGCGCATGCGCTGATAGATCTCTGGGATGTCGTAGTCTATGGTGTCGACGCCGCCCTTCGTTGGCTTCTTGCCTGCAGGTTTATGAACAAAAAATATTGTAAATGCAGGGTTAATAAAATACGCGACACGTCATCTTTTCGAGACATTTTATAAATATTGTTTTCCAAACATTGTCGTCTAAAACAATTTTATCGTAGTGCGTATTTTAACCCGGCCGCGGGTCAAATTGAAAGATGCTATTGAAAACCTATCGGAAATATTTTTGTTTCCTTCATTTTTTCCTAAGATCTTATGAAGTAGGAGCTGTTAACAAATGCGTACCTACCTGACCAATCCCACCAGCCACCGATGGCCATACCAATCTCGCGGTTATTGTTATAAGGGACAATGGACGAAGAGTAGATAACTTGTCAAGAATAGGGATGATGACTGGGTAATGAAATCGAAATTCTATTTAATCCGTCAGACAGATCATTAGAAAATATTAGACTCTATCCATAATCGAATAATTACAGTATTATATTGAGTTGAAATGTCGCGTGACGTCACTTTTGAGTAAAAATTCTACTCAAGCGTGACGTATCGCGCCATTTCAACTCGATGTAGCACTGTTATTATTTAATTATGAAAGAAAATAAGAAATATGAGTCTAATATTTTCTAATTATCTGTCTGACGGACAAACAATTGAAATTTTGTCATCTAGCCTATTGTGTACCTGGCCAGCCAGAGGCGTTGGCCCCGCACGCGAGGCACCTGCAGTTGTTGGGCGAGGCCACGCGGTGCTTCTGCCGCGAGCCGTCCGCGCACGCGAGCCAGATGTCCACGGAGCCGTAGCTCGTGGCCGTGCAACACTCGCACTTGGAGTCGTGAATATTAAGCTGTTTGCATTAATATGAATAAGGGTCTTGACTTACTTGACTTATGGTCCTATGTCCCCTAGATGGGGCAGAGGGCGTCCACAACAGTCCTCCATCGCGTTCGGTCTTGAGCTTCTCGCTTGATCTCGCTCCAGGTCTTGCCGATCTTCTTCGCCTCGTCCGCTACAGTGCGCCGCCAAGCTTGCCTGGGTCGACCACGTTTGCGTTTTCCTTGGGGATTCCAACCCAGAGCCTGCTTAGGGATGTGATCGGGGTCCCTTCGGAGAGTGTGGCCAATCCAGTTCCACTTGATCTACCCTTATTCATGACAGTGAATAAGGGTATTAATTAGTATTTACCTGGCCAGCCAGAGGCGTTGGCGCCGCACGCGAGGCACCTGCAGTTGTTGGGTGAAGCCACGCGGTGCTTCTGCCGCGAGCCGTCCGCGCACGCGAGCCAGATGTCCACGGAGCCGTAGCTCGTGGCCGTGCAACACTCGCACTTGGAGTCGTGGATATTAAGCTGTTTGCATTAATATCATCATCATCATCATGTCAGCCATAGGACGTCCACTGCTGAACATAGGCGTCCCCTAATGCTTTCCACGTTGATCGATTGGTAGCGGCCTGCATCCAGCGCTTTCCTGCTACCTTTACGATGTCGTCGGTCCACCTTGTAGGTGGACGTCCCACGCTGCGCCTTCCGGTACGCGGCCTCCATTCCAGAACCTTGCTGCCCCATCGGCCGTCAGTTCTGCGTACTATGTGCCCTGCCCATTGCCACTTCAGCTTGCTAATCCGTCGGGCTATGTCAGCGACTTTAGTTCGTTTACGGATTTCCTCATTTCTGATTCGATCTCGCAAAGAAACACCAAGCATAGCCCTCTCCATAGCACGCTGTGCAACTTTGAGCTTCTGTATAAGGCCTATAGTGAGAGGCCACATTTCCGAGCCATTGCATGAATATGAATAAGGGTATTAGTATTTACCTGGCCAGCCTGAAGCGTTGGCGCCGCACGCGAGGCACCTGCAGTTGTTGGGCGAGGCCACGCGGTGCTTCTGCCGCGAGCCGTCCGCGCACGCGAGCCAGATGTCGACCGAGCCGTAGCTCGTGGCCGTGCAACACTCGCACTTGGAATCGTGGATGCCCGTCACTGGATGATAGATACTTAATTTAAAACAATTTATCTACACTAATATTACCTTTAAAGAGGAAAACTTTGTTTATTTGTTTGATTGTAATGAATAGGCTCAAAAACTACTGGACCGTTTTTAAAAATTCTTTCACCATTCGAAAGCTACATTATCCACGAGTAACATAGGCTACATTTTATTTTGGAAAAAATAGGGTTCCGTAAAATATTTGGGTTTTTCGGAGTCCACGCGGGCAAACCCGCTGGCGGAAAGCTAGTTAATGATAAATGCTTCTTTTGGAACAATTTGTAGAATTATTAACACGCGATGACACGCTTGTCAAAAATTGTATTGAGATTGATAGGAATCGGTGAGTGTGTTTCTGCTGCCACTTCTTCTCAGCATCAGCCGATATGGTGTTCTGAAGTGGTGGTAGAGCGAGCTATATTTAGGACGTGTATAGTGTCCTAAAAAAGGCTTACATACTCATAGAGCAAAAATTCGCGAATAAAGTAAAATTGAACTGAAACTCGATTGGAAAATGCTATATCACCGAGCGGGCAACACTTGTTTTAATGCCTGAAATAATGATTTCCACAAATACATCCAGGCACCTCCCGCGACCTTCACCAGATCGTCAGTCCACCTCGTGGGGGGCCTGCCCACGCTACGTCTTCCAGCCCGTGGTCGCCACTCGAGAACTTTTCTGCCTCAGCGGCCACCATCTCTACGAGTTCTGATTCGATCACGCAGGGAAACTCCGAGCACAGCACGCTCCATCGCCCTTTGGGTGACCTTGAGCCTTCTTTATACAGGGTGGAATTTATATATATTAATACTGTAAATAGAAAATTTTGCTCAAAGGAAACATTCCTTAATTTAGGAAAAGAAATAGAACTGCATTCAAAGATTTCTAAAAATTTGCTTGCCATACCCGGGAATCGAACCAACTAAAATTTGTTAAAAATTACAACCTGTATTTTTATTGCATCGATCGTTAGAGTTAAGTATAAGGATGAAATCTCTCTAACAAACTTGATAAATCAAATGAAAGGAAAACCTTGAATTCTTAAATTATTTTTATTTATTTACAGAAAATTGTATGGTATGGTGGTGAATATTCGAAAAATTTTACAAAATCTTTGAATGCAGTTCTCTTTCTTTTAAAAAATAAAGGAATGTTTTCTTTGAGTAAAATTTTCTATCCACATTATTAAGAGTACTTTCCCTCCAGGTGGCATTACAAAATTCCACCCTGTATACCGTTGTTATCGGTATATCGTATATCTCCACATCTCCGTTACTCACCGTTATTATACAGCGTGCCGGAGTCGCATGACCCGCGGCACTCGTAGAAGCCGACGAGCGGGCGGTCGTTGTAGCACGCGCCGTGCGGTTTGAGCACCGCGCGGATGGCACCAACCGAAGCCGGGCCCGCCAGAAGGGTTGGGGTACACGTACCTATGAAACATATGCTTGTCACTGTGTGTGCATACAAATGTACAAACGTTTTTGTAAAGTGAAACCTGGCGTGAAAAAAGAAATTGTAAAAGTTTTTGTAAAAATAGACTATTTAATGTGGAGTACCTAAATAAATATTAGCAAATAAAGTAGGAGTATTGAGTTCTCCTGACGTACGCCAAAAGGCCTAAGTATACGAATGGCAAATAGAAAACATTATATTTGTTAATATCCTGTCACACAGGTTTTGTGCATCTTCACAAACATTTTGACACGTCTGTGACCGACATCACAATAAAAATACAACATGCAAGGTGTAAAGGAGATTTTCGGTGATCAGTCCAACCAATCGGCCCAATCATTCTTAAAATATAAATGGTGTTATCAGTCCTTTATGTTTTTAGATGATTAATAGTTGCCTAATATCGCCATGGGCTTCTTCTTGCAGACCTGGCAGCAGGTGTTATGCAGCAAGGCTACTCCGAAACGCTACTTACTTTTGGGTCTATCTGTCACTGTCACTCATGCTGGGATCTCGCTTTGCGTGAGAGGGATGTCAACAGTCAAAACCTCATAACGTTTTTCGGAGTAACCCCGCAGTTGTCGACAGTTCCATGTTGTAGTTGCCTAAGATCACAAATAACTTACTCAGCGCCATGGGTTTCTCCTTGCAGACCTGGCAGCAGGTGTCGTTGACCAGGTCTTTGGGACTACAGTCCGACACATCGGGACACGTCTCGCGCGCTGACGTCACCAGCAGGTCGTCGCCGAGCTTCTCGCAAATGTACGTTACGCAGAAGGGCTACTCCGAAACGCTACTTACTTTCTGGTCTATCTGTCACTGTCACTCATGCTGGGATCTCGCTTTGCGTGAGAGGGATGTCAACAGTCGAAATTTCATAACGTTTTTTAGAGTAATCCCGCAGTTGTCGACAGTTCCATGTTGTATAGTTCCAAAATACTGAACTGTCCTGCATGACATTGACAGTGGGGCGCCACCGTCAATACCGAATCGCTGGTTCCGAGTTTTGCCATGTTGGAAACCATATAGTTGAACGATGGTAGCGCCCCCCTGTCATTGAGTTTGGTGGGACAGTTCAGCGTGGGTCATCTATAGTTGCCTAAGATTACAAATAACTTACTCAGCGCCATGGGCTTCTCCTTGCAGACCTGGCAGCAGGTCTCGTTGACCAGGTCCTCAGGGTCACAGTCCGAGACGTCGGGACACGTCTCGCGTGCTGACGTCACCAGCAGGTCGTCGCCGAGTTTCTCACAAATGTACGTTACGCAGCAGGGCTACTCCGGAACGCTACTTACTTTCTGGTCTATCTGTCACTGTCACTCATGCTGGGATCTCCCTTTGCGTAAAAGGGATGTCAACAGTCGAAACTTCATAACGTTTTTCGGAGTAACCCTGCAGTTATTGGCACAGTTCCATGCTGTAGTTGCTTAGTATAAACAATAACTTACTCAGCGCCATGGGCTTCTCCTTGCAGACCTGGCAGCAGGTGTCGTTGACCAGGTCCTCGGGGTCGCAGTCCGACACGTCGGGACACGTCTCGCGCGCTGACGTCACCAGCAGGTCCTCGCCGAGCTTCTCGCAAGTGTATGTTGTGCAGTTGTCAGCGGAGTACCACGTTGTGCCTGATGAATGGATTAAAAAACTTTATTATTACAAAATGTTGGGAAGGTTCATTCATATTTTTTATTGAGTTTTTAAATAAAAAAGAAAAATTTAGAATACTTTTGCCTAAACGACCTGTAAATTCAGTAGGTTTTCAAATCAGTGCGGAAGTTTTATAACACAATAAGTATGCTCCCATTTTAATTTGGTACAACATGTTAGTGGCAATACGAGATTTCAAATAATCTTTAGTTACGGAAGACAAAATCAAAATATCAAAGCTGTGACGTCTCTTAATGCCTCCTATAAAGTATCCTAACCTGGCTGCACCAGCTCGTCGTCCAGCAAGAACTTCTTCTGTACACAGCGGCAGCAGCAGACGCCAGACGGCGGTGCACGGTAGCCCCAGCCGCGATTGCATTTTACGCGAGCAAGTTTCTACACTGGCCGCATGTGTTAACCGCTCTGTGACGTCGCTTAATCCCTCCCCTAGTGTCCTAACCTGGCTCCACCAGCTCGTCGTCCAGCAAGCACTTCTCCTGCACGCAGCGGCCGCAGCAGACGCCAGGCGACGGCGCGCGGTAGCCCCAGCCGCGCTTGCATTCATATGAACACGTTTCTACACTGGCTGCGTGCGTCAACCGCCCTGTGACGTCTCTCAATCCCTCCTATAAAGTATCCTAACCTGGCTCCACCAGCTCGTCGTCCAGCAAGCACTTCTCCTGCACGCAGAGGCCGCAGCAGACGCCAGGCGGCGGTACGCGGTAACCCCAGCCGCGCTTGCAATCATGTGAACACGTTTCTACACTGGCTGCGTGTGTTAACCGCCCTGTGACGTCGCTTAATCCCTCCTATAAAGTATCCTAACCTGGCTCCACCAGCTCGTCGTCTATCAAGCACTTCTCCTGCACTCACGCGAGCACGCTTCTACACTAGCTGCGTGTGTTAACCGCCCTGTGACGTCGCTTAATCCCTCCTATAAAGCATCCTAACCTGGCTCCACCAGCTCGTCGTCCAGCAAGCACTTCTCCTGCACGCAGCGGCCGCAGCAGACGCCAGGCGGCGGCGCGCGGTAGCCCCAGCCGCGCTTGCATTCATATGAACACGCTTCCACGCTGGCCGCATGTGTTAACCGCCCTGTGACGTCGCGGGAACACGTCAAGTTCTTGCACGGGTCGTCTGAAGGCCAGGTCTGGCCCTCCTGTAAAGGTTTAATAATAAAAAGTGTTACTAAGCACCGGACGACGTAATGTATTTGACGCGGACATAAGTAGACGTGTCGAGGCGAGCGCCAAAACTACTGAACGGATTTTGATGAAAATTTGCAGTATTATTGTTTATAACCCAGAATAACATAAAGGCTATAATTTATGACGATCTGTGACAAACTAAATTTCACGCGGGTGAAGTAGCGGGCATATTATATTTCATTCTTAGCGTTAAGAGCAGGGGGGACGCTACATAAAAATGTATTTTTCCCCACCCCCCTTTGATCAGACTGACCCCTCCCTCTTCTCTAGGATTAGAACCTGGGTACGCCTGCCTGTGGGGTGGGGTGACGTAATATAGCATCGCAGTAGTTGTGAAAAGCCTTTCTCCTTTGCTCAGCGCCATCTAGTTGCAAACCAAGCAAATTCAAATTCAAAACATGTGATTGTAGCAACTAGATAAATTAATAATCTATGAGGATATTAAAAACACATTTAAATTACATGAAAGACAAACAAACAAATACCATTAATTTATTAGATGTAAAAGTCTTCATATGAGTCCTAAAACTCATAATAATGCAACCAACAAAGGCAACAAACGAAACGATCACAAAAAGATTAAAATACATAGGTACGAAACAACGAAATAATAATACATAAAATGTATCTGCATTAGTTCTCAACCTTGAGCTAAAATTAAACAATGAGAACATAATATTAAAATTAATAACAATAATAACAAGTACCTATAGCAAGTATAACAAGTATTATGTACCAGTGGCGCCACCATACGTTAAAAAATGTTTCCTATAGCCTCGCTAGATGGCGTAGCGCTCGCGCTGCCCCGCGGTGTGTGAGTATTTTTTCCGTTCCTTAAAGCCCCCGAGAGACTTGGTGTCGTCACTCTGGTTTCCCTTCACTACGAATAAATCTTTCGCCTTTTACTAAAGATTTCCGTGGAGGGGAACACTCAAATGAGTCTAACTCTATTTTTGACACCTTGCCTCGTGCAAGGTATAGAATTTACGAACATGCTGCGTTTACACTGCGCGGAAAGCAGCAACAGAATAGCTGGTTCTCCCAAGCTTTCATACGTATCACGAACTTTTATTACCACTTGCTAGTTCGAAATCATTTACGAGGTAACGTTGGCCAGCTTACAATAAAAGTAATTAGGATAAAGGCGGACCTCCTGTATTTATTCAAAACATCTTATAAAATGTGGGCGTGGCCTGTTTTGTGTATAAAAAAAACATGTTTACCGCGACAATTTGCTTGTAATAGCGCAGTTACACTATGCGGGAAATTGATCGAGACAGAGTGTAAACACGCATTTCAGTTAATTTCGCCGTGGATCACCCATATTGTGTGATTGTGTGCCTATTTGCTATTCTGTTCGATCAATTTCCCGCAGTGTACCTGCGCCATAACATTTTGTCTGGCCCAATAAATCAACTCCACACAATTGATGCACATGACAATCTGTTCCATCTTGGGTAAAACTAAAAATAGCGTTAAATAATATTTTTACACATGACAAAAACACACGGGGGATATTCGTTCCGCCGTGGGTAAAAAGTTAATTAGTTTTTTTTAATGCAAAATAAGGCAGGTATTTGACCACAATCGCACCTGATGTTAAGTGGGATGCAGTCTAGGATGGTACATATCTGCCCTGTAAGTGCCTATTCACTCTCGCCTTGAAAAGGCCCGGATTATAGTTTTCGGGAAAGACAGCAGCAGGCAACGAATTCCAGTCCCTAGCTGTCCGCATTATAAAAGAGTCATCGAAATGCTTAGTCGTAAAATAAGTTTCGTACCTGGTAGACCTTGTTGCCAACTCGACAAGCCACTGGCTCCTGTTTCTTGCAGCACTGTCCGGGCGGGATGTCTTCATTCAGTACGAACTGCTTGCGGACGGCTTCCGGGACATCGGGGCAAGACTCGTTGGAGCTTTGCACTTGGAGCTGGGAATAGAAGGCGATTTTAAAGCGAGTTTTAGAAAAATAATCGGGTTTTTTACTCGAGCAGTCAATTTTGAATGAATTATAGTAGCTCTGAGTATGGTTGTTGGTTTATATGTGGTGACAAAAAATTATATTGGGATATAATCAAGTATCATGGGAAGTGAGTTAATAGCCATAATGTTCGGTACAAAAGGTATTGAAGTTAAAATTTGGCACACTTTGATTGAAGCACATTGAAGAACATTTCTAACCAAGTTGGAACAAAATTACACGCTTTCCGTGTGCGCCGCACAGTCGTCAAACTTTAACACGTATGTATTGTGCGCACAGGCGTTTGATCTAGATATCGTTTAGAACGCCGGTGGTGGCTCTCACAGCATAATATGTTAATGATACTTTAAATGGGTAGGTATAGCTAGAACTTTTTAATTTCAGGATGAGGTAATCAAAATAAAAAAAATAATCAAAGTAATGGTAAATATATCGCTACATTACATACTTTATTCTAAGGTTGAGTTGCACCACCCAACTTTAACCGTAACTATAACGATAACCGGTGCTTTTTATATGGATTTTGACAGATTTATGACGTTTGTTAAGGTTAAAGTAAGATGGTGCAACCCAGCCTAAATGTTACTCACAGTCCCGTTAAGGTCGACGCAGGTATAGTTGGCGCAGAAGTCCTTCGAGGTCCAGCGTTCGCCGATGACGTGTTCTTTTCCATCCACAACACAGGCCACGGGCTTGCACTTGCCGCAGCACTGCTTGGACGACGCCTCGGCTGGGAAGTACTTCCAGCCCTAGAAGACAGGCATCTTATGGGTTGTAATAGGTGGTATTTTTTCTAAATATATGGTATTCTATGTACGTAACTGTACTCTATTAAATAAATAAATTGTGCAATAAAAATGTACAGTCAGACAATTTTAACTTCGAACTCCTCCTATGTTCTTCTGATTAATTTCGTTGCGGATCCAATGACAGTTTAACTTTCCACCGGGACAAACTTGACCTTCACTGGTTGGGTTTTTATGGCGGTCAAGCTGTAGATCCTGGCTACACAGGAGTTGCAGCGGTGGGAAAGAGAGGTGGGAATAGTCCCGTAGTCAGACAATTTTATAAAATAACAAACAATGAAACGTCCCAAACTGCTTAATTAAACAGTTTGGGACGTTTGATTGTTTGTTATTTCACTAATAAGAAATAACAATATAAATAAATATCCTTAGACATTTTATACTGCGCTTCTAGTCCCAAACTAAGCAAAGCTTGTACTATGGGTACTAGACAACGGATATAAACATACATAAATACTTCTTTTTTGTAAATACATACTTATTATACATAGAAAACACCCAGTTCAATACAAACAAATATGTTCATGCACACAAATGTTTGTACTGTGCGGGAATCGAACCCGCTACCTCCGGAATAGTAGTCCGTTTCGAACCACTACACCAAACGGCCGACTAATAAATGTTATGTCATCTTATTATTTCGTCATGCGGATAGTAACAAGTGCGTCAAAAGTAATGAGTTATGACGGGCATTAATTTTTTCAGAAAGAAACACATTGGTCTAAAATTATCATTTATTATTAAAACTGTACAGACCGGCTCAATGCATTGATATCTACTAAGTAAGCAGTGTTTTTATTTTTTTTTTTTATTTGTATCCAGGAAAGAAAAAAACATGTATAATCTGTTTTTAACTCATTAAAAATAATAAAAAAATTGCCAAAAGACAATGCCAGAAATTGGCACATACGATCTCACTATTTTGTTGCAATTTCTTACAAAACTTGCGCACAAAAAGCAAATCTAGTATGAAAATTATCAAACTTCTAATGCTCGTAACTCAGTTCAGACTGAGTTTAGAGGTATACATGCCATAGTAAGTTTGGTTTATTACACTATTTTGTAATCAAAAAAACAAAATTTGGTCGATGGCCGCGCGAAAAAAAAAGACGCCACTTTCCATACAAAATCTGGCATTGCCATTTCCAAGGACTACTACTGACCGGCTGGCAGTTGGTCTCGCAGGTCTTGACGGTGGTGAGCTTCTCCAGCTTGCCGTCGCCCGCCTCGCTGCACGAGTACGACTCGCACACGTCGTACGGCGACGTCCAGTTCTCGCCCACCTGTAGCAATATGAACGTTAATGGTTTAGTCATTAAGTCTAAAATGCAGAAGCATGACTCCCACACGTCGTATAGGGACGTCTATTTCTCGCCCACCTGTTGCAGAATGAACTTTAATGATAATTAAGTTTGCAATGCAGAAGCATGACTGTGTGATTGAAAATAAAATAAAAAATGCATTTATTTCAGACATGACAGTCAATAAAATCTAACTTAACATTACATCCAAAGAATTAGCCAGACGGGTTCGGGAGGCCAGACGTTCGCATATTTGTTTCTTTTTACGATATCCACAGAAATAGTGCGAATGTTACTATTTTGATACCGCAATATATTCACTATTTTAGTTGATAAATGATAACTTTATATTTCTTCTTGAACATTCAAAAAATAAAACATCAATTTACAACTTTACTGCATAACATTTAAGGAACAAAAGACGAAGTAAAATTCAATTCATAGCTTGTTTTATAATTTACATTTTGTACTCAAAAAACCCGAATACGAACTCGCACTGGGCAGTAGCAGTAGCCTCTAAGTAACAATATTAATAAAAAAATCTTTTGTATTCTTATCCGAGCACTTAGATTAATAAAACCTAGATGGATAGTCTTCATACAAACGCTTCGTCAAGAGTGAGGCAAAAATCTTATGTCATTAGTGTCAATTTTGTTGGGGAGTGTAGACAGTGAAGGCGATTTTCCCGAAAGTAGGGAAATTTTTAATACGTTTTTAATTATTTTATAACTAACAAAAACAAAACGCATCATGTACTCACTTATTTATTGAATTCAAAGTACCTACCTAATTACAATAAGATAAATCGACTTAAAAGTCTCGATTTCATAAAAAAGGAAGTGTATTTGTACGGCGAACAATTGGGAAATAAATTTTCTTGTTACTGGTATCATTCCCGTANTTAAGGTATAAAATGGTTAAAAACTACACCGGAAGTAGACGCATCTCTCACCAGATGCTGTGCATCGTCTCTGCTCAATAATACAAGTTTTATTGTTTTGTAAAACTTGTACTATTTCTTCTTGAACATTCAAAAAATAAAACATTAATTTAAAACTTTATTGCATAACATGATGGAACAAACGTCGAGCTTAAATTCAATTCATAGCATGTTTTATTCATATTTTGTTTAAAACCCGAATACGAACTCGCACTGAGCGGTAACCTCTAGTAACAATATAAAATAAATATAATAATTCTTTTGTATTTACAACCGAGCAGAATAGCATGCGGCCATTATCTTTTCGAACAATGGACCGCGGCGCAACCCCACGTCATTTCAACGTCAGTTTTCTTTCACATTCGTTAGATGGCGTAGCGGTCGCGCTGCCCCGCGGTGTGTGAGTATTTTTTCCGTTCCTTAAAGCCCCCGAGAGACTTGGTGTCGTCACTCTGGTTTCCCTTCAATACGAATAAATCTTTCGCCTTTTACTAAAGATTTCCGTGGAGGGGAACACTCAAATGAGTCTAACTCTATTTTTGACACCTTGCCTCGTGCAAGGTACAGAAATTCATAAAATTGCTTGCGCTTGCGCCGCGCTAAAATTGTGAGATTGGATGGTCATGGATGTCAATTAATGACAAAAATGGGTTATTTAATCTGTCATCATAAAATTATAAATACAGTTTTATACCGGGATTGGAGGGATGTTATGGATATGTTGTTTCGGTTATGGATACGGTTACGGTTATGGATTTTTTTAATTTCGGATATCCGAAAGTTTCGGTTACGGTTGTCCATAACATCTCTGAATTGGATTATACGTAATTAATTATAATTGCTTACAATTTAATTTGCTTACATTTGCTCCCTCGCACATGAAACATCTCCAGAGTCCCCGCGTTCGCCCCGTTATACTAGAGCGTCGATGTGACGTCACGGCTGTCAGGTACGTAATAACTTGACTGGGTTGTAGCTCATTAAGCGTCTACCAACTCACCCGGTACACATTCTCCCCGTCCCTACACGCGACGTGCACCAGCGCCGGGCAGCAAGCGAAGGGCACTGGGCGGGGCTCCAGCACGAACTGGCTCGCTGCTAGGGACGCCGGGCACTCCGTCACGGAGCACTGCGCCGAAGCCCCGAGCGAGCAGCGACACCAGTAGCTGTATAAGGAACTACAACTCACCCGGTACACATTCTCCCCGTCCCTACACGCGACGTGCACCAGCGCCGGGCAGCAAGCGAAGGGCACTGGGCGGGGCTCCAGCACGAACTGGCTCGCTGCTAGGGACGCCGGGCACTCCGTCACGGAGCACTGCGCCGAAGCCCCGAGCGAGCAGCGACACCAGTAGCTGTATAAGGAACTACAACTCACCCGGTACACATTCTCCCCGTCCCTACACGCGACGTGCACCAGCGCCGGGCAGCAAGCGAAGGGCACTGGGCGGGGCTCCAGCACGAACTGGCTCGCTGCTAGGGACGCCGGGCACTCCGTCACGGAGCACTGCGCCGAAGCCCCGAGCGAGCAGCGACACCAGTAGCTGTATAAGGAACTACAACTCACCCGGTACACATTCTCCCCGTCCCTACACGCGACGTGCACCAGCGCCGGGCAGCAAGCGAAGGGCACTGGGCGGGGCTCCAGCACGAACTGGCTCGCTGCTAGGGACGCCGGGCACTCCGTCACAGAGCACTGCGCCGAAGCCCCGAGCGAGGAGCGTTCGCAGCGACACCTACGGCACGGGCCGTCCAACCATGCCTCGTCGATCTAGAAGTTAGAATTTTAATTATTTATTGCATATCACATGAGTAAGGGTTGACAAAAGTTGGAGTTATGTAGGTAATTTTTTGTGATTAAGTATGGTATGAATACAAATTACAATTCCATTTTTTTTATGCATAACAAGACAGGTATTTGACCACAATCGCACCTGGCGTTAAGTGGGATGCTGTCTAGGATTTTACCGTATCTATACAATTATCCAGCATTTTTGGGTATTAGCATTTATTTTGTTTCAAATTAATGAAAAAAGATGTTTAGATTTGCCTTTGGCTATCACGTTCCCATCTTCGAATCACGTTTGAGAAAAACTATTTGCAGCTTGAAATGATATTGAAACCTCAAAATGAAGATAAAGTTAAAGACATGTTATATTGAAACCATCACAAGCGAGTTATGCAAGTAAATAAAAGCCACCAATACTTACATCTTTGAGTACTTCTTCGGGCTCCGCTCTTGCCTTCTCTCCTCCGCGCGGCGCCGCTTCCCATTCCAGTGTCACCACGCATTTGTCCTTGGGTGGTTCTGAAAAGATTCGTTCATTATGACATTATGGAATACAATGAAACATGCTGGAGTGGAGTCACTTAGCTGGAAAACGAGATGAAAATAGCTTAACAATATCAGTGTTGCACTGCCGATTCGTGAGTCGGTAGTTGGAGTCCCGTCGACCGCTGGACTATTGTAGTGAACCCACTGGACTTCGTAATTTAGGCAATACAATTTATGTAATTTATACAATTGCGTGTCGTGGCACGCACAGTATAGGGTTCCGTAGTTGCCCATCGTTACCACAAACAAGCAATTATTTCATCTAAGTCACTTTTAATGCTCTCTAGTGTAATATACTTACCGCACTCTCATATTTCTGGCAACACTTTCCGGTTATATTGTATTAATGTATTCCACCAGATTCTGGAACTTGGGACAGTCCGGCTTCTTGGGACAGGCCTCCTTGCGGCAGACCATGTTGACCTTGGGACAGCAGCCGCTGTTGTCGATGAAGTTAAACTTACCGCACTCATATTTCTGGCAACACTTCCCGGTTAGATTGTATTCCACTAGGTTCTGGAACTTGGGACAGTCCGGCTTCTTGGGACAGGCCTCCTTGCGGCAGACCATGTTGACATTGGGACAGCAGCCGCTGTTGTCTATGAAGTTAAACTTACCGCACTCATATTTCTGGCAACACTTCCCGGTTACATTGTACTCGACTAGGTTCTGGAACTTGGGACAGTCCGGCTTCTTGGGACAGGCCTCCTTGCGGCAGACCATGTTGACCTTGGGACAGCAGCCGCTGTTGTCTATGACGCGCTCGAGCCCCGGCTCTAAGAAGTCCACTTCTTCGTCAGTTGGGATGTGTTCGCATTCGCTGGCTGGTTTACATTCTGAAAGTAACAATGGTAACCAATCCTTCATCAACATCATTATTTTAACTGGCTAATTGTTTTATTTGGCAATGTAAAACGGTAAAACTTATGCACATTCTGTCAGTAAAGAAGTACCATTTTACGCTCGTGTTACTTATAACAAGAGAAAAGATTTCAATTATTCAAATTAGGCTAAAACGATTTTTTCAAACAATACATACGTCATTTAGGCCGATATGACTTGAAGATATTATTATTTTTAACGCAAGAGAATCACGATAAACAGGAGCACTCGGTTTTTGTTCACGTCATACGGGAAACACAAATGGCTTACCACAAGCGAACTCTTTGCAGCCGTTGGCGGTGGTTTTCTGCTTGAGCACCTGCCCGAAGCCACACTCCATCTTCTTTGGCTCCTCGCATTCCGCTCGCGGTTTTGGAACTGTAACAGTAATTAGGACCATTCAGAACAGAAGCGGCTCAACGTAGAAATAATGTTTTGGTTCAGAAAGCTTGATGATGCAAGCTGTACTCGTGGTAGGTAGTGCCGACCCGTCACCAGGATGCAAGAATACTTTCCGTAGACCGTAAGACCTCAAGAAGACAGCAGGACTTTGTTGCGTTGTCAATCTTTGGATTATTGTCAAGTACTATGATTTTGAAAATAAAAGGAGAGTTGCGTAATCCTGCAGTGACGATCTCTGCTAAAACGATGCCCGCTCGCGGTTAATACCGAAAATTAGTATAGGAATTGCACGCGGGTGCCCGCGGCGGGCGCGGATTGGGTGTCATCCGCGCAGCAATATAATTACGCGCGAGCGATAAGGATGGGTAGCTTGGGGTCATTGGACAAAATTCTACGTGCTCACGGACCAGGCTTTAGTATACATAAAACACTTAAGACTGGTAGTATCGTACCGCACATGTACTGGTCGCAGCAAGCGCCTGGTGGTTTGGGTTTGGCGAGCATGTCCTCGCCCTGCGCGCACACGGGCGCGCTGCAGGCCTGCGTGGTGCACGCCACGTGCGCGCGCGCCTCGCCCGGTAACTTGCTGCACGTGCACTTCTTGCACGCGTCCTCCTGGGAAACATAATATAGCTTGTGTTGTATTTACATATTGATATTGAACCCTATTTACCGATTCAGCAGATCTACACTAGTATGTAGTTACGTCTCTAGTTAATAGTCAAATCACTCTATGTCGCCATCTTACTGTCTGTGGTAATCTCTGCAATAAAAGTAATAAAACTGAGTCTGCTAAATTTAAACTATTTTTATTTAAATTCATCAGCTTGAGTAACAAGACCTTGTGGGTCGTATTAGCAAGACGGTAGAAGGATACCTAATGTGAAAAACAATGCAGATAGTCGAAGGACTCTTAATAATATGGAAAACAGTGCATACAGTATAGCTGGGAAAAATTGCCAAGTTGACTGACACCTGTAATCCTACACAAAGTTACAAATCAAGTGAAAATAGCGGGCGTAATGAATAGGGTAGTTAACACCTATTTTTGGATTTGGAAATAAAATTAAAAAAAAAAAAACGTTTTTTGGTCGCTTACCTGCCACTCGTCTCCAGCATAGTGTTCTTTATCCACGTCGCACGGGAAGCATTTGGTTGGCTCGATACACGTGTTATTCACTCGCACCTACATAAGAAAGGGAAAACAGTTTGAAAACTTATAATCATTTCTCTTCCATTTAGATTAAAAAATCAGAAAATAGAGTAATGCAGTCCCATCATTTTCACTATTCCTTTGTACTACTGACCTTCCCTTCGGGGCAGAAGCAGCCTTCCACAGGCTTATTAGTACACTTGTCGGGATGCTTCTCGAGGTTGTCGTGGTTGTCGCACGTGCGCTCGCAGTCCACGCACGCCCGGTATACCAGCGGCTTCTCGCTGTGAATGAGGTGTTTTGTAGTTTGTATCTTAAGTATCATAGCTATAGGGTCCATTTTAATCAAGGAATCCTCCTCCAATCATCAATGCTCGTACGAACGGAATTTACTAAGGGGGGCGATACTGCTCCGTGTGCAGTTTTGGGTCTGCTTTCAGATGCGTTCTCAAGTTGCGGATAGGGGAAAGCTTCCCAGTTTTGAGAGAGCTGTAGTTTTCTGAATAAAGAAAAATAAAATAAAATAGGTAACGGTTTAACGGTGCGGACAAAAACCCAACGCGCGACAGGTCTCGTTAACTCCGTGGGCCTGTCGCGTAACCCATAACCCACAATTTAAGTGGGCAATGAAAGGCTGTCAGGACATTTGCCCGGGCCTATCTAGAACAGATCGTAACCCGCTTTGGCGAACCGAGGGTCCTGTTTCACCAGGGCCACGAGAAGACCGTCGGGATTTGGTAGGAAAGTCCGGGTTTTCTCGCGGAGAGAGTCCCACAACAGGGGAAACATTGCAGGAACATTATCACTCACCAAGTGTAGGGACACAGGCTGGCGGAGCGTCAAGTCACTGCTATTCATGGAGCACTGTTCCTCCACGCATGACTCCACATAGGACTGAGTCATTAGGGGGCGACATTGCAGGAACATTATCACTCACCAAGGGTAGGGACACAGGCTGGCGGAGCGCCAAGTCAAGCAGACGCCTTGCTGCCGGCACGCGTCCGCGTATCGTGCTAGTGTCGCGCACACGTCGTTGTTATTCATGGAGCACTGTTCTTCCNGATATGTTAACACAGTAATAAGTTGTTTCAATATCTCACATAAAAGAGTCTAAAATAAAAGAAATATAGATTTTCAAACTACCTTTAAAACTGTTTTTCTCTTAATTGTAGTTTTTTGAAATTCTTTGTTTTTCCCGTGTGGTCTTCAATTGCACTTATCGGTCGGCACCACAGACGAACGTAAGGTCCTGTGTTGCTTGTGGCTAAGGCCGTCATCCAGTTAGCGAACAAGGACTACCTTTTCGAGATTGGCCGGTTCCATGGTTTCCACTCTAGAAACCTCATCGGCAGTCAGTTCTACTTGCTATGTGCCTTGCCCATTCAGCTTGCTATTTCATTGGGCTATTCTATGTTAGCGACTGTTTGTTTCCGGATCTCCTCATCTCTCTGATGATCTCATAAAGTGAAGTTATCATTACCAGTAATATGTCTCACTATAAAGATATTTGATGGTGTTGTACTCACGGCTCCGAAGACCTCCGGGTTGTAGAGATTATAGCAAGGGTTCTCCTCGGGCNCGACATTGCAGGAACATTATCACTCACCAAGGGTAGGGACACAAGGCTGCAGAACGCCAAGTCAAGCAGACGCCCTGCTGCCGGCACGCGTCCGCGTATCGTGCTAGTGTCGCGCACACGTCGCTGTTGTTCATGGAACACTGTTCTCCCATACAAGACTCCACATAGGACTGGACCACTAGGAGGCGACATTGCAGGAACATTATCACTCACCAAGGGTAGGGACACAGGCTGGCGGAGCGCCAAGTCAAGCAGACACCCTGCTGCCGGCACGCGTCCGCGTATCGTGCTAGAGTCGCGCACACGTCGCTGTTGTTCATGGAGCACTGTTCTTCTACGCACGACTCCACATAGGACTGGACAACTAGGGGGCGGCATTTGTGGCGGTCAAGCTGTAGATCCTGGCTACACAGGAGTTGCAGTGGTGGGAACGAGAGGTGGGAATAGTCCCGATAGGGGGCGGCATTGCAGGAACATTATCACTCACCAAGTGTAGGGACACAGGGCTGCAGAACGCTAAGTCAAGCAGACGCCCTGCTGCCGGCACGCGTCCGCGTATCGTGCTAGAGTCGCGCACACGTCGCTGTTGTTCATGGAGCACTGTTCCTCTACGAACGACTCCACGTAGGACTAAGCCACTAGGGGGCGGCATTGCAGGAACATTATCACTCACCAAGGGTAGGGACACAGGGCTGCGGAACGCCAAGTCAAGCAGACGCCTTGCTGTCGGCACGCGTCAGCGTATCGTGCTAGAGTCGCGCACACGTCACTGTTATTCATGCAGCACTGGTCTTCCACACAAGACTCCACATAGGACTGAGTCATTAGGGGGCGACATTGCAGGAACATTATCACTCACCAAGTGTAAGGACACAGGGCTGCGGAGCGCCAAGTCAAGCAGACGCCCTGCTGCCGGCACGCGTCAGCGTATCGTGCTAGAGTCGCGCACACGTCGCTGTTGTTCATGGAGCACTGTTCTTCCACGCAGGACTCTACATAGGACTGGACCACTAGGGAGTGGCATTGCAGGAACATTATCACTCACCAAGGGTAGGGACACAGGGCTGCAGAACGCCAAGTCAAGCAGACGCCCTGCTGCCGGCACGCGTCCGCGTATCGTGCTAGAGTCGCGCACACGTCGCTGTTGTTCATGGAGCACTGTTCTTCTACGCACGACTCCACGTAGGACTGAGGGTCCACTAGGGCATGGCACTGGAACGATAACGATTATTTAAAGTACTCGTAACAAAATACTAGTGAAAGACCTCACACGGATCAGTTGAGAAAATTAGAAGTGATAACTGTTTTGTTTAAATATGGGTTTCCTTGATTGCGCTCACCAGTTGACACCACTTACGAGTAAGGTACCGTCACTCGCTTGTGGCAAAAAACAGTGGTGCCAACCGATCAGTGCTGAAGCGGCTGGAGAACATAGGCTTAACCCAATGATTTCCAGATTGGCCGGTTGATAGCGACCTGCATTTAGCGCCTCTGTGCTACCCGTATGAGGTATACGACCACCACCGTCCACCGTCCACCTTAAAACTGGGTCGGACCGTGAGTTTAGGGGGCCCTGGGCTAGTACTACTTACTTACCTAATTACTCAAAGTATTGAAAAAATGAGACAGTAAAATATTTGACTTGACTTAGCCCTTGAATCCACGGGGTCCTGGGCTGAAGCCCAAAAAGCCATATGGTAGATTCGGTTATTCGGACAGCTAGTGGTGATGGGGTAGCTTGCCAGCTCTTACCATACTGGTGATATTTCTCACTATAAAGATATTTGATGGTGTTGTTTGTACTCACGGCTCCGAAGACCTCCGGGTTGTAGAGATTATAGCAAGGGTTCTCCTCGGCCGGCGGCGGCGTGCAGGGCGGCGGTGGCGGTGGCTGATCGCACTGCTGTTGTTCCGGCGGGATCTCCAGGGTAGTCAGAGCTGATGGGGTAGCTTGCCAGCTCTTGCCATACTAAAGAAAATAAAAGAGAAAATATTGTTTTTAAAACTTCTTAGCGTTTAGAGTCGCTTCTCAAATTATGTAAAGTCTAAATAGCTCAGATTGAAGAGCATTCGCCCGGCAAGTGAACGGTCATGAGGTCGACCCGAGTACCGGTTTATCGGCGCGGACAGAAACCCAAGCGCCGCAGTCCCGTAGGTCGTAGCAATTCGCATTATAAGTACTGTGTGTATCATAATATGCAGTTGTAATAGATGTGAAATTGCCACAAACATTTACAATCTGATATTTGTCCGTTTACAAGAATCTTATGCAATCGTAATAGGTGCGATTTTACTAATGTCTGAACTCCTCAAAGTCGTTTGGTATCAGTTCCGTTGTTAAAGTCCGGTCGCCGTGCAGATAGAATTTCGTTCAATGACCCCAAGCTATATACTTATCGCTCGTGTGTCGCGATTGTGCAACAGGCGGCCGCAGTGAGTGTGCGAGTGACTTTGAGGAGTCCTCAAAGTCATCAGTATCAGTTCCGTTGCTGATGACGAGGTGTTCGTGTGAGCCTGCGCACACGTCGCACAGGCCCTTGATGCGGTTGCTGTATAAGAACGTTGGCATGCAAAAATAGCATCTATTACAACTACATAAGGTCGTAGTTTAGTGACTGACCTCCTCAAAGTCATCAGTATCAGTCCCGTTGCTGGTGATGAGGTGTTCATGAGAGCCGGCGCACACGCCGCACAGGCCCTCGGTGCGGTTGCTGTATAGGAACGTTGACATGCCAAAATAACACATATCACTAGCTACATAAGGTCGTAGTTTAGTGACTGACCTCCTCAAAATCATCAGTATCAGTCCCGTTGCTAGTGATGAGGTGTTCGTGTGAGCCTGCGCATACGCCGCACAGGCCCTCGGTGCGGTTGCTGTATAAGAATGTTGGCACGCGAACTGATAGCTCCATCTTCGACGCCAGCACTGTGACCTGACAACATATTACACGACACAAGTTACAACACATCATACAAAAGCACAAAATACTGATTTTAATGAAATGTTAGGTAAAAGCAGACTTGATCCACACTTTTCATCAGATAAAGATGCAGGCCAGGAGCTTCCTCGTTGCAGTTAAACAAAACTTTTTTCGAAATTTAAGCATATTATGAAGTCGCGGACAAGAGCATATTAATTCTAAGGTACAACTCATTTAAGACTTTTAGCCTGAATAATTATTATTGATGGGATTGCTACTATCTAGCTGTGTCGCCTGCAACAGTACCGAAATATTGGAGACTAGAAATTAAGGTACATGGCAGCAAACCCGTCAATAATAAATTATTCTGTCAGTGACCGTCGTCGTCGTCGTTTCAGCCAAATGACGTCCACTGCTGGATAAAGGCTTCCCCAAGGTTTTCCATAATGTCAGTGACCATGAAAAAATAGACTTTTTCAAATAAGTAGTTAGCCAATCGAGATGACGAAGTGTCGTTAGATATTCTTGCCAGCTTTGTATCTCATCAATTTCTTATAGCTAATATTACATACCTCAACATGAGCTTCCGTCAGCATCACCATGACATCCCGCCCGTTGAGCTGGCTGATGGTGACCCAGTCCTTCTTCACGGGGTACTTGAACACAAGCTCGTTGTCGATTGTTGTCGCCAACTGTTGGACACCATTGGTTATTTTGTTATGTACTAAAGTAAATACTTCGAACTTAATAGTTCACACACACTAAAATAAGGAAGGGAAAACCATCGCAGAGTCAAGTCTAGCTTGATTAGTTCCCCAGAAAAGGTTACAAACCCTACGACCAAAAACTTAATAGGACAATTTCATCCCAAAAAATAACAAATGAAGTAATGTTTTTTTTTATACATGACAATGCCGGTATTTGACCGCAATCGTACCTGATGTTAAGTGAGATGTATCTAGGATGGTACATATCTGCCCTGTAAGTGCCTATTCACTCTCGCCTTGAAAAGGGATTATTATAGTGTTCATCAAAGACAGCAGAAGGCAGCGAATTTCAGTCCCTAGCTGTTTGCATTATAAAAGAGAGATATTCTAGAAAGAAGAAGTATATTTAGAGATCAATCTTAAATATCGACTAACCTTCTTGCTGGCAGCATCTTTGCTAATATGGATGACGTTCTTCTCGTAGATCACATGAATCGTTTTAGTGCAGGTGACGTTAGCGTTGTCTTCGCACGGGCCGTTTGTTGCATACACCTATAAAAATATATTGATGTCAAGTGATTGGTAATTTTAGCATCAAAGAAAAGACAATAATAGTTCAATAGTGTCGGCTAGACGAATCAAGATCCGAAAGCGAAAAGCGGATTTTACACCTGTCGCCGCGCAGAAATTTGAGATTCAAGTACCAAACTGCCGACTTTATTTAGCAAAAGCAAACATACACAATAGTCAATACCCAGTATTCCCGTTGTCTCCTTGATTGATGTCCCCATGATGGGGACAAAGGTAATTAGGTAAATAAAATAATTAAAATTACTCCCTGTTACCCCCATTTATAATGTGGACAACGGGAAAGAATTTTTTTTATTTTATTTAATTCCTTTTGTCCCCATCTTGGGGATAAAAATCCTGGGGACAACGGAAATGCATACACAATACGCCCTTGATTACAGTACCTCGTATTTATGCTGTCCGGTCTCATTCCTGTCCCGGGAAGCGAGATAGGTGCAGTTCCCGAGGAACGGGAAGCTGTCTCCCTCAAACGTCGTGTATCCGGCTGGAGTGCCCACGCCTTTGCATGCGCCTGCGATGGTAATAATAAGTGTTTGAAGTTACTGTTATGTGTCCTCGCAACACATCCCTATAGTGTTGCGAGGAATGTCTTGCGAGATTTGTGTTACCAGGGATGTATTGGGAGAAATGTGTTGCGAGTAATGTATTGAAAAGGACGTGTTGCGAGGTATGTATTACCAGGCATGTGTTGCGAAGAATGTGTGCGAGGGATGCNGCCTTCTTATGAGGCCCATAGTAAGCGACCACGTCTCAGATCCAAACGTCAAGATAGCGAAGTATCGTTAGATATCCTTGCCAGGCTTGTAATCATGGTTCTTGTTTGCGAGTGTCTACCTCATCGATTTCTTATAGCTAATATTACATACCTCAACATGAGCGTCGGTCAGCATTACCATGACGTCTCTCCCGTTGAGCTGGCTGATGGTGACCCAGTCCTTCTTCACGGGGTACTTGAACACCAGCTCGTTGCCGATTGTTGTCGCCAACTGTGACAGTATTGATTTTTATGTATTTTTTAAACTAATGTCACATACACTAAATAAGGAAGTAGATAACATAAACAAAATACCATCTTCAAGTCAAGTCGAACTTAACCAGAATCTCAAAAAAGGTATCCTGAAAATAAACATGTCATTGTTCCATGATGCTCTAAAATGTAATAAAGCCATTGATCATCTCATAAGTGGTCAGTATAAAAATAAACTTAATGTATGTAATTACATATTTGAAATAACTAGACCAATTTATTTTAATCTTGGCAAGTAGTCTATTGCCCGTTTTCGACCCCTATGAAAACAAAATTCCTTTTATGTGTTACTTTAGGGGTCACTTAAAAATAAGGTATTTATGGTGAAAACGGGCATATATCTACTAACTAACCTTCTTGCTGGCAGCATCTTTGCTAATATGGATGACGTTCTTCTCGTAGATCACATGAATCGTTTTGGTGCAGGTGACGTTTGCGTTGTCTTCGCATGGCCCATTTGTTGCGTACACCTATAAAATATATTAATGTCAAGTGATTGGTCATTTTAGTATCAAGGTAAAGGTAAAATAAACCGACAGTGCCAGCATGGGACTGGCAGAATAGAGATCCAAGAGTGAAGAGCGGATTCTACACCTGTCGCTGCGCGGAATATTAAATGGTTCAAGTATCGAACTACCGACTTTATTGAACAAAAGCAACACGCTCTTGATATATTACCTCGTATTTATGCTGTCCAGTCTCATTCCTGTCCCGAGAAGCCAAGTAAGTGCAGTTCCCGAGGAATGGGAAGCTGTCTCCCTCGAACGTCGTGTACCCGGCAGGAGTGCCCACGCCTTTGCATGCGCCTGCGATGGTAATAATAAGTGTTTGAAGTTACTGTTATGTGTCCTCGCAACACATCCCTATAGTGTTGCGAGGAATGTCTTGCGAGATTTGTGTTACCAGGGATGTATTGGGAGAAATGTGTTGCGAGTAATGTATTGAAAAGGACGTGTTGCGAGGTATGTATTACCAGGCATGTGTTGCGAAGAATGTGTGCGAGGGATGCTGAAGGACACATTTTACACAGTGCACATATTCTGTCGTGCGTACTCCTACTGTTTCAAGTTTCCACACGTAGAACGGGGGATGGGCGTGCATGAATAAGCGGGCGCACGCAGCAGGTGCCCATCGTTGAGCGCTGACCCACGTCGGACGACCGGAGAGGGCATCCGCTCCGAGCACCTGCGCAAGTTTTAGCGTAGGCCCTTAGCCTAGGCGCAGACCACCGACTTTTAGTAGGCCGATAGTTGGGTCGGGCTACTGTTAATCAGTATGGTGATGTATGAAAGTCTGTAGTCTGCGGGGGCACTTAGCGTAGGCCCTTACAGTCGAGGCAGGAGTCGGGCGCCAGGCACTGCTGGCCCCGGCGGTAGGTGCCGGGCGGGCAGTAGCAGCCCGGGAAGCACTGGCCGTCCTCCGCCGGGCAGTCCGTCTGAGCTACACCTTGTGTCGGGCACGAGGGCTCGCAGCGCTTGCGGTAGCAGTCGAAGTGGACCAGCGGTGGCGGACATTCCGCAGCTGGAAACGGAACAAGTTAGTCAACAACCCGTTCGAGTTAACTGACCATCAACGCTCTGGTTCGGAACGGGGCAAACGCGGGACGGTTTGCGGGTGAGTGCAAGAGAGAGTCGCAATCCAGCGAGCTGCGCAGTTAGTTCGAATGGGTTGTAGTTAGTTTTGCAGGGCAATCGAAAACCTTATTTAGCAGAGGCTAATCAATAGTAATTAGCCCATTGTGCGAGATTTGTGGGTTCTAGCCGAAGGCTAGTGGGCATTCCGCGGCTGCGAAAAGAAATAAGTTACAGCCAAATGCTTTAAGTAAACTTCGAGATAACTACACAAGCTTCACAGAAAGAAATTCGGTAAAATATAACAGAGTTACTAGGATTAACATCAAATAAAGTAAACAATGTACGCAAGTAAATAAAGACAACATTCTATGGATCATATACCTATAGTGATTCATGTGAGTTAGTTTGTCAACTACATCATAATATTTTAAGACAACAAAGGAGGAATCATCTTTGTCTCCTGAAAACTATTGGATGCAGAACTTTCCTCTTTATACCAAACTAAAGAAACTAGAAAACATTATCTTTAAACGATAGACAAATATGAAACCAAATGTAAAGTGACTCACGGCAATTCAGCTTCATTCTCCACTCGGATATATCGACATCCTTATCGGCCGCGAGGCATTCAGCCACGAGTTTCTCCACGAGCAGGCAGCGGCATTCTTCCTCGGTCTTCTTGGTGCCGTTCACTATGAGGTCGGTGCACTTGCAGATCTTCTCCAAGCAGATGTTGCGCCATTTGTCTAAGCTGAGAACTTTACCGCACTTCGCGAGCGGTTCTTGGCTGTGGTAAAGATATTTTGCAGTTAGAGCTGGATGGAAATACAGGAAAATGTGATCGGAAGCACATCGGAAGGCAGTCTTATCTTCTGAAGAAAAAAAGGAATCCTACCAAAATCATTCTGTAAAAAATTAGCCAAGTCTCGATGGAGCTGCCTGTTTATCTCTAAAAAGTAATGAAATCTAGACAAAGTCGTGCCAAGTCTATGGTTCCTTACTGCGATTTCTTTATTATTATATTTAATGTTGTGTGACTTGGCCGTTGAAGGGTACCAAACCAGATGCTCCATGACACCATTGCACCAATCTGTCGCCAAATCCGCTACACATTGACGATGGAAAATAAATTGCACTTGGAAAACGTTGATGCAATAACCAGTCAATTGTAAGCTTAATAAAGCTGCGTATTTCAATAATACTTATGTATGTATAAAGATTGTTCAACGGCCAAGTCACACAACATTAAATATAANGCCAGGCAGCGCTGGCCCCGGCGGTAGGTGCCGGGCGGGCAGTAGCAGCCCGGGAAGCACTGGCCGTCCTCCGCCGGGCAGTCGGTCCGAGCTACACCTTGCGTCGGGCACGAGGGCTCGCAGCGCTTGCGGTAGCAGTCGAAGTGGACCAGCGGTGGCGGGCACTCCGCGGCTGGAAATGGAACGAGTTTTAGCAAATGGCTAACGGGAATTCCGCAGCTGGGAAACAGAATAAGCAATAAGGCCTTGCTCAGACTCGTTTGTGGGTGGTTCTCATTGGCGAAGCACTAAGGTAATTACGGTTCGATGCAAAATATCTGAGAAGTACCCAGCAAGCTTTAACTAAACTTAGAGGTAACTGCAAAAGCTGCTTAGAAAGAAATCGGTCAACGGTACTGGTTCCAACAGGGTATCTACTGGTACCTACTTAGATTAACTTCAAATGTAATTCATTTCAATAACTTCACTTCAACAACCTATAGCGATTTATGTGAGTTAGTTTGTCGACTACATCATAGCACTTTAAAACAGCAATGGAGGAATAATCTTTGTCTCCTGAAAACTATTCAAGGCTGACTTTTTACTTAATAAACTAGATAACAAAATCCTCAACACTCACGGCAATTCAGCTTCATTCTCCACTCGGATATATCGACATCCTTATCAGCTGCGAGGCATTCAGCCACGAGTTTCTCCACGAGCAGGCAGCGGCATTCTTCCTCGGTCTTCTTGGTGCCGTTCACTATGAGGTCGGTGCACTTGCAGATCTTCTCCAAGCAGATGTTGCGCCATTTGTCCAAGCTGAGAACTTTACCGCATTTCGCGAGCGGTTCTTGGCTGTGGTAAAGATATTTTGCAGTTAGAGCTGGATGGAAATACAGGAAAATGTGATCGGAAGCACATCGGAAGGCAGTCTTATCTTCTGAAGAAAAAAAGGAATATTTCTGACGATGATTATGTATTAAATTGGTCATAATATGGCCAAATACAGGATGCCACGGCCGTTAGGCTATTTTTTTTCGGAACCATTTATAAAGAGAGAGGTGCCCAACATCATCTGAAGAAAACGTTACATAACTCCAAACGGTTGTACAGAGCTTTCTTTGAATACTCACGCGATGACGTCACACAGCTCCCAGACCCTCTTCTGTTTCTTCTCATCAATGACTTTAGTCTTGCAAGCGTCTTTGAGCAGACCCGGTCTTCCCCACGGGCGGGCCATTTGGTATCTAATACGTTTGTACAAAACTTTCTTTGGATACTCACGTAATGACATCACACAGCTCCCAAAACCGCTTATGTTTCTTCTCATCAATGACTTTAGTCTTGCGAGCGTCCTTAGGCAGGCCAGGCCTTCCCCACGCGCGGGCCATTTGGTATCTAATACGTTTGTACAAAACTTTCTTTGGATACTCACGTGATGACGTCACACAGCTCCCAGACCCTCTTCTGTTTGGTCTCATCGATGACCTTCGTCTTGCAAGCGTCTTTGGGCAGACCAGGCCTTCCCCACGCGCGGGCCATTTGGTCGCTGTTCGCAGCTAAAGACCCGTCTGGGAGGCGCCGCTCGTTGTGCAGGGAGCCGTCGAAAGCGCCGCAGAGACCGTCTACCGTACCCATGTACTTTTTGGATACCTGTATGAAATAATTAATGGTTTGAGTAATGATGTTGCAATTAATTGACATGATTAAGTAACAGTTGAAGATCTAAATATCGCAAACATCCGAGTATCTTCGATGTTTGCAAGGTAGATTTTAATGTCACTACATAATTGTACAGAGTAACAAAATAATAATTATATTAGCGGGCCATACGACACTTGAATAAGACACGGGCGGAATTCTGCTCGCCAAATCTGTCTGCAGTTGGTTAAAATATCGCAAAACCTGCGCATGTCATATATTAAATAATGATTGAAAAACAAGTCATTTGTCTGGATGGAACACCAAAGTTTTTCAGAGTAATACCTATTAATTAAACCATCATTAGAAAAGGCCACTCACTCCAATCTTGATGTCCCCATCCGTATTATAGAGCACAGTAAAGTTGTATCGCCTCGACTTGATGGAGAGTCCATTCCCGAGTTTGGCCACGTCGAAGCTGTTCTTCTGGAAGCATATCTTGGTGGTCTGCTCGACGGTGTACTCGCTATTGTCGCGCTCACTCATGAGTTAAATATAATTAGAATAAGTAAAGGCAACTCACTCCAATCTTGATGTCTCCATCCGTATTGTAGAGGACAGTGAAGTTGTATCGCCTCGACTTGATGGACAGTCCATTCCCGAGCTTGGCCACATCGAAGCTGTTCTTCTGGAAGCAGGTCTTGGTGGTCTGCTCGACGGTTTACTCGCTATTGTCACACTAGCTTATGAGTTATAATATAATTAGAATTAGAAAAGGCCACTCACTCCAATCTTGATGTCCCCATCCGTATTGTAGAGCACAGTGAAGTTGTATCGCCTCGACTTGATGGACAGTCCATTCCCGAGCTTGGCCACATCGAAACTGTTCTTCTGGAAGCAAATCTTGGTGGTCTGTTCGACGGTATACTCGTAGTTGTCGTACTCGATCATGAGGTTTGGTTTGACCTTGATGAGCTGGTCGTCTTGGTGCACGATTAATTCGTTCTGGCAGCCGTCGAGGCGGCACTTCTTGCGGACTGAGTGGGAACAAGTTTACGATGTAATTTTACTGGTAAGCAGGTGTGCTGATTTTTAAAATAACTTGAAAAAATCTAACTGCCTATGGTGGGAATCGAACCCACGACCTTTCGCTTGCCGGGCGACTAGTCTTCCATCAAGTTCCATCTGAGCCACTTAGACACTGGACTGGATTAGTGACTGGAGGTTGGAGGCGACTCTTAACGCCAGAAAAAAAAAATTGGTGTGGTGATGTCAGGTCTAAAATCGATATAAATCTTGACTATTTTATCGTGGAGGACACTATAGCCCATCCTGTCAAAAGTTACGGGCTACCACAGGCATATGAAAGGCTCGATTCATTTCGGCAACATAGAATCAAATTATTGGGATTTTGAAAGGTTAATTGAGGGACATCTGAAGCGTATAAATAAGTAAGGTCGAAAAAGGAAATAAACATTTTAATGCCACTTAGAACAAAAATGACTGTCTTCTTGTCACCTATTTATCACAAGACTTACCCAGCACACTCCAGGCATCGAACCGGTTGTCCCTGGCCAGAATGTGGAAGCAGAGGTCATACTTGTAGTCGGCGCCGTCGAACGTGCTCACAGCGCGCTCCGTCACGTTGCAGAAGGCAAGTCTTTCAGGCGGCGGCACGCATGAGTATCTGAGGGAAGTAACAAAACTCGACTAGAGCCTAGAGCAGTGTTGGCCAAACTTTTGACTTTTGAGGTCTACTTATGCTCGAAAATATTTCTTGCGTTCGACTGTATGGTAGAATTGGTAGAGTTTAGAAAAGTGAAATAAAACATTTTAGCAGCAACAATACTACCACGTTACGACCGACCGAAGCGTGTGAGTACCTACATTTATAGGTAGATAGAGAGTCAGTGTTTTTGGTGCGAATAGGAACATTTTAAAATAAGCAATTTTTTTTAATTGTTTTGTTCAGTTTATTTAACTCTCGCGGGCTACCAAAATCGTCTTCGCTCGACCTCTTGGCCAGGCACTGGGCTACTGGCTACTGGCCTAGAGTATTCAAATTACATGCTTTATGTATGGGTGAAAAACACGCGCACGTGTGCAGAATATATCAATCCCAGCTGCAATGGTGGGAGTGCGAGATGCACGTGGGTTATGAGATACTCGTGAGCCGCGTGATACACGAGAACTGAGGGCTGTGGCTGCGATATACTCGTGGGTTGCGGGATGAGCTACAGGATATTGTATGTGAGCTACGGGATATATTAGGGCCGCGGAAACATGTAATTTGCCGGGATACACTTGAACTGTGGAATACATGTGAGCTGTGAGTGTGGGGTATACGTGAGCTACAGGGTATACATGTGAGCTACGTGACACGTAAGCTGCGGGATACATGTGAGCTGCGTGATATAGTGACTCACTGCGGGCACTCATGCGGCGCTACTGAGCCGGCGTCCAGCCGCAGCGAGTAGCGCGGCGGGCAGGCGGGCGCCGAGCAGACGAGCGGCGCCGGCGTGGAGCCCGGCCGCTGCGGGCCGCACTAGCTGCGGGACACACGTGAGTACTCACTGCGGGCACTCATGCGGCGCTACTGAGCCGGCGTCCAGCCGCAGCGAGTAGCGCGGCGGGCAGGCGGGCGCCGAGCAGACGAGCGGCGCCGGCGTGGAGCCCGGCCGCGGCGGCGGCGGCAGCTGCGGGACACACTTGAACTGAGGGCACTCCTGCTTCTTCAGGTCTTGAGCTGGGTTAAGGGTTGGCTTGTCGAGAGTAAACGCCTGGTTTGGTTGCGATGTTGGTAATACAGCTGCAATGGGAAAGATAAAGAAATAGTGTAATTTATACCACAACCCCGAGCGCTGAGCGTGTAGGTGCAGTAACGTGAGTCATGTACCAGACGCATACGCTCACGCGAGCGTAGACGTGCTCATAAGACGTATACGAATACACCCTAGCTGCTAGCCCAGTTTCCACTAAGGCAGAGAGGATATGAGACGAAAAGAGAGTGTTTTGAATTACCGATCACATTTTGTTATTTCCACTTCTCTTCGCTCAACTTCGGTGAAAATAACAATTTAAAATAACACGCCGTATGCATGTAAGTTACGAAACAGCACATTACGAATCTTCACAAAACAGCGCAAAAACTTAAAAAAAAAAAGAAATTAAAAGCAGACTTACGATTGTATCCGCCCTTAGAGAAGCCTCCTTTCGAGTACCCGCCTTTAGAATACCCTCCCTTCGAGTACCCTCCTTTGGCGTACCCGCCTTTAGCGTACCCTCCTTGCTGGTACCGCTGGTAGGAGTACCTCGGACGCGGCGGCGGGATGTCAGACGTGTAGGAGCGGGAGTGGCTGGAAGGAGTGGTGTAGCGGACGATGTAGTTCGGAGGACACTCTACTACTGGGCACACTAGCGCTGAAACAAGGAGTATTCCTTAAAACAAATGACAAAATAAAGATTTTCTATCTACAGGGTGGAAACGATAAGTGATCTCACTCGATTATTTCTAAACTATACAAGATTTCGAAAAACTGGTTACTGATCCTGAAAGTGATTCACGAGCTCTTTTAAACGGTACCAATAATAGGTTACAGAATTAACTGGATCTATCCGTAAATTCAAAGTTTTCAACCTCCATACTAAATGTATGCCAGCCACACAAAATTAAAAGATTTAGAAGTGTTAATTTTTTTAAATTAAATAATAAACACTTACAATGAACTCGTAAATTCCATTCTTATTTAAAATTATTCATGGAAAACATTGATTTTAGGCTTTACTTGCTATAACATTATCAAGACATGAGCGCCATAACTGTGGCAGTACTAAATGTATGGAAACTGGAAACATTGAATTTTCGGATAGATCTAGTTTATTTTGTAACTTCTTATTGATACCGTTGGATAGAGCTCGTGAAGCACTTTCAGGATCCAGTAACTCGTTTTTGGATATCTTGTATAGTTTTTAATATTATGTGGTTTTACTAAATGTATGGAAGCTGGAAACATTTAATTTTCCGATAGATCCAGTTTATTTTGTAACCTATTATTGGTATCGTTGGATAGAGCTCGTGAAGGACTTTCAGGATCAGTAACCAGTTTTTGGATATCTTGTATAGTTTAGAAAAAATCGAGTGAGATCACTTATCGTTTCCACCCTGTATATCTACAAAAGCGAAAGGTCACTGACGGACTGACTCACACACTCATCACGAAATCTCAGAAACTACAAGTGCTAGGAGTCACAAATGTTGCATGGTTTGCAAGGTTCCTTTTAGAACGTAGATGCTCAATAAGATGGGATTTTGCAAAATTCAACCCCTAAGGGGGCGGGCGGCCGCTAGTTTCTTTATAAAACAAGGTTCAAGGTATACAGGGCACAGGCGACGAAGTCTTGTCTAGTCTAGGATGGTACATTGTACCATTTGTGATTGCGGCCAAATATCTGCTTTGTTCTACATGAAAAAGCATGACGTGCCACAATAAGATCAATAGGCTAGGCTAGGCACTTTTGTCATGGATGAATTGGTAAAATATCTTGGGTTTATGATAAAGTATTTTTATTTTCTATTTGTTAATTGAGTTGGTTTGCACTTACTCATTGGAGCCAAACTTCATAAGCGGTCGACCTGAACTGTCGATCCAAGTTGAAGCAGGTAACCATTTATATTTTTGTGAGAAAATCATGTTCTTTTAAATCTGCGATGCTTAAACCGTACTGGGTACCATCAAACTGTGTTTTTATCCAACCCAGCTTAGAATTTAACCAATGGTTATTGTAGTTAGAGTGGATTCGGACTTACGTTTAGGCGTAGTACTGATTTCAGTCTTCGTAGCAGCAGTGAAGCTGACCGTAGGCTGAACGGTAGTCACAATCGTCGGCTCCAATGTCGTCGGTTTGGGCGTGGTTATGGTGGTGGTGGAGCATTCCTTCTCATCATCAGGGCAGTCTTGCAGGCCGTCGCACCACTTGTCCAGCGCCAGGCATAACTTGCTGGTGGGACAGATCCTGGTGCCAGGAGGGCACGGCTCGCAGAAGCACTCGCAAGACGGTTTGGGTACCAGTTTGGGCACCAAGGTCTGTTGGGAAATTATCAAGTTGTAAATTGGGATCGAAATTCTATTTAGTCCGTCAGACAGATAATTAGAAAATATTAGACTCTTATTTTTTATTTTCTTTCATAATTAAATAATGAGTAGATCAAGTGACGCCACGCGACATTTCAATTCGATGTACCTAGCTCTATCATTTAATTATGAAAGAAAATAAAAAATACGAGTCTGACGGAAAAATAATTGAAATTTTGTCATCTAGCCTATTGGCGTCTATACGTAGAAAATTAGGCTTAGGCTGCTTCTACCAGAGATGTGCGAGGATGCACATCCCTAGCTACGGATGTGTTTGTAAAGAACCAATTAGAAGATTCTATGGGCGGAAACACAGTCTTATGCCAAAGGAGTAAGGTTCAAATGATTACAGGGGGCATCTTACCGGGGCACACTTGCACTCCTTGACGGGCTTGCAGTCGGTGACGCCGCCGAGCTTGCACACGCACTCGTCGCAGTTCTCACCGCGAAATGTCGCGCCCACGTCGTACCTGCGTGGTGTCAAAACGGACATAAAAATCACCGAATGCCAACTCAATGGTCTCTTGGTTAATGCTAGCGTGGTCATAGGCATATTCATTCACGTAACAACTGGACTACAGCGTTGATAAGTTACTGGAGCCGTTCCAGGAGTAGTCTATTACCTGTTCGTATATGTCTTAATATACAATACAATACAATACAATACAAAATCATTTATTGTGAATCATAGGTAAAATGGTGACATGTTACATTAGGTAGTATCACTATGTAAATAAGAGAGGTTAAGGGTGTGTTTATTCTAAAATGTTCTGATTCTACTGCCACAATAACCAGGAGGAACCAGAGGTGGAATTGTGTAAAGCAATCGTAATCATTTGACAGTTCATAACGTACGATAAAGTCAGTTAAACAAAGCGTTTGACAGAATAATCGTACGTTATGAACTGTCAAATGATAACGATTGATTTACACAATTCCACCTCAGGACGCCTCCGTGAGGTAGCCCAGGACATAGGGACATTGGTTTCGCAGCACGCATTCAACGCAATAATGGAAGCTAGACAAATGATAGGTTTAGGTATATTAGAGGGATTAGGGTTGGGAGTGGGCGTGGCCTGCGCTTGTTACATCGACACAGTCGCTTCTGCATGCTGCTCTCTTGGACAAACTAAGAAGTTCTTGGGCGTGGCTTGTGCTTAAGTGTACTGCTGCTAATGCTAGAGACCAGGGCCGCACTCACGTGAGGTGCCCCACGACGCAGGGGCACAGGTCGCGCGCCACGCACACCACCCCTTTGTAGAAGTCACCATAAAGCTAGGCTAGTGACATATAAGACCGCGACAGCTGGACTGGGAGTGGGCGTGGCCTGTGCTAGTTACGACATCATCGTCACAGGAGTAGCTGGCTTTCTGCACCCTGTGTTTTGGATAAATTAGGAAGCTCACGGGCGTGAGTTGTGCTAAAGTGTGCTGCTGCTAAAGCTGGAGACCAGGGTTGCACTTATGTGAGGTGCCCCACGACACACTAGCGGGACTGGTTGTGGGCGGGGCCTGTGCTAGTTACAAAGACGCCGTAGTAGGAGCAGCTGGCTTTCTGTATCCTAGTCGCTTGGACCCTTACACTGTGCCAGCTTGAAAGGTTTTTTTTGGCTTTCGCGGTTTGCGTTTGGCCACAACGGTGCTTGAAAGGTTATGGGCGTGGCTTGTGCCAATGTTCTGCAAAACCACCAGGGCCGCACTCACGTGAGGTGTCCCACGACGCAAGGGCACAGGTCGCGTGGCACGCACACCTCGCCGTTGAAATAGTCGCCGATACCATCGCAAGAGCAGCTGGTCGCCTCCACTCCTGGGCACACGCTGCATGACGGCGGAGTGCTGCCCTGGACTGCCACGGCTGGAGTGGTCGTGGTAATAGCTGAGGAAAACAAATTATTGTCAGTAAACTGGCCATAGATGTGTAAAGGTTCAGTCAAACCAATGCGTGCACGATGGCGATGGCGATCAGACGTAAACGCATTGATCGCCATCGCGCTCGCAGGCAGCATGCGTTTAGCTGAACCTTCAGCCTTGTGCAACATACTTGTTCGAATTGAATTGAACAATATTGTTTTAAATACAACAGGCATAGTACACCAAGTTGGTTCCATCTTGTAGTCATAATAGTTTATTGACACTGTGACTACAGCTATCGATCGAAACTAGGTGTTTCAAAGTCCGTGTTTGGCGGGCCTTAATCGAGTGGTGCCGGATATCAAAACAAAAAAAAATCAACTTGAGACATAGACGTGACAGCTCAGGTATGCCTTATGTCATCCTCCCGCATCATTCCACTACCGCAAGAACCGCTCATTTTAAATTACGCCTGTAGTAACAAAACCATTGTTGTTTCAGCCAAAAGACGTCCACAGCTGGACAAAGGCCTCCCACAAGGATTTCCACAAAGACCGGTCCTGCGCCGCTCGCATCCAGGCACCTTCCGCGACCTTCACCAGATCGTCGGTCCACCTAGTGGGAGGCCAGCCCACGCTACGTCTTCCGGCTCGTGGTCGCCACTCAAGAACTTTCCTGCCCCAGCGGCCATCAGCTCTTCGAGCTATGTGCCCCGCCCACTGCCGCTTGATTTTAGCAATTCTGCGGGCCAAAACCTTTACCTATTATAAAAAAAAATAAAAGCTATACTCACGGTAAGGCTCAAAGCATCCGATAGGTTCAATCCTCATCTCGATGCCCTTGTTCCATTTCACCGGCAGCACTTTCAGGTATCTGGCGTGTACAGGCAACGCGAACTCGTTCAGCACAGGAGTGTCCTGGTCGAAGTTGCCTGGGAATAGGGATGCAACGATATATCGAATGTTCGATTGATATATTATCGACCGCAAAATATTCAGTTTCGATAGTATATTATCATACCGAAAAAGGTCGAATATTAGATTTTAAAATAACAAAATTTTTTGGAAATGCATTTAATTTTGTAATTTTAATTTTCTTTTTATCCTTGCTGCTTTTACGCATTTGCTGCTAATTCGTACATTAATTAAATATCAACTAGTTTCAGCTACTACTTCTACGTACCTAATTATGAATCGGCTTATTAGAGAGATAGAGGTGTAACTTATTTGCTTTTTCATATATTAAAACATTCAATGCCATTTATATCGGGTTAAAACGGTCGTCATTCATATCGATATTTTTCGTCAACCTGCATCCTTACCTGGGAACAGCTTCTGGTTTCCGGAGCTGTCCACCACCGGGTTGAAGGTGGAAAGGTCGCAAGTATACTTGACGTGGTAGGCCGACACCCAGCCCTTGGGCCCGCCCTTGGTCTTTATGCCGGTGAGATTGCGCGGGGACATGAAGTCGAACTGTGGGAAGAGAATTTAAAATAAACATACATATTTATCTACATATAAGTCGTTAAAAAGGCAACGTATTTAAGGATAAGAAGAAAGCTGAGCCCAATCGTTATGGAATAAATCTCAAAGAAAAAGGACAGAGATGAATATAAACTAATTACTGCCATAAATTCCCACATGAAAAAAAGTCACAATATTCTGTATGCTCTTCTGCCGACGCCGAATATTTGTCAAAAAATATTTTCCTACTGTTATGTTCACAATAACTTCCAATAACTTTGGCAATGGTTTAGCTTTACTGGTTGGGTTTTTATTAATGATAAGCCTCACTGCAAATTCTGGCTGTCCAGAAGTTTCAACGGGGCCTAATACCAGAGGGCATCCCAGGGGCATATCATCTGCAAGTCATAAACTACCTCTATAGTGTAAGTTCTACAATACTTCGTTCGTTCGTTTCAGCTAAATGGCGTCCACTACTGGACAAAAGCCTCCCCCAAAGATTTCCATACAAGACTTACCATGATCCATTCTCCGGGTGTGCTATAGAGCGGACGCCAGCCCCGTGGTCCATCCAACGCGAAATACTTGCGTGCGTCGTTATTCGAGCTCACTTCGATGCTCTCAATAGGCAAGTCCGCCGCTAAGCCTAGCGGCTCTGTGCATTGCATCTGTTCTGGCTGTAGAATAAATGTTGGTTGACGGTTAAATGTTAAAAACATATTTATGTAAGCAATGTAATGTATAATGGCTTTGGTGATGAATAGCATTTAAAAATAACCGAGATTTGTGAGTATAGATCGTGTCATCCACGAAGTCACGCGCCTCATCATTCTTCCACGAATGTAAATCATCAATCAACACACGCACACTAAAATAATGTCGTTCGGATTGCTCGGATCAAACTTTCGCTCACGTTTCGGACGCTTTCCTCAACCAAAAACTGGTGGGGCGCGTCTTCGTGGATGAAATGATCTATAGGTAGGTAGTAATTCCTTTAGTCCACACAAATTAAGTACCTAATCTTTGCTACTTTTTCCAAGACACACCACAGACTACAGACTTTTAGTTGACCGATAATTTGGTCGGGTTGTTCTTCAGTATGAACATGTATGGAAGAGCCAACTAAATCTGTAGTTTGCGGGGTGTATAAAAGTTTTCTTCTAGCTAACACGCTTGTATACAGTAGTACATGTACATCACTTACCGTAGTGGGGATCTCTTCAGGAGTAGTGCTCCTTGGCTCCCCGCAGCCGATCAGCTCGAGCCTGACGGCTATCTCCTCGTGCCAAGTGAGAGGCTTGATGCGCACGAACTTGGCCTCTATTGGCGGGGATATCATTTGCTTCAGCGGCGTCTTGTGGTCCACTGGGCCGCGGAACACCTGCCAAAACGGTTTAACATAAACTTGTACGAAATATGTAATATTGGTCCCAGTATAGTACCTTGAGGGACCCCTCAGGCTGTTCTAAATGCGGGCTGCCTTGAAGCACCACAGCGTATGTTGGCAAAGGACTAGTTGTGTACAGTAACTCCCGGCTCCGTCTCAGGCTACGGTTCATTCTTGAGCGAGCCCCTTCAGCTTTGAGGGGAATGGTAGATACTCTCGGGACGTCCGCTAACGATGCACTGGACACTGACACCGCCACCATAAGCCTTGTAAGGCGGCCGCTGGACATCCCCATACCCGACTTGTGGGGCCCCTAAGGAGGAGCGTGGAGAGCGAAGACCCTCCTTAGGCGCCTTAGACTACGGCGGAGGATCAGAGAGGCGTCAGCCGAGGCCTCTCGTTCCCTCTCCGCCACTTTGAGGCAGGTTTTGCAGAAGGAGAGAAGCGGGTCCCAGTATAGTACCTTGGGTGATCCATCAGGCTCACTGACGAGACTATAGGCGTTGCCGTCATCGCAGTACATGAGCTCGTAGCTGGTGACATACTGGTCGAACAGCGGGCTGCCTTGCAGCACCACGCCGTATATCGGCTTAGGACTTGTATAACCGGTCTCAGGACAGTACCTTGGGCGAACCATCAGGCTCGCTGACGAGACTATAGGCGTTGCCGTCATCGCCGTACATGATCTCGTAGCTGGTGACGTACTGGTCGAACAGCGGGCTGCCTTGCAGCACCACGCCGTATGTCAGCTCAGGACTTGCTGTACCGGCCCCAGCACAGTACCTTGGGCGATCCATCCGGCTGGCTGAAGAAACGAAGAGAGCGAAGACCCATCGTTCCCTCTCAGTAATTTCCTTCTGCAAGATGCCTGTCTCTCAGTAGTATAGAAGCGGGTCCCAGTACAGTACCTTGGGCGACCCGTCCGGCTCGCTGACGAGACTATAGGCGTTGCCGTCATCGCCATACATGAGCTCGTAGCTGGTGACGTACTGGTCGAACAGCGGGCTGCCTTGCAGCACCACGCCGTATATCGGCTCCGCGTGAGGCAGTTCTACTTGAATGTACTGGTTCTTGTCGTTGATTTCCGGGTTCCAACTGCCAGCTGAAGAAACAATTACAATACTATAGTGAGACTGCTATTTGAATCTCAAGCTCGTTTAAGAGAGCTCACAAACGAGCGACATTATGTCGGCGATTGCTTCCGACAGTGGTAAAGCCTGGTCCGTGAGCACGTAGAATTTTGTCCAATGACCCCAAGCTACCCATCTTTATTGCTCGCGCGTAATTATGTTGCTCGCACACTCACTGCAGGCGCCCGTCGCACAGTCGCGACAGCAATATAATTACGCGCGAGCGATAAGGATGGGTAGCTTGTGGTCACTGGACAAAATTCTACGTGCTCACGGACCAGGCTTTAGACGACAGTCAACGCCTGTAGGCCACTGTCAGCGAGTCTCTGACTCATGCCTTTCGCTCTCATGACGTTGTCACTCTCTGACTATACGTTAGTGACTGCCCATCTTCGAGATGACCATCGGCGGTATTCGCGATGCGTCGGTGACGGACGTCTATTGAATATTTATCGTCGGCGATTATCAGCAACTGTTGCCGATTTAAGTCGCAAGCAGTCGCCGATATACTGACTCTCGACTTGCGGTTCGCGTCTCGTAGCGGTGCGTGCAGTTGAACAAAAACAAAACCGATTAAAATTAGTCAAATATTTAAAGTTAAATACACAAATATTACCAGAGACAGTTTTCGGGCGGCCGTTGAGCACAGCGTCTTGCGGTAGGAACTGGTTGCTGGCCACCGAACTGGCTGTCAGTATCGGCTTCACTTCCACGTCATCGCCCCAAAGTAAGTATTTGTACCTACAGTGAAACGTATAAAATAATGTAAACGTAACGAGTTACTATAAAAATAATTAAAAAAACGCGAATAATACTCAGATGGTTCGCAAATCAATAAGAAATTGTTAACCCTTATGATAAAAGGCTAAAAACTCAGTGAAAAAACAATAAAATATATCCGGCCATAATAATATGTCATCAAAGATATCATAATTAAGTCTTACCCTTCAGGATCACATTCTGGCGGCGGCGAGACCGTGCTCTTTATAATCAGAGGCGTCACAGTGGTCGGCGGCAGAGTGGTCGCTTTCGTGGTGGTCGCTTTTGTGGTCACAGTGGTGGGTTTAGGCGTGGTGGGTTTTGGTGTTGTTGTCGTGGTATACTTGATGGGCTGGTTGCGTTCCTCGTCGATGTAGGTGGTGCCGAGGGTCGTGCAGTGCGAAGAGTCGCAATGGAACGCGTTGTCGAGGCACTGGCACGTGACGCAGCCGTCGGATTTGCGCTCGCCAGGCTGGTTACGATATGATAAATCAGTGTCTTATTCTACGAACATACTACAATTATAATCTGAAAAGGGTCTACATACTAATAAAGAATTTGAATATGATTTTGAAGTACTTAACTATTTCTCTGCCTGTTCCTTTTACACGTCTAAACCGGTAACCTATTCTTATGAATTTCAGTATTGATAGATGTAATAACCTATCGCGAGTAGAAGAAAGGACATATGAAATAAGAAATAAAAGTTGTGTATGGGCCTCCAGAGGTACTTTACCTCGTATAGTCTGTGTAACTATTACTAGTCGACTACTAGTAATAGTTACACAGTCATACCTATACGTGTAAGTAAGAATACTGTGTAGTTTTTTGGTGTACACACGACAGCACATCAGGTTTGTTGCAAACTCGCCCCTATTACGACTGCACAAGAACCCACAGTGGTCACGTTGACGTGCCGTCGTCTGTACCAAAAAATACGCAACCATTTATCCATTATTGCATACCTTGACCATCTTCCCATCGGCGTAGCAAGTGCAGTCCTTCTCAGGCACGCAGGTCTTCATGTCTCGCCAGCGGTACCCTTTGCCGCACTTCTGCTCGGCCACCGATATGTCCACGCAGCCTTTGATGCACTTCTGCAAATTACATCAGTATTTTATGAGGTCTTCTACAGTCAATGATTGATTCAATCTTGTATTTTTTTTTATTGGTCAAATATTGAACCAAATATAAGATAAGATCCACGTTTCAGATTGAGTGGTACCAGAATACGACCCTAGGTTTGCGACAAAAAAGGAACAGAGTTAGTGACCCGAATAAGAACCACTGCGAAAAAGTCTAACGCCCGTATTCACAAACGATACTTGCTTAAGTGAAGTAGCAAATCGAACATATTACGAATTCAACGCTGTGTTGAATGGAGCTCTGTGATTGGTTCATGTGTCACACTATGCGACCACGCGCACTGTGAGACCTCATAGTAATGTTTATGAATCCGGGCGTTTCTGTTTCATTACTCTCCCATCCCTGTCCATCCTACGCTGCAAGATAGACACAGCTATACTTACGTCTCTCGGCCCACACTGGCCCTTGTCCCTGATCACAGCTCCAAGGTAGTCGCACAGCTGGTCGCAAGGATAAGCGCAATCGCGGTACACCTGGCCTGGAGGACACAGCCCTGCTGTGCTTGCTTGTTCCGTCGTCTTTGGTGTGGCTGTTAACAAATACATTTACTATTGAATACCTTTGGCAATGAATAAAATAAAATGTATAAAAAGAATTTTGCAGATGTATCGGACTCTTTAAGTTCCACAGGCCGGTCGTAAGCACAGCGTGTCGTATAAAGCCCGGTCCGTGAGCACGTAGAATTTTGTCCATTGACCCCTAGCTAAAGCCTGGTCCGTGAGCACGTAGAATTTTGTCCAATGACCCCAAGCTACCCATCCTTATCGCTCGCGCGTAATTATGTTGCTATCGCGCTCGCACACTCACTGCGGGTGCTAGTCGCACAGTCGCGTATAGTTGGGTTGGGTTTAAAGCTCTTTTTGGCTAGGGGTTGTATAACTTACTTGCAATGCAAGGTGAAGTAGGAGCAAGAGTGGTAATCTTCGTGGTGCTAGGAGTGGTTCCTTCAGTGGTAAAGCAGGCCAATCAAACACCATCGCCACAGGGTTGTACATGGTGCCCGCTCCGCAGGTCTTGAGCACAGCGTGACATATGCTATGGTTGATTAGGTATTATAGCTATAATTGGTGAATCTAATATAACTTACTAGGTGAAGTAGGCGCAAAAGTTGTGACCTTAGTAGTGCTAGGAGTGGTTCCTTCAGTAGCACCACACTCAGGTCGCACGGCTGCCACAGAAGCGGGCCAGTCGCACACCATCGTCACGGGGTTGTACATGGTGCCAGCTCCGCAAGTCTTTAGCACGGCGTGACGTATAGTTAGGTTGAATCGGTTTTAAAGCTCTCATTGGTGAATCTAGTACAACTTACTAGGTGAAGTAGGCGCAACAGTGGTAATCTTTGTGGTGCTAGCAGTGGTTCCTTCAGTAGCACCACACTCGGGTCGCAGGGCTGCCACAGAAGCGGGCCAGTCGCACACCATCGTCACGGGGTTGTACATGGTGCCAGCTCCACAGGTTTTGAGCACGGCGTGACGTATGCTATTAAAGTTATCATTGGTGAATCTAGTATAACTTACTAGGTGAAGTAGGCGCAACAGTTGTGATCTTAGTAGTGCTGGGGGTCGTTCCTTCAGTAGTGGGGCCACACTCGGGTCGCACGGCAGCCACAGAAGCGGGCCAGTCGCACACCATCGTCACAGGGTTGTACTTGGTGCCAGCTCCGCAGGTCTTGAGCACGGCGTGACGTATGCTATGGTTGACTCAGTTTTTAAGCTATCGTAGGTGAATCTAGTATAACTTACTAGGTGAAGTAGGCGCAACAGTGGTGATCTTAGTAGTGCTGGGGGTGGTTCCTTCAGTAGCACCACACTCGGATCGCACGGCTGCCACAGAAGCGGGCCAGTCGCACACCATCGTCACAGGGTTGTACATGGTGCCAGCTCCGCAGGTCTTGAGCACGGCGTGACGTATAGTTGGGTTGAGTAGGTCAGGCGTACATTCGTAGAATTTGTCGCAGTCAGTGGGATGTTGGTAGTTAGGGTGCGTGTCGTTGAGGCATTGGAATTCTGTGGAAAGGTTTAACTTTGAAGTTCCCGTAGTTTTTTTATTAAATAAACTTTTTTTTTTGCAAAACGTATATGAACAAAACGGGTAAGTAGATCACAATTTACCATCAGGTAAGATACAGGCCAAGAGCTTCTTCGTTTTTGATAAAAATAAAACCTTCTTGTTTGTTCATTTCTTTTCAATCTAATGCTTTCATCTACTGGACAAAGGCCTCTTTCCCTTTTGTATGCCCAAATAATAATGTTTGAGAGTAAATACCGCCCGGATATCTACGCAAAATATATTTGTCATCATGGTCTAACTTACCACATTCACACAGCACCCTGATCTCGAAGTCAGGGCAGGTGGTGCCTGTCTCGCGACAGACTAGGCCCCGCTCCAGGCTACACTCGACGTCGAGGCCGGTCTGCTTCGGCGTCTCGTGGTTGACGCGCGTGCGACACTCGATGCCTTTCATCATGTCTTTGCTGCACATGGGGGAGCCGATTTTCTGTGGAAGACACCATTTTATTTAACCAAATCAATATAATGCTTATTGAAAATATTATAGGCCAAAAATAGTAAGCTAAAGTGAGCCAACCATATCTGACGCGAAACCGGAATAAAACCATATTTCGGCAATGTATATCTAGTAGTGTTATAGAGCGTCCTCCCCAGTCTCATGGATAGATGATTCAAGACAATGAATAATGGTTGGACGACCAAAACGGGAGACGGTCGAACTTTAAGGATACCTACCTCCAGCTAAGCTTAGCTAATCCTTAGTTTGGGACCGTTATATTCTTCGGATTATTTCGTTGCGAGTTCAATGCGACTAAAACGTTCTTTCGGAACTTACTATGCCGTCAATAGTTTTATTGGAGATCAAGCTAACGATTCTGGCTGTGCAACAATCGCATTGGTAGTTAGAGGTGGAATTATTTTTCCCAGCTGTTGTTGTGGACTCACCAGGTCTTTAAGCTCCGGCAGTGGCTCCTTCTCCACGGACTCCCCACGAGGGCCCGCCTCTGGTGTGTGCTTGCTGATCCACGCCGTCCAGCCATCCACGCACTTCAGAGGTTCATCGTGCGGCTTGGGACTGGTCAGCGCAGTGTAGGGCTCCTGAATCACATCACAATACAGTATTAATGACAACGTGTATTACCGCTGTCTCCCACCATTTGTCCTCCACGAGCTGACATCGCATCTTTTGATAGGGACAACGAGAATCCGCCCATTTCAATCGTTTTGACGTTATTATCAATCATCATCAGTACACTAAAAGGAACATATTCGTATGAGTACGCCTATACAGATAGGCTTGATAACAGGCCTAGTCTTGTTTCTCGGAACAGCAATAAATCTGTTCTTTATGACATCGTTATCCACCAAGTACTTTTAATCTTTCTCACTCACTCGTGAGATTGTACACTTACCGCCTCAGTGGAACAGGGCTGGCCGTTGCAAACTCGTTCCTCCTTGGAGCATCGGCAAGTATGGCACTCGTCTTCCTCAATGACGTCACCATCGAACACCTCTCTGCCATCCGGCAGCGTCATACAGACTGGACGGCATTTCTTGTATGACGTCATTAATCCAGAAACTCTATCTCTGTCTCTTTCTCCAGAACCCATGATTGTACACTTACCGCCTCAGTGGAACAGGGCTGGCCGGTACACACTCGTTCCTCCTTAGAGCATCGGCAGGTGTGGCACTCGTCTTCCTCGATGACGTCACCCTCGAACACCTCTCTGCCATCCGGCAGCGTCATACAGACGGGACGGCATTTCTTCTACGACGTCATCATTCAGCAACTACCTGTCTTTCTCCCTAGATTCCATAGTTGTACACTTACCAACTCAGTGGAACAGGGCTGGCCAGTGGCCGGTACACACTCATTCATCCTTGGAGCATCGGCAAGTGTGGGACTCGTCTTCCTCGATGACGTCACCCTCGAACACCTCTCTGCCATCCGGCAGCGTAATACAGACTGGACGGCATTTCTTCTACGACGTCATCATTCAGCAACTATCTGTCTTTCTCTCCAGCTCTATGATTGTAAACTTACCGACTCAGTAGAGCAGGGCTGGCCGGTGCAAACTCTTTCCTCCTTGGAGCATCGGCAGGTGTGGCACTCGTCTTCTTCGATGACGTCACCATCGAACACCTCTCTTCCATCCGGTAGCGTCATACAGACTGGACGGCATTTCTTCTATGACGTCATTAATCCAGAAACTCTATCTCTGTCTCTTTCTCCAGAACCCATGATTGTACACTTACCGACTCAGTGGAACAAGGCTGGCCGGTGCACACTCTTTCCTCCTTAGAGCATCGGCAAGTGTGGCACTCGTCTTCCTCGATGACGTCACCCTCGAACACCTCTCTTCCATCTGGTAGCGTCATACAGACTGGACGGCACTTTGCTCGCGGAACGCATTCGGTTAGGCTGTCGTTGCTGTATACTTGGCCTTCTGGGCATGGCTTCTTGGGCTTACATCCTAAAAAAAAAGAGTATGTTATACAGTTCTAAAAGTATTGTGGTCCGTAGCATTTTCCAGAGTATGCAGCAGCTGCCATAGCGTACTGAAGGATAATGGGGATTGTCTATTAATCGGCCACATGATTAGTAGGACAAGGTCCGTTTTACAAATAAAATAGTAACATAGTCATTAAGCTTTTTTTATTAACACTTTATGGATCTTAGGCCCGGTTTCTACGAAGGCGAAGCAGAGCGGATCGGAGAAGTGTTTTAAATAACCAATCAGATTTCATTATTTCCACATCTTCACTCCGCGCTGTGACGCTGCCGCTGTCAAAAGCTATATAGAAAAAATAGTCCGCCCGTTATCATATCTCCTCTCTTCTCCACTCCGGAAAGGGATTGATTTCGGACAACTGAGGTGTCCGAAATCAATACTTTTTTTCCTATGTATTTTTGTCGCAATATAGCTTCTATTACAATGGCATAAGATGCCAACGTTTATCTTAATCTGTTCAATCGTACCTTCGACGCAGGTGTCCTGCTCGCAGTTGCCTTTAAGCTCCTTGTACCCTTGCGTGTTGTCGCAAGTCTCGGCCGGGCACGCCGACACGCAGCCGTCGTAGTTCGAGCACTCCTCGTCGCACTGCATCGCTGTGATGGAATATAAAATTCAAGTTTATCATAAAATATAATATTCCGAATATCAGTTTGGGTCTAAACCAATCATCGTTTCACCGTGACAGATTATAGATTAGGATTATTAGATACCTATGGAAAAAACATATAAAAACGTTCATGACTGGGAATCGTGCTCTTCAAACTAACGGTTTTCTCTTCTGAGACTTGAACCTGCCAAAATTCTGATTTCTCCCTGATTGAAAATCACAATTTTGCTTATTATCATGAAATTAAATGCTCACTATTCCTGCGTTACATACTGACCCCCTGCTGTAAAAACAATCGCAATTAGAATCTAAGATACATAGGCTCGAAGCGCTGCATTGAAGAAACTCGCCTAACTTTAAGCTTTAGTTTATGAGAGCCAGTGCCGTGCGGCTTCGATGATGCGCGAGCGCTGGAAAGACTACGACGCTAATGGGGGGTCCCTAAAAGCTATTATGACTCACGGCACACTGCCTGGCTGCGCCAATTAAAGGTGACGCCTCTAACCGCGCAGCTAACGCAGCGCAGGCGCAGTCGCAGTCGGCGCCCGAGTCGCACGCGCAAGCGTCGCGTTCGCAGCGCTACATATACGACATCCACCAGACTTCTAGCGCTAGTCTATGGTAACTTAAAGCTATCAACACTTACGGCACACAGCGCGACGCAGGCGCAACGCTGCATGAAAGAAACTTGCCTAACGTATATGGTAACTTAAGTTAAAGCTGTAAACACTCACGGCAAACTGCCTGGCTGCGCCAATTAAAGGTGACACCTCTAACCGCGCAAGAATGCGCGTACGCAGCTAACGCCGCGCAGGCGCAGTCGCAGTCGGCGCCCGAGTCACACGCGCACGCGTCGCGCACGCGTCGCGCTCGCAGCGCTGCATATACGACATCCGCCGGACTTCTAGCGCTAGTTTATGCTAACTAAAAGTTATCAACACTCACGGCACACTGCCTGGCTGCGCCAATGAGGGCTATCGTTTTTATACTTAACAGTTGGCACCCCTGGCGATTGACAGGACCTTACTCTACAGTGGCGCCATCTTGATGAGTGCAAAATGCGATAGTCCTCCTACCACTTTAGCACTCACCAGATGGTGCCACAGTCTTCGCTACTAGCAAGTGACAGGACCTTACTCTACAGTGGCGCAAACTGGTGAGCGCTAAAACGATAGCCCTCATTAAAGGTGTCGCCTCTATGCGCGCAAGCCAGCCCGTACGCAGCCAGCACAGGCGCAGTCATAGGCACAGGCGTTGCGTATGACTTGCGTTGTATGAAAAACATCCTCCCTAAAAGATATTATGACTTACGGCACACTGCCTGGCTACGCCAATTAAAGGTGACACCTCTAACCGCGCAAGCATGCGCGTACGCAGCTTACGCCGCGCATGCTTGCGCGGCTAGTTTATGCTATCTTAAAGCTATCAACACTTACGGCACACTGACGCTGAATCAGCGCCGCTTCGACAATGCGCGGGCGCTGGCAAGACTACGACGCTTGAAAAAGGCTAGTGGGGGGTCCCTAAAAGATATTATTGACTCACGGCACACTGCCTGGCTGCGCCAATTAAAGGTGACGCCTCTAACCGCGCAAGCGTGCGCGTACGCAGCTAACGCGGCGCAGGCACAGTCGCAGTCGGCGCCCGAGTCGCACGCGCAGGCGTCACGCTCACAACGCTGTATGAAAGACATCTTCCTAACTTCTAGTGCTAGTCTATGCTAACTAAAAGCTATCAACACTCACGGCACACTTGCTGGCTGCGCCAGTTAAAGGTGACGCCTCTAACCGCGCAAGCGTGCGCGTACGCAGCTAACGCGGCGCAGGCACAGTCGCAGTCGGCGCCCGAGTCGCACGCGCAGGCGTCGCGCTCGCAGCGTTCGATGTATGGCGCAGGAGACACTTCGGTGGCGCATAAGCTGAATGGATACTGCTTCATGATGCCGCATGTGCTGACTGCCCAGTCTCTGCGTTCGGGACGGGATTTGCAGTAATCCTAAAGGGAATACAAAGTTTTAATTGTAGAACATAATTATTGACTCCTTAATCACTTTAGGGCGTACGCTAAAAAGTGTGCGGGTGCACGTAGCGGGTTCCCGGTACGTGCGCCCGCCTCCGCCGTGCGTGTAAAAAACGTCGCACGCGCCCACGCTACACTACGCTACACAATACATTTTTCAATACGGATATATCTGCGAGCGCCCGCGCTAGTTTTAGAATTGTTTTTACGACGTATTTTTCATTGTGATACTTATTTTTTTGACAATGGTGCCGCATGGTTCAGTCGAGTTATTAAAACGACACAAAGTAAAAAAAATGAGTGTCAATTAATTAGTAATGATTAACTTACCGAAACTTCTTTTGGTTTAGGACACGTAGGTTTCAGCTTCCAAGAATCCGCGAATACCAACGCAGATGATTCCGGTAAACCTCCACCAGATGGCGTTTGGAAGTCGTCGCGCTGGTCGCCGTTGAAGTTGCCGCAGAGTCCTTTCACCTACGACACATTAAAATTATTATTTTATTTTTTATAGATTATTATTTTATTACTTTACTTTAGGTTTTTAACATTACAAATTCCATACACCAGTAGCGCCACCATAAATTAAGGAGATGTTTCCTAGCCTCGCTAGATGGCGTAGCGGTCGCGCTGCCCCGCGGTGTGTGAGTATTTTTTCCGTTCCTTAAAGCCCCCGAGTGACTTCGTGTCGTCACTCTGGTTTCCCTTCAATACGAATAAATCTTTCGCCTTTTACTAATAGTCCAGTCATTACGTACATTCAAAAAAGAAAATGAATTTGCGCTTCTAATTTTTTAATATGTTGTAGGGGATACCTAGAAAAGCTTAACTTGAGATTGTCGACCAAGCTTTCCTAGGAGCTTTCGCCGCCATNAAGTTGTATCGCCTCGACTTGATGGAGAGTCCATTCCCGAGTTTGGCCACGTCGAAGCTGTTCTTCTGGAAGCATATCTTGGTGGTCTGCTCGACGGTGTACTCGCTATTGTCGCGCTCACTCATGAGTTAAATATAATTAGAATAAGTAAAGGCAACTCACTCCAATCTTGATGTCTCCATCCGTATTGTAGAGGACAGTGAAGTTGTATCGCCTCGACTTGATGGACAGTCCATTCCCGAGCTTGGCCACATCGAAGCTGTTCTTCTGGAAGCAGGTCTTGGTGGTCTGCTCGACGGTTTACTCGCTATTGTCACACTAGCTTATGAGTTATAATATAATTAGAATTAGAAAAGGCCACTCACTCCAATCTTGATGTCCCCATCCGTATTGTAGAGCACAGTGAAGTTGTATCGCCTCGACTTGATGGACAGTCCATTCCCGAGCTTGGCCACATCGAAACTGTTCTTCTGGAAGCAAATCTTGGTGGTCTGTTCGACGGTATACTCGTAGTTGTCGTACTCGATCATGAGGTTCGGCTTGACCTTGATGAGCTGGTCGTCTTGGTGCACGATTAATTCGTTCTGGCACCCGTCGAGGCGGCACTTCTTGCGGACTGGGTGGGAACAAGTTTACGATGTAATTTTACTGGTAAGCAGGTGTGCTGATTTTTAAAATAACTTGAAAAAATCTAACTGCCTATGGTGGGAATCGAACCCACGACCTTTCGCTTGCCGGGCGACTGCTCTTCCATCTGAGCTACTTAGACACTGGACTGGATTAGTAACTGGATACATTCGAAGCGACTCTTACCGCCAATCAATCTAGGTGTGGTGATGTCAGGTCTAAAATCAATATAAATCTTGACTATTTTATTGTGGAGGACACTATAGGCCAACATGTCAAAGTTACGGGCTACCACAGGCATATGAAAGGCTCGATTCATTTCGGCAACATAGAATCAAATTATTGGGATTTTGAAAGGTTATTGAGGGACATTTAAAGCGTTTAAATAAGAAAGGTCGAGAAATGAAATAAAAATGTTAATGCCACTAGAACAAAAATCACTACTGCTTGTCAAATATACATATACCCACTTTTCACATGACTTACCCAGCACACTCCAGGCATCGAACCGGTTGTCCCTGGCTAGAATGTGGAAGCAGAGATCATACTTGTAGTCGGCGCCGTCGAACGTGCTCACGGCGCGCTCTGTCACGTTGCAGAAGGCAAGTCTCTCTGGCGGCGGCACGCATGAGTACCTGAGGATTATTTTTTTTTATGGATAACAAGACAGATATTTGACCGCAATCGCACCTGGTGTTAAGTGAGATGCAGTCTAGGATGGTACATATCTTCCCTGTAAGGATTATTCACTTTCGCCTTAAAAAGGCCCAGATTATAGTGTTCGGGAAAGACAGCAGCAGGTAGCGAGTTCCAGTCCCTAGCTTTTCGCATTATAAAAGAGATGATGTATGGCTGTAGTGGGTCTTAAAGTAACCATACGTTGGGTAAGGTACCTAGAAGGTAAGGTTAGGAAAGTAAGCACTATTTGAAAAGGATTCTGTTGCAATTCATATTTACGAGAAACAAGTAGACGTGTGCAGATATCAGTAGCAGATCCCGGCTGCGGTGGCAGTGGGTGCTAGGGGATACACGTGAGCTGTGGGATTTGCGTTCCAGCGACACACGAGAACTGCTGAATACACATGAATTTCGGGATACAGGTGAGCTACGAGATAACATGGGTTATGAGATACTCGTGAGCTACGAGTTACACGAGTGCTGCGGGACACAAGTACGCTGCGGCGCATACGTGAGCTGGCAAATACACTTAGCAGCAGGGATGCTCGTGGGATACTCGTGGGTAGCTGGAAACAAGTGAGCTGCGGAAAGACATAATAAGGTGTGGGATACAGGTGAGCTGCGGGATAGACATGGGTTGTGAGATACTCGTGAGCTACGTGATACTCAAGAACTGCAGGATACTCGGAAGCAGCGGTATACACGCGAGCTGCGTGACACGTAAGCTGCGGGATTCACGTGAGCTGCGTGATATAGCGACTTACTGCGGGCACTCATGCGGCGCTACTGAGCCGGCATCCAACCGTAGCGAGTAGCGCGGCGGGCAGGCGGGCGCCGAGCAGACGAGCGGCGCCGGCGTGGAGCCCGGCCGCGGCGGCGGCGGCAGCTGCGGGACGCACTTGAACTGAGGGCACTCCTGCTTCTTCAGGTCTTGAGCTGGGTTTAGGGTCGGCTTGTCGAGAGTAAACGCCTGGTTCGGTTGCGATGTTGGCAGAACAGCTGCAATGGGAAAGTTAAAGAAATAGTGTAATTTATACCACAAACCCGCGCGCTAAGCGTGTAGGCTTTGCAACGTGAGTCATGTGCCTGACGCATACGCTCACGCGAGCGCAGACGTGCTGATAAGACGTATACGAATACGCCCTAGCTGCTAGCCTGGTTTCCACCAAGACTGAGAGGAGACAAGAGATGTATTTTGAATAACCGATCACATTTTGTTATTTCCACTTTTCTTCGCTCAACTTCGGTGAAAATAACAATTTAAAATAACACGCCGTATGCATGTAAGTTACGAAACAGCACATTACGAATATTCACAAAACAGCACAAAAAGTTGAAAAAAGAAGTTAAAAGCAGACTTACGATTGTATCCGCCCTTCGAGAAGCCTCCTTTCGAGTACCCGCCTTTAGAGTACCCTCCCTTAGAGTACCCTCCTTTGGCGTACCCGCCTTTAGCGTACCCTCCTTGCTGGTACCGCTGGTAGGAATACCTTGGACGCGGCGGCGGGATGTCAGACGTGTAGGAGAGGGAATAGCTGGAGGGAGTGGTGTAGCGGACGATGTAGTTGGGAGGACACTCTACTACTGGGCACACTAGCGCTGAAACAACGAGTATTCATTAAATAAACAACAAAATAAAGATTTTCTATTTCTTTATAAAGCAAGGTTCACACATGACAGCACAGATGAACTGTCTAGTCAAGGATGGTACATTGGACCATGGTGTGATTGCGGCCAAATATCTGCTTTGTTCTACATGAAAAAGCATGACGTGCCACAATAAGATCAATTCAGTAAGCTAGGCACTTTTGTCATGGATGAATTGATAAAATATCTTGGGTTTATGATAAAGTATCTGTTGCGGACAGCCGCTCGGGCGTGCGGAAATAAGAAAAACCTTCGGTTAAAATGAAGATGTATTCCTGCAAAATATGCCCACAACGGCTATCAAAAAACACATACTTCAAACTAAAACAAAAGGTATCAAAAGTAATAAAATAAGTATAAAAAACATAGACAATATAAAAAAGAGGTTGGTCCACCAATCGGTTCCCAACAGTATCTTTATTTTGTATTTGTTAATTGAGTTGTTTTGGACTTAAACCCATTGGTGCCAAACTTCATAAGCGGTCGACCTGAACTGTCGATCCAAGTTGAAGCAGGTAACCATATATTTTTGTGAGAAAATTATGTTATGTAATTTAAGTCAGGACTATTAATGATAGAGTGGATATCATGGATTCGAACTCACGTTTAGGCGTAGTGGTAATTTCCGTCTTCGTGGCAGCAGTGACGCCGACAGTTGGCTGAACAGTAGTCACTATCGTCGGCTCCAATGTCGTCGGTTTGGGCGTGGTTATGGTGGTGGTGCTGCATTCCTTCTCATCATCAGGGCAGTCTTGCAGGCCGTCGCACCACTTGTCCAGCGCCAGGCATAACTTGCTGGTGGGACAGATCCTGGTGCCGGGAGGGCACGGCTCGCAGAAGCACTCGCAAGACGGTTTAGGTACCAGTTTGGGTACCAAGGTCTGTTGGGAAATGATCAAGTTGTAAATTGGGATGATGACTGGGTAATGAAATCGAAATTCTATTTAGTCCGTCAGACAGATTCATAATTAAATAATGAGTAAATTAAAAGTGACGCCACATTTGTAACGTTAGTTTAATACAGAAACACCAGTTGTTTCACAAAATGACACAAGTTTTATAATATGGCAATATTAGCTTAAAAATCAGTAAAATAAAAAATACGAGTCTAATATGTATTTTCAATATTATCTGTCTGACGGACAAATAATTGAAATTTTGTCATCTAGCCTATTGGCGTCTATACCATAGAAAATGCCTTAGGTTGCATTTCCACCAGAGAGGTGCGAGGATGCACATCCTAGGGAAGTGTTTGTAAAGAACCAATAGAACCGCTTCATTTACCTCGCCTCGGTGGGTGGCTGTGTTTCCTCGATGGGTGGAAACACAGCCTTATCCCAAGGGAATAAGGTGCAGATGATTATAGAGGGCATCTTACCGGGGCACACTTGCACTCCTTGACGGGCTTGCAGTCGGTGACGCCGCCCAGCTTGCACACGCACTCGTCGCAGTTCTCGCCGCGGAACGTCGCGCCCACGTCGTATCTGCGTGATGTCAAAACGGATTTAAAAATCAACGAATGCCAACTCAATGGTCTCTTGGTTAATGCTAGCGTGGTCATAGGCATATTCATTCACGTAACAACAACTGGACTACAGCGTTGATAAGTTACTGGAGCCGTTCCAGGAGTAGTCTATTACCTGTTCGTATGTCTTAATATAAGGGAGGTTATGGGTGTGGTTTATTCTAAAATGTTGTCTCACGTGAGGTGCGCCACGACGCAGGGGACAGGTCGCACGGCACGCACACCACCCCTTTGTAGAAGTCACCATAAAGCTAGGCTAGTGATATAATAAGACCGCGACAGCTGGACTAGGAGTGGGCGTGGCCTGTGCTAGTTTACGACATTATCGTCACAGGAGCAGCTGGTGTTCTGCATCTTAGTCTCTTGGACCGTTACACTATTCCAACTCGAAAGGGGCGTGGCTTGTGCCAATGTTCTGCAAAACCAACAGGGCTGCACTCACGTGAGGTGCCCCACGACGCAAGGGCACAGGTCGCGCGGCACGCACACCTCGCCGTTGAAATAGTCGCCGACGCCGTCGCAGGAGCAGCTGGCCGCCTGCACGCCGGGGCACACGCTGCATGACGACGGAGTGCTGCCCTGGCCTGTGCTAGTTGACTCACGTGAGGTGCCCTACGACGTAAGGGCAAAGATCGCGCGGAACGCACACCACACCTTTGTAGAAGTCACCATAAAGCTAGGCTGATGACCGTGCAAACTATGGAGCTTATGGGCGTGGCTTGTACTTAAGACTATTGCTGCTCTGGAGACCAGGGCCTCACTTACGTGAGGTGCCCTACGACGCAAGGGCACAGGTCGCGCGGTACGCACACCACACAGCAGAGAAGTCACCATGAAGTTAAAGTACCACTGTTTATTAGACCGCACTAGCTGGATAGCTGGTTGTGGGCGGGGCCTGTGCTAGTTACAACGAGGCCGTCACAGAAGCAGCTGGCTTTCTGCATCCTGGGCCGTACTAATTATTGAGCTTATGGGCGTGGCTTATGGTAAAATATTCGCTACTGTCATAAGACCAGGAGTGCACTCACGTGATGTGCGCCACGACGCAGGGGCACAGGTCGCGTGCCACGCACACCACCCCTTTGAAGAAGTCACCATAAAGCTAGGCTGATGACCGTGCAAACTATGGAGCTTATGGGCGTGGCTTGTACTTAAGTCTACTGCTGCTCTGGAGACCAGGGCCGCACTTACTTGAGGTGCCCCACGACGCAAGGGCATAGGTCGCGCGGCACGCACACCACACAGCAGAGAAGTCACCATGAAGCTAAAGTACCTCTGTTTATTACACCGCACTAGCTGGAATGGTTGTGGGCGGGGCCTGTGCTAGTTACAAAGACGCCGTAGTAGGAGCAGTTGGCCTTACGTATCTTGATCTTTTGCACCGTGCTAATTACGAAGCTTATGGGCGTGGCTTATGGTAAAATTTTCGCTACTGTCACAAGACCAGGAGTGCCCTCACGTGAGGTGCCACACGGCGCAGGGGCACAGGTCGCGTGCCACGCACACCACCTCTTTGTAGAAGTCACCATAAAGCTAGGCTAGTGGCATATAAGACCGCGACAGCTGGACTGGGAGTGGGCGTGGCCTGTGCTAGTTACGACATCATCGTCACAGGAGTAGCTGGCTTTCTGCACCCTGTGTATTGGATAAATTAGGAAGCTCACGGGCGTGAGTTGTGCTAAAGTGTGCTGCTGCTAAAGCTGGAGACCAGGGTTGCACTTACGTGAGGTGCCCCACGACACACTAGCGGGACTGGTTGTGGGCGGGGCCTGTGCTAGTTACAAAGACGCCGTCGCATGAGCAGCTGGTTTTCTGTATCCTAGTCGCTTGGACCGTTGCACTGTGCCAGCTTGAAAGGTTTTTTTTCTTGGCTTTCGCGGTTTGCGTTTAGCCACAACGGTGCTTGAAAGGTTATGGGCGTGGCTTGTGCCAATGTTCTGCAAAACCACCAGGGCTGCACTCACGTGAGATGCCCCACGACGCAAGGGCACAGGTCGCGCGGCACGCACACCGTACCGTCGCGTAAGTCATTATGAAGCTAGGCTAGTGGTATAGCTAGCTAGTGACCACCCCAGCTGGACTGGGAGTGGGCGTAACTTGTGCTAGCTACGACGCCGTCGCAGAAGCAGCTGGCTTTCTGCATCCTGCTCTTTTGGACAAACCAGGAAGCTACTGCTGCTAATGCTAGAGACCAGGAGTGCACTCACGTGAGATGTCCCACGACGCAGGGGCACAGGTCGCGCGGCACGCACACCTCGCCGTTGAAATAGTCGCCGACGCCGTCGCAGGAGCAGCTGGTCGCCTCCACTCCTGGGCACACGCTGCATGACGGCGGAGTGCTGCCCTGGACTGCCACGGCTGGAGTGGTCGTGGTAATAGCTGAGGAAAACAAATTATTGTCAGTAAACTGGCCATAGATGTGTAAAGGTTCAGTCAAACCAATGCGTGCACGATGGCGATGGCGATCAGACGTAAACGCATTGATCGCCATCGCGCTCGCAGGCAGCATGCGTTTAGCTGAACCTTCAGCCGTGTGCAACATACTTGTTTGAATTGAATTGAACAATATTGTTTTAAATACAACAGGCATAGTACACCAAGTTGGTTCCATCTTGTAGTCATAGTTTATTGACACTGTGACTACAGCTATCGATCGAAACTAGGTGTTTCAAAGTCCGTGTTTGGCGGGCCTTAATCGAGTGGTGCCGGATATCAAAACAAAAAAAAAATTAACTTGAGACATAGACGTGACAGCTCAGTTATGCCTTATGTCATCCTCCCGCATCATTCCACTACCGCAAGAACCGCTCATTTTAAATTACGCCTGTAGTAACAAAACCATTGTTGTTTCAGCCGAAAGTCGTCCACAGCTGGACAAAGGCCTTCCACAAGGATTTCCACAAAGACCGGTCCTGCGCCGCTCGCATCTAGGCACCTCCCGCGACCTTCCCCAGATCGTCGGTCCACCTAGTGGGAGGCCTGCCCACGCTACGTCTTCCGGCTCGTGGTCGCCACTCAAGAACTTTCCTGCCCCAGAGGCCATCAGCTCTTCGAGCTATGTGCCCCGCCCACTGCCGCTTGATTTTAGCGATTCTGCGGGCCAAAACCTTTACCTATTATAAAAAAAAATAAAAGCTATACTCACGGTAAGGCTCAAAGCATCCGATAGGTTCAATCCTCATCTCAATGCCCTTGTTCCATTTCACCGGCAGCACCTTCAGGTATCTCGCGTGTACAGGCAGCGCGAACTCGTTCAGCACAGGAGTATCCTGGTCGAAGTTGCCTGTGAATAAGGATGCAACCATATATCGAATGTTAGATTGATATATTATCGACCGCAAAATATTCAGTGTCGATAGGATATTATCATATCGAAAATATTAGATATCAAAATAACAAATTTTTTTGGAAATGCATTTGTAGTTTTAATTTTCTTTTTATCCTTGCTGCTTTTACGCTTTTGCTGCTAGTTCGTAAATTAATTAAATATCAACTAGTTTCAGCTACTACTTCTACGTACCTAATTATGAATCGGCTTATTAGAGAGATAGGCATTAGCTGATAGAGGTGTAACTTATTTGCTTTTTCATATATTAAAACATTCAATGCCATTTTATATCGGGTTAAAACGGTCGTCATTCATATCGATATTTTTCGTCAACCTGCATCCTTACCTGGGAACAGCTTCTGGTTTCCGGAGCTGTCCACCACCGGGTTGAAGGTGGAAAGGTCGCAGGTGTATTTGACGTGGTAGGCCGACACCCAGCCCTTGGTCCCGCCCTTGGTCTTTATGCCGGTGAGATTGCGCGGGGACATGAAGTCGAACTGTGGGAAGAGAATTTAAAATAAACATACATATTTATCTACATATAAGTCGTTAAAAAGGCAACGTATTTAAGGATAAGAAGAAAGCTGAGCCCAATCGTTATGGAATAAATCTCAAAGAAAAAGGACAGAGGCCATAAATTCCCACATGAAAAAAAGTCACAATATTCTGTATGCTCTTCTGCCGACGCCGAATATTTGTCAAAAAATATTTTCCTATTGTTATGTTCACAATAACTTCCAATAACTTTGGCAATGGTTTAGCTTTTACTGGTTGGGTTTTTATTAATGATAAGCCTCACTGCAAATCCTGGCTGTCCAGAAGTTTCAACGGGGCCATTAGGCCATTAGGCCATTAGGCCTCTGGTATTAACCAGAGGGCATCCCAGGGGCATATCATGTGCAAGTCATAAACTACCTCTATAGTGTAAGTTCTACAATACTTCGTTCTTTCGCTTCAGCCAAATGGCGTCCACTACTGGACAAAAGCCTCCCTCAAAGATTTCCATACAAGACTTACCATGATCCATTCTCCGGGTGTGCTGTAGAGTGGACGCCAGCCCCGTGGTCCATCTAACGCGAAGTATTTTCGCGCGTCGTTGTTCGAGCTCACTTCGATGCTCTCAATAGGCAAGTCCGCCGCTAAGCCTAGCGGCTCTGTGCATTGCATCTGTTCTGGCTGTTGAATAAATATTGATTGACGGTTAAATGTTAAAAACATATTTATGTAAGCAATGTAATGTATAATGGCTTTGGTGATGAATAGCATTTAAAAATAACCGAGATTTGTGAGTATAGATCGTGTCATCCACGAAGTCACGCGCCTCACCATTCTTCCGCGAATGTAAATCATCAATCAACACACGCACACTAAAATAATGTCGTTCGGATTGCTCGGATCAAACTTTCGCTCACGTTTTGGACGCTTTCCTCGACCAAAAACTGGTGGGGCGCGTCTTCGTGGATGAAATGATCTATAGGTAGCTAGTAATTCCTTTAGTCCACACAAATTAAGTACCTAATCTTTGCTACTTTTTCCAAGACACACCACAGACTACAGACTTTTAGTTGACCGATAATTTGGTCGGGCTGTTGTTCAGTATGAACAATGAACATGTATGGAAGAACGCACATTACAGCGATTCCTCATACAAATTGCAAGCCGACCCAACTAAGTCTGTAGTTTGCGGGGTGTCTAAAAGTTTTCTTCTAGCTAACATGCCTGTATACAGCTCAAAACATCTCAGTAGTACATGTACATCACTTACCGTAGTGGGGATCTCTTCAGGAGTGGTGCTCCTTGGCTCCCCGCAGCCGATCAGCTCAAGCCTGACGGCGATCTCCTCGTGCCAAGTGAGAGGCTTGATGCGCACGAACTTGGCCTCTATTGGTGGGGATATCATTTGCTTCAGCGGTGTCTTGTGGTCCACTGGGCCGCGGAACACCTGCAAAACGGTATATGATAAGCTAGTACGAAATTATGTATTATTGGTCCCAGTATAGTACCTTGGGGGACCCCTCAGGCTGTTCTAAATGCGGGCTGCCTTGAAGCACCACAGCGTATATTGGCAAAGGACTTGTTGTATACAGTAACTCCCGGCTCCGTCTCAGGCTACGGTTCATTCTTGAGCGAGCCCCTTCAGCTTTGAGGGGAATGGTAGATACTCTCGGGACGTCCGCTAACGGTGCACTGGACACTGGGACACCGCCACCATAAGCCTTGTAAGCCGGCCGCTGGACATCCCCATACCCGACTTGTGGGGCCCCTAAGAAGGAGCGTGGAGAGCATAGACTACGGCGAAGGATCAGAGAGGCGTCAGCCGAGGCCTCTCGTTCCCTCTCCGCCATTTCGAGGCAGGTTTTGCAGAAGGAGAGAAGCGGGTCCCAGTACAGTACCTTGGGTGATCCATCCGGCTCGCTGACGAGACTATAGGCGTTGCCGTCATCGCCGTACATGAGCTCGTTGCTGGTGACGTACTGGTCGAACAGCGGGCTGCCTTGCAGCACCACGCCGTATATCGGCTCAGGACTTGTTTAATTGGTCTCAGCACAGTACCTTGGGTGATCCATCCGGCTCGCTGACGAGGCTTGCCGTATATCGGCTCGGGACTTGTTGCACCGGTCCCAGCACAGTACCTTTGGCGACCCGTCCGGCTCGCTGACGAGGCTGTAGGCGCTGCCGTCGTCGCCGTACATGAGCTCGTAGCTGGTGACATACTGGTCGAACAGCGGGCTGCCTTGCAGCACCACGCCGTATATCGGTTCAGGACTTGTTTAACCGGTCTCAGGACAGTACCTTGGGCGACCCGTCCGGCTGGCTGAAGAAACGAAGAGAGCGAAGACCCATCGTTCCCTCTCAGTCATTTCCTTCTGCAAGATGCCTGTCTCTCAGTAGTATAGAAGCGGGTCCCAGTACAGTACCTTGGGCGACCCGTCCGGCTCGCTGACGAGACTATAGGCGTTGCCGTCATCGCCATACATGAGCTCGTAGCTGGTGACGTACTGGTCGAACAGCGGGCTGCCTTGCAGCACCACGCCGTATATCGGCTCCGCGTGAGGCAATTCCACTTGGATGTACTGGTTCTTGTCGTTGATCTCCGGGTTCCAACTGCCAGCTGAAGTAAAGAACCAAAACAATATACACGGAGACAGCTATTTATTTTTATTTTTTGTTATGTGACAGGAGGCAAACGAGCAGATGGATCACCTGATGGTAAGTGATTACCGTCGCCCATAGACACCCGCAGACCCAGGGGCGTTACAGGTTACAGGTAAATCATAAACTCGTCATAAAACATGCAATGGTGCGGTTGAATTAAAAATCCAGATTAAAATTACATAAATATTTAAACTTAAGTATACACTTACGTACTTACTTACGTACTGGAAAGCGCAGCGTTGAATGTCCACCCACAAGGTGGATCGACGACCTCATAAAGGTAGCAGAAAGGTGCTGGATGCAGGCCGCTACCAACCGGTCATTATGGAAATCAGTTGGGGAGGCTTAAGTTCAGCAGTGGACATCCTATGGCTGAAATGATGTTGATGATGATGATGATGATACAATTATATTACCAGATACAGCTTTCGGGCGGCCGTTGAGCACAGCGTCTTGCGGTAGGAACTGGTTGCTAGCAACCGAGCTCGCGGTCAATATCGGCTTCACTTCCACGTCATCACCCCAAAGTAGGTATTTGTACCTACAGTGAAACGTATAAAATTATGTAAACGTAACGAGTTACTATTTATAAAGAAAATTATTTAAAAAACGTGATTAATTCTCAGATGGTTCGCAAATGTTAAGTTGTTAACGCTAAAAACTCAGCGGAAAAGTAATAAAATAAATCCGGCCATAGTCATGAAAGAGATCATAATGAAGTCTATCAACTCACCCTTCAGGATCACACTCCGGCGGCGGCGAGACCGTGCTCTTTATAATCAGAGGCGTCACAGTGGTCGGCGGCAGCGTGGTCGCCTTCGTGGTGGTCGCCTTTGTGGTCACAGTGGTGGGTTTAGGCGTGGTGGGTTTTGGTGTTGTTGTCGTGGTATACTTGATGGGCTGGTTGCGTTCCTCGTCGATGTAGGTGGTGCCGAGGGTCGTGCAGTGGGAGGAGTCGCAATGGAACGCGTTGTCGAGGCACTGGCACGTGACGCACCCGTCGGATTTGCGCTCGCCAGGCTGGTTATGATACGATAAATTCAATGCCTTATTCTACGTACATACAGGTGTATAATGTGAAAAGGGTCTACATACTAATAAAGAATTTGAATGTGATTTTGAAGTAACTACTTCTCTGCCTCTTCCTTTTACACGTATAAAGCGGTAACCTATGTTTATGAATTTCAGTAGTGAGATAGATGTAATAACCTATTAGAAGAAAGGAAGTATGCAATAAGAAATAAAAGTTGTTTATGGGCCTCGAGAGGTATTTTACCTCGTATAGTTGAGTAAATAGAAAGAAAGAAAGAAAGAAAGAAAGAAAGAAAGAAACATTTATTGCCATGGACATCACAGAAGACAAAAGATGTAAATAATAGAAAAAAAAGTAAATAAGACATAGGTGACATAAAATAAAACATACAATGAAAGTGAAAGTAAAACTGAGCAGTGCCACCCTGTCGCACAGCGATGTCCATCGCAATGGGACCCCACTCAGCATATGCCATGGCCCCCGGTGAGGGAGGCCACGACGCTGGTTTTCAGTGTGCCCCATGCCGAGTGGGAGTCACGGACACTAACCTATACTGCATAAAATATACATACATAAATAATAATAATAGTGCGCGTATAAATTTTAAGTGTAAGTACAGTATAATATTATTATTAAATAGCACAGTATACCTATACGTGTAGGTTAGGTAGGTATACTGTGTGATTTCTTGGTGTATCATTGCATACCTTGACCATCTTTCCATCGGCGTAGCAAGTGCAGTCCTTCTCAGGCACGCAGGTCTTCATGTCGCGCCAGCGGTACCCTTTGCCGCACTTCTGCTCGGCCACCGATATGTCCACGCAGCCTTTGATGCACTTCTGCAGATAAATTAAATTTATTTTTATTGAAGTCATCTACATTCAATAAAATATGTGGCCAAATATTGAACGAAACATAAGATCCAGAGTTTTATCCAGACGAACTAAGATTGTAATAAAGAGGAATTTAAAGCATAATTAGCAATTTGTGAATACAAATTATGTACTAATAATCCCGTTAACTCCTCATGGTAAGCTCAATATGTTTATGTTGGGAGTGGGTTCACCACAATAGTCACAGGCATCGAACCCGCGTTTCTCGGATCACGAGTCGGCCAGTCTGACCCCTTCACTGTTCTGATATCGTGGCTACAAAATTGGATCAGAGTCAGTGACCCGTATAAGAACCCTTGCGAAAAAGTCTAATGCCCATTTTCACCATCAATCCCTAATTTTTAAGTGACCCATATGAAAACAAAATTCATACTATTTGTTACCTTAGGGGTCACGTAAAAATTAGGGATTGATGGTAAAAACGGGCATAACTCTGTTTCTTTACTCTCCCATCCCTATCCACCCTACACTGTAAGATAGAGACGACTATACTTACGTCTCTAGGTCCACACTGGCCCTTGTCCCGGATCACGGCTCCAAGGTAGTCGCAGAGCTGGTCGCAAGGATAAGCGCATTCGCGGTACACCTGGCCTGGAGGACACAGCCCTGCCGTGCTTGCTTGTTCCGTCGTCGTTGGTGTGGCTGTTAACAAATACATGAAAATTTACTGCAGAATACCTTGCCATTTAGTTATGTAAAGTTATCATTCTGTTTACTTTTGATGCTGGGTGAAGTAACTGTAAGAGTAGTGATGTGATGACACATAAAAAGTATATTCATTATTGTGCACCAAACAAAATAGCCACAAAGAGATTCAAGAGAGCTTTCCTTGTTTAGGCTGTCTTATTGCTAGGAAGCTATAGTCGCCGCACAAGGGTGGCTAATTCACCATCGCCGTAGGGTCGAACATCGTGCCAGCCGATTACGGCGTGACGCGACGTATACTATGGTTGACTTGGTTTTAAAGCTCTCATTGATGAATCTAATGTAACTTACTAGGTGAAGTAGGCGCAACAGTTGTGACCTTAGTAGTGCTAGGAGTGGTTCCTTCAGTAGCACCACACTCGGGTCGCACGGCTGCCACAGAAGCTGGCCAGTGGCACACCATCGTCACAGGGTTGTACATGGTGCCAGCTCCGCAGGTCTTGAGCACGGCGTGACGTATGCTATTAAAGCTATCATTGGCGAATCTGGTATAACTTACTAGGTGAAGTAGGCGCAACAGTTGTGACCTTAGTAGTGCTAGGAGTGGTTCCTTCAGTGCAACACACTCGGGTCGCACGGCTGCCACAGAAGCGGGCCAGTCGCACACCATCGAGCACGGCGTGACGTATGCTATGGTTGACTTGGTCTTAAAGCTATCATTGGCGAATCTGGTATAACTTACTAGGTGAAGTAGGCGCAACAGTTGTGACCTTAGTAGTGCTAGGAGTGGTTCCTTCAGTAGCAACACACTCGGGTCGTACGGCTGCCACAGAAGCGGGCCAGTCGCACACCATCGTCACAGGGTTGTACATGGTGCCAGCTCCGCAAGTCTTGAGCACGGCGTGACGTATAGTTGGGTTGAGTAGGTCAGGCGTGCATTCGTAGAACTTGTCGCAGTCAGTGGGATGTTGGTAGTTAGGGTGCGTGTCGTTGAGGCATTGGAACGGTTCTGTGGAAAAGTTTGTAAATATTTTTAGCCTAGCCGAAGACAACGGATTTTTTGTCGGCGGATAGTTGGGTCGAGCTGTTAGTATGGACATGTATGAAAGTTGCGTACATTACACCGACTTGGTATCGGCCGATTTTTCATACAAATTAGATTTAGGGATAACTATATCGGCCTATTAAAAGTCTGTATTCTGCTGGGAGTCTTAAATAGCATATTATCATTGGACATTCTAATATATTTCGGGTCCGTATATCTCTCTCAAGCTTACCACATTCACACAACACCCTGATCTCAAAGTCAGGACAGGTGGTGCCGGTCTCGCGGCAGACTAGTCCTCGCTCCAGGCTGCACTCGACGTCCAGGCCGGTCTGCTTCGGCGTCTCGTGGTTGACGCGCGTGCGGCACTCGATGCCTTTCATCATGTCTTTGCTGCACATGGGGGAGCCGATTTTCTGGAGAGCAAATCATTTAGTTTACTAAAACAACATAATGCTTATTGAAAATATGATAGGCCAAAAATAGTAAGCTAAGTGAGCCAACCAATGGTTGGCAACCATATCTAACGCGAAACCGGAATAAAACCATATAATTTCGGCAATGTATATTTAGTATACTCTTATAGAGCATCCCCAGTCTCATGGAAAGATGATTCAAGACAATGACAATGGCTGGACGACCAAAGCGGGAGACGGTCGAACTTTAAGAACACCTCCAGCTGAAAGTTTAGCCAATCCTCGGGGACTATTATGTTATTTCGTTGCGAGTTCAATGTCACTTACCTAAACTTTCTTTGGAACTTACTGTGACGTCAATAGGGTTTTATTGAATACCTATTAAAAAACTAAAAACTAAAAAAAAACTAAAACTCATTTATTTCTGTAAATAGGCTTAAAAAAACACTTTTACACGTCCCAGTATTAAACCTACCACTGCTTCAGGACAATAAATGGGCCAGTGCTGAGAAGAAGCAGCGCAAGAAACTTAAGGATTCTGGCTGTGAAGCAGTTGCAGTGGTAGTTAGAGGTGGAATTATTTTTTTCCGCTTGAGAGGCTCGTCGTAGGGCTGGTCAGCTCGGCGTATGGCTCCTGGATGACATACAAGTCGTGGACTCACCAGATCCTTGAGGTCCAGTAGCGATTCCTTCTCCAAAGATGCACTTGAGAGGCTCGTCGTATGGCTGGCCAGCTCAGTGTAGGGCTCCTGCCTCACATACAAGCTGTGTACTCACCAGGTCTTTAAGCTCCGGCAGTGGCTCTTTCTCCACGGACTCCCCGCGAGGGCCCGCCTCTGGTGTGTGCTTGCTGACCCACGCCGTCCAGCCGTCAACGCACTTTAGAGGCTCGTCGTGCGGCTTGGGGCTAGTCGGTTCGGTGTACGGTTCCTGGATCATATTCAAAATACAGTAAATGACAATGTATTCCCGTTGTCCCCATTATTTGTCCGCCACTGGCGGATGTCGCTACATTTGTCCTAATTTTCACTAGTAGTGGATCATGAGAATTCGTCCATTTCAATCGTTTTGACCCTTATAGAAAACGAGATATTGGATTGTGCACAAAATCAAATATCTGAATTAATGAAAAGGGCAATGTTAAAATTAAATGATGACGAAAAACATTTTTTTTTAACTTGGTCTTCCTCTATGACCCTACCAATTACTAACTGTCAAACCACACATGTAATGCAAATAAATGATTTGATTTGATTTGACGTCAGCATCCAGCAACATTTTTGTCAATCTCTCTTAAGACTCCATTTGTACACTTACCGACTCAGTGGAACAGGGCTGGCCGGTACACACTCGTTCCTCCTTAGAGCATCGGCAAGTGTGGCACTCGTCTTCCTCGATGACGTCACCATCGAACACCTCTCTTCCATCCGGTAGCGTCATACAGACTGGACGGCATTTCTTCTATGACGTCATTAATCCAGAAACTCTATCTCTGTCTCTTTCTCCAGAACCCATGATTGTACACTTACCGACTCAGTGGAACAGGGCTGGCTGGTGCACACTCGTTCCTCCTTGCAGCATCGGCAAGTGTGGCACTCGTCTTCCTCAATGACGTCACCCTCGAACACTTCTCTTCCATCCAGTAGCGCCATGGCGGCATTTCTTCTACGACGTCATCATCCAGCAACTATCTGTCTCTCTCCCTAGACTTCATGATTGTACACTTACCGACTCAGTGGAACAGGGCTGACCGGTGCACACTCGTTCCTCCTTAGAGCATCGGCAAGTGTGGCACTCGTCTTCCTCGATGACGTCACCCTCAAACACCTCTCTGCCGTCCGACAGCGTCATACAGACTGGGAGGCATTTCTTCTACGACGTCATCATCCAGCAACTATCTGTCTTTCTCTCCAGATCTATGATTGTACACTTACCGACTCAGTGGAACAGGGCTGGCCGGTACACACTCTTTCCTTCTTGGAGCATCGACAAGTGTGACAATCGTCTTCCTCGATGACGTCACCCTCGAACACCTCTCTTCCATCCGGCAGCGTCATACAGACTGGACGGCATTTCTTCTACGACGTCATCATCCAGCAACTATCTGTCTTTCTCTCCAGATCTATGATTGTACACTTACCGACTCAGTGGAACAGGGCTGGCCGGTGCACACTCGTTCCTCCTTGGAGCATCGGCAAGTGTGGGACTCGTCTTCCTCGATGACGTTACCATCGAACACCTCTCTGCCATCCGGCAGCGTCATACAGACTGGACGGCATTTCTTCTATGACGTCATAATCCAGAAACTCTACCTCACTCTCTTTCTCCAGAATCCATGGCTAATATACTTACCGACTCAGTAGAACAGGGCTGGCCGGTGCACACTCGTTCCTCCTTGGAACATCGACAAGTGTGGCACTCATCTTCCTCAATGACGTCACCCTCGAACACTTCTCTGCCATCCGGCAGCGTCATACAGATTGGACGGCACTTTGCTCGCGGAACGCATTCGGTTAAGCTGTCGTTGCTATACACTTGGCCTTCTGGGCATGGCTTCTTGGGCTTACATCCTAAAAAAGGAAGAGTATGTTAGACACTTCTAAAAGTATTGTGGCCTGTCACATTGTCCATAGTATTCGGCAGCTGCCATAGCGTACTGAAGGATAATGGGGATTGTCTATTAATCGGCCACATGATTAGTAGGATAAGGTCCGTTTTACAAATAAAATTGTATATTTCATTAATACTAACACATGGACCAAAATGTAGTCTGATTGAATAAATATTTGAATTTGAAAAATACTAACATGTCATTAAACTTTTTTACTAACACTTTATGGTTTCCAACAAAGCGGAGCGGAGCGGAGAGAACCAAGACCCAATCAGATTTCAGTATTTTCACATCTCCTCTCCGCACCGCGTCGCCACCGCCGTCAAATTCTATAGAAAAATTCTTTCACCAGACATAATCTCCTCTCTTCTCCACTCCGCCTTGGTGGAAATCAGACCTCAGTTATTAGAAATTAATACTTTTTATTTCATTTATTGCAAAATAGCTTCTATTACAATGGCATAAGATACCAGTGTTATCTCAATCTGTACAATCATACCTTCGACGCAGGTGTCCTGCTCGCAGTTGCCTTTAAGCTCCTTGTACCCTTGCGTGTTGTCGCAGGTCTCGGCCGGGCACGCCGACACGCAGCCGTCGTAGTTCGAGCACTCCTCGTCGCACTGCATCGCTGTGATAGAATATTTAAAATTCAAGTTTATCATGAAATGTAATATTCTGAATATCAGCTCGAATATCAGTTTGAGGCTAGACCAAACATCGTCTGACCATGACAGATTTTATAGTTTAAAATTATAAAAACGTGTTTCATATTCTTACTGCTATAAAAGCAGTCGAATTCCGAGTCTAATCACAATCAATCCCAAATTTTTAAGTGAACCTAATGAAAATACCTGTTATGTGTTACTGTAGGGGCCTCGACTGGGAATTGATGAAATGAGAACGTAGTGGACTGTATTACAGGTTTATTGAAAGAAACTACGTTAATGACAGTTTGGTTGGCAATGATAAGCAAGGGAGCGCGCGCGGTGTCTGCGGTGGCGTGAGGTGAAGTGGGCGGCCGATCGCCGCGGGTGCCGCGCGCCCGCGCCTCTGGGCCGAGAGCAGCCGAGGGCAGCCGAAGGTGCTCGAACATCCTCCCCGGGTTGACCTCTTCGGGAAGTAGGGGTAACTTAAAAATTTGAAAAAAGATGGTGAAAAAGGGCACAAGACACATAGGCTCGCAGCGCTTCATGGAAGAAACTCGTCTACCTTCTAGTTTTAGCTTGTGTTAACTTAGCCTCTTCCACACTAGCGTCCTTCAAACGTTGGCGTCTCGTTAGCGCCTGCGCAGCGTCAACGCAGCGCACCAACTCTCTATAAACTAAATAACGCGACATCAGCGCTGTGTTGATCCGACGTTCGGCTCAGCGTTGGCGTCGTGGTGCCCAACGCTGAACCAGCGCCGCGTCGACGATGCGCGGGTGCTGGCAAGACTACGACGCTCGAAAAAGGCTAGTGGGTACAGCATCATGATGCCGCATGTGCTGACTGCCCAGTCTTTACGTTCGGGACGGGTTTTGCAGTAGTTCTAAGTCGACGCGGTGCACCAACTCTCTTTAATGCGACATCCGCTCCGCGTAGATCCGGCGTTCGGCTCAGCGTACGCATCGTAGTGACCGACGCTGAACCAGCGCCGCTTCGATAATGCGTGCAGTGTGCACTGATGACGCTCGAAAGACGCTAATGGGGGGTCCCTAAAAGATATTATGACTTACGGCACACTTGCTGGCTACGCCAATTAAAGGTGACACCTCTAACCACGCAAGCATGCGCGTACGCAGCCAGCGCGGCGCAGGCGCAGTCGCAGTCGGCGCCCGAGTCGCAGGCGTACGTGTCGCGCTCGCAGCGTTGCATATACGACATCCGCCGGACTTCTAGCGCTAGTTTATGCTAACTTAAGGCTATCAACACTCACGGCACACTTGCTGGCTGCGCCAATTAAAGGTGACGCCTCTAACCGCGCAAGCGTGCGCGTACGCAGCTAACGCTGCGCAGGCGCAGTCGCAGTCGGCGCCCGAGTCGCAGGCGCAGGCGTCACGCTCGCAGCGCTGCATATACGACATCCGCCGGACTTCTAGCGCTAGTTTATGCTAACTTAAAGCTATCAACACTCACGGCACACTTGCTGGCTGCGCCAATTAAAGGTGACGCCTCTAACCGCGCAAACATGCGCGTACGCAGCTAACGCCGCGCAGGCGCAGTCACAGTCGGCGCCCGAGTCGCAGGCGCAGGCGTCGCGCTCGCAGCGCTCGATGTATGGAGCGGGAGACACTTCGGTGGCGCATAAGCTGAATGGATACTGCTTCATGATGCCGCATGTGCTGACTGCCCAGTCTCTGCGCTCGGGACGGGTTTTGCAGTAGTCCTATTAATACAATACAAAGTTTTTTATTGGAGAACATAATTATTGACTCCTTGATCACTTTAGTGGACTGAGTGTGAGTTTACATTTTACATCTAACGCGCTCCCAAAAATGTACGAAAATTTTACTTTTTGAACGTTTCCCGCTAGGGGCGCTGTACAATCCGTCATACATTTAATGAGCGCGTTTACCCTTACCCTTAGGGCGTACGCTAAAACGTGCGCGGGTATACAGACCACCAGTCGTGCGCCCGCGTCAGCTGTGCGTGTGAAAAACGTCGTACGCGCCCGCGCTAAACTACGCTACTTAATACATTTTTCAATACAAATATAACTGCGAGCGCCCGCGCTAGTTTTAGCGTAGGCCCTTAGAATGTTTTTACCACGTGTTTTTCATTGTATGATACTTATTTTTTGGCAATGGTGCCGCATGATTCAGTCGAGTAATTACAACGAAACAAAGTAAAAAAATTGAGTGCCAATTAATTAATAATGAGATTAACTTACCGAAACTTCTTTTGGTTTAGGGCACGTAGGTTTCAGTTTCCAAGAGTCCGCGAATACTAAAGCGGATGATTCCGGTAGACCTCCACCAGATGGCGTTTGGAAGTCGTCGCGCTGGTCGCCGTTGAAGTTGCCGCAGAGACCTTTCACCTACGATAAATTTTAATTATTACTTTATTTTATTATTATTTTATTACTTTACTTTAGGTTTTTTTAACATTATAAATTCCATACACCAGTAGTACCACCATAAATTAAGAAGATTTTTCCTAGCCTCGCTAGATGGCGTAGCGGTCGCGCTGCCCCGCGGTGTGTGAGTATTTTTTCCGTTCCTTAAAGCCCCCGAGTGACTTCGTGTCGTCACTCTGGTTTCCCTTCAATACGAATAAATCTTTCGCCTTTTACTAAAGATTTCCGTGGAGGGGAACACTCAAATGAGTCTTAACTCTATTTTTGACACCTTGCCTCGTGCAAGGTAAAGAATTTATCAATAAGTTATCATCAAAATCCGTTCCGTAGTTTTTGCGTGAGAGTAACAAACATCCAACCAAACTTTGGCATTTATAATATTAATCGGATTATAGGCTGGCTCGACACACACTGTTGATCCATAATACAGACTTACTAGCGTCTAGCGTGATTGCATTGTATTGTCGAAAACGACGCTGACGCCATGACTATTTTATTTTAACTTGTTTTAATATTTGTATTTATTTTTCCAAAAAATCTAATAAATTGAGGCCCGTAAGTAAATTCAATCTTGTCAGACATCATAGAGTTCGATCCGCATTTGGCCATTACAAAAAGATTAATTTGCTAATAAAACAATAACTCTTAAGGTAAGGTGATAAGGTCTATCTTAATTACCCTGTTCCGCCAGACTGCGTCCACTTTAACGTAAACTCGCAGGCCGCGGTCCCACTGCAGGCTAACTCCCAGAGACGGCACGTCCAAGAACACAAACGCGCCCGCTACGCGAAGCTTTATCCTAGAAGAATAATGAATCTGGTTAACAANTTAAGCTTAAATGACTGGACTAAATACTTTATTACAACTAGGGGACTGCGGACAGGAGAAGAGAGAAGATGCGTTTCTAATAACTCAACAGTAGGGATGTTATGGATTATGTAGTTTCGATTATGGATACAGTTACGGATATAGGAATAATATTATACCGGTTTCGGTTACGGTTACGGATATTTTTTTATTTCGGATATCCGAAAGTTTCGGTTACGGTTACGGATATTTGTGCTTTAGAATGCAATTTTCAATAGTTGTCCAACACTGTTCATTCATGGCCGCACATTTTAAATCGAATAAAAAGTAATGTGAGCGCGCCAATACGTATGCGGCGCGCACGCACACACTGAAAAAATTTAGCGTTGATTAGCGGTGAGGTGCACTCACATACAAACCGCGCTCGGGCGTTTCTATGAAGATGACCTACTGATTTTTATTTATTCTGTTATTACCTCTTTAGCTTGGAGGTGTCAGGCAGCGGCGCGCCCTTAGTGAGCGCAACCACCTCTTGGTTGCCGCCGCCGCCAACCTTCAGGGTGGTTGACTTGGAGCACGTCGCGCCTGTAGTCCCGCATGGAACGTTCTGGAATAAACAGATATTTTTCGGTTTGAACTCACTACATATTAGGAAATCAAATCAATTGTACCAAAATACCAACATAGATTAGTCGTTTTTTGCCGATTATGTAAGATCCTTTGTATACCAACGAGAGAGTTTGAATTTGAAGCTTATTATTTCATACCAAAATTAACCTATTTTTTGCCTGTATTTGTAGGTAGTCTTAAGAGTAGGTCAGCTTTATTCACCACTAAGTACTCTGTGCAATTTATCTAAATAACAAGCTGATAATGGCCTGTAAGTTAGTACACATGAAAAAAGGTTTACACAAGAACACTAACCTGTATCTCCACATCGAACCCATCATTGGAGTCCATGACACCCTTAGCCAGCAGATAGGTGCAGACGCCTTCGAAGTCGTACTGCGCTCCGTCGAAGGTGTCGAGGTAAGAGTCACTCAGTCACCAAACGCGGGTGGTGCACGACCAGTTGCCGCTCTTGCACTCGCTAAGGACCGCAATATGATAATAAATAGAGTAAGAAAACACCAACCTGTATCTCCACCTCGAACCCATCATTGGAGTCCATGACGCCCTTAGCCAGCAGATAGGTGCAGACTCCTTCGAAGTCGTACTGCGCGCCGTCTATCTATGGTTCTTCTATGGTATAGTATGGTGTTTACATTAGGCTCAAGCACAAAATACTAACCTGTATCTCCACATCAAACCCATCATTGGAGTCCATGACGCCTTTAGCCAGAAGGTAGGTGCAGACTCCTTCGAAGTCGTACTGCGCGCCGTCTATCTATGGTTCTTGTATAGTATAGTATGGTGTTTACATTAGGCTCTAGCACAAAACGCTAACCTGTATCTCGACATCGAACCCATCGTTGGAGTCCATGACACCCTTAGCCAGCAGATAGGTGCAAACTCCTTCGAAGTCATACTGCGCTCCGTCTATCTATGGTTCTTCTATGGTATATTATGGTGTTAACGTTAGGCTCTAGCACAAAACACTAACCTGTATCTCCACATCGAACCCATCATTGGAGTCCATGACACCCTTAGCCAGCAGATATGTGCAGACTCCTTCGAAGTCGTACTGCGCTCCGTCTATCTATGGTTCTTCTATGGTATATTATGGTGTTAACGTTAGGCTCTAGCACAAAACACTAACCTCTATTTCCACATCGAATCCATCATTCGAGTCCATGACGCCTTTAGCCAGCAGATAGGTGCAGACTCCTTCGAAGTCGTACTGCGCGCCGTCTATCTATGGTTCTTCTATGGTATAGTATGGTGTTTAAGTTAGGCTCTAGCACAAAACACTAACCTGTATCTCCACATCGAAGCCATCATTGGAGTCCATGACGCCATTAGCCAGCAGATAGGTGCAAACTCCTTCGAAGTCATACTGCGCTCCGTCGAAGGTGTCGAGGTGGGAATCACCCCTTGCAGTTCACATAGAATAGGACACAAAACACCAACCTGTATCTCCACATCGAATCCATCATTGGAGTCCATGACGCCCTTAGCCAGCAGATAGGTGCAGACTCCTTCGAAGTCGTACTGCGCTCCGTCGAATGTATCGAAGCGGGAGTCGCCCTAAGTAGTCACATAAAATAGGACACAAAACACTAACCTGTATCTCCACATCGAACCCATCATTGGAGTCCATGACACCCTTAGCCAGCAGATAGGTGCAGACGACTTCGAAGTTGTACTGCGCGCCGTCTATCTATGGTTTTTCTATGGTATATTATGGTGTTTACATTAGACTCTAGTACAAAACGCTAACCTGTATCTCCACATCGAACCCATCATTGGAGTCCATGACACCTTTAGCCAGCAGGTAGGTGCAGACTCCTTCGAAGTCGTACTGCGCTCCGTCGAAGGTGTCGAGGTGGGAGTCGCCCCACGCGCCGCACAGGCCGGAGCAAACGCGGGTGGTGCACGACCAGTTACCGTTCTTACATTCACTGAGGAACACAAAAGTATGATAACAAGTAATTCTTTATTGAACAATTTGTCATTTTAATTAAAGTTAAACGCAGCGTGGGATGTCCACCCACAAGGTGGACCGACGACATCGTAAAGGTAGCAGGAAGGCGCTGGAGGCAGGCCGCTACCAACCGGGCAACATGGAAAGCATTGGGGGAGACCTATGTTCAGCAGTGAACGTGCTATAGCTGAAATGATCATGATGATGATAAATTAAAATGTAAGTAAAATTACACACACGCCTAAATTTTTTCACGGGAAAATAAGCTTATGTTACATACTGATGACTTCTTTGATTAAAAGTAAGATAGACATTACCAAACACTTGCGTTGGTCGCTACGCCAGCGCCTCGTCGACGTTGCACAGGCGCTGGCAGACGACGACATTCAGAAGAGGCAAGTCTAGGGGAAGTCCAAATATAACGGTTTGCGTTGAGATGCGACTTGGCACCTGCGTCCAGTATGATCCCGCCTCGCACTGGCAGCCCTACACTCGCCGCGTGACGTCACGCTCACCAGGTGTTGCACGCCTCCTGCATGCGGCTCCCGTCGGGGTAGCTGCGGCCGCCGTGGTGGCAGGGGCAGGCGGCGCGCGGCACGCACTTGTGGCGCCCGCCTCGCACTGGCAGCCCTACACTCGCCGCGTGACGTCACGCTCACCAGGTGTTGCACGCCTCCTGCATGCGGCTCCCGTCGGGGTAGCTAACCCATCATTGGAGTCCATGACGCCTTTAGCCAGAAGGTAGGTGCAGACTCCTTCGAAGTCGTACTGCGCGCCGTCTATCTATGGTTCTTGTATAGTATAGTATGGTGTTTACATTAGGCTCTAGCACAAAACGCTAACCTGTATCTCGACATCGAACCCATCGTTGGAGTCCATGACACCCTTAGCCAGCAGGTAGGTGCAGACGCCTTCGAAGTCATACTGAGCGCCGTCGAATGTATCGAAGCGGGAGTCGCCCCAAGTAGTCACATAAAATAGGACACAAAACACCAACCTGTATCTCCACATCGAATCCATCATTGGAGTCCATGACACCCTTGGCCAGCAGGTAGGTGCAGACTCCTTCGAAGTCATACTGCGCGCCGTCGAATGTATCGAAGCGGGAGTCGCCCCAAGTAGTCACATAAAATAGGACACAAAACACCAACCTGTATCTCCACATCGAATCCATCATTCGAGTCCATGACACCCTTAGCCAGCAGGTAAGTGCAGACTCCTTCGAAGTCGTACTGCGCGCCGTCTATGTATGGTTCTTCTATGGTATAGTATGGTGTTAACGTTAGGCTCTAGCACAAAACACTAACCTGTATCTCCACATCGAACCCATCGTTGGAGTCCATGACACCCTTAGCCAGCAGATATGTGCAGACTCCTTCGAAGTCGTACTGCGCTCCGTCTAAGGTGTCGAGATGGGAGTCGCCCCACGCGCCGCACAGGCCGGAGCAAACGCGGGTGGTGCACGACCAGTTGCCGCTCTTGCACTCACTGGGGAATGAAAAAGTACGATAGCAAGTATTTTATTTTATATTGAACAATATGTCATTTTTATTAAAATTAAACGCAGCGTGGGAAGTCCACCCACAAGGTGGACCGACGACATCGTAAAGGTAGCAGGAAGGCGCTGGCTGGACGCATGCCGCTACCTACCGGGCAACATGGAAAGCATTGGGGGAGGCCTATGTTCAGCAGTGGACGCCCTATGGCTGAGATGATGATAATGATGATGATTAAAAATAAAATATAAGTTAAATTACACACGTGCCTAAAATGTTTTACGGGAAAATAAGCTTATGTTACATACTGATGATGACTTGTTTGATTAAAAGATAGATAGACATTACCAAACACTTGCATCGCTGCGCCAGCGTCGCGTCGACGTTGCGCAGGCGTTGGCAGACGACGACGTTCGGAAGATGCAAGTCTAGGGGAAGTCCAAATATAACGGTTTGCGTTGAGTTGCGACTTGGCACCTGCGTCCAGTATGATCTCGCCTCGCACTGGCAGCCCTACACTCGCCTCGCACTGGCAGCCCTACACTCGCCGCGTGACGTCACGCTCACCAGGTGTTGCACGCCTCCTGCATGAGGCTCCCGTCGGGGTAGCTGCGGCCGCCGTGGTGGCAGGGGCAGGCGGCGCGCGGCACGCACTGGCAGCCCTACACTCGCCGCGTGACGTCACGCTCACCAGGTGTTGCACGCCTCCTGCATGCGGCTCCCGTCGGGGTAGCTACGGCCGCCGTGGTGGCAGGGGCAGGCGGCGCGCGGCACGCACTGGCAGCCCTACANCCATCATTGGAGTCCATGACACCCTTAGCCAGCAGATATGTGCAGACTCCTTCGAAGTCGTACTGCGCTCCGTCGAAGGTGTCGAGATGGGAGTCGCCCCACGCGCCGCACAGGCCGGAGCAAACGCGGGTGGTGCACGACCAGTTGCCGCTCTTGCACTCACTGGGGAATGAAAAAGTACGATAGCAAGTATTTTATTTTATATTGAACAATATGTCATTTTTATTAAAATTAAACGCAGCGTGGGAAGTCCACCCACAAGGTGGACCGACGACATCGTAAAGGTAGCAGGAAGGCGCTGGCTGGACGCATGCCGCTACCTACCGGGCAACATGGAAAGCATTGGGGGAGGCCTATGTTCAGCAGTGGACGCCCTATGGCTGAGATGATGATAATGATGATGATTAAAAATAAAATATAAGTTAAATTACACACGTGCCTAAAATGTTTTACGGGAAAATAAGCTTATGTTACATACTGATGATGACTTGTTTGATTAAAAGATAGATAGACATTACCAAACACTTGCATCGCTGCGCCAGCGTCGCGTCGACGTTGCGCAGGCGTTGGCAGACGACGACGTTCGGAAGATGCAAGTCTAGGGGAAGTCCAAATATAACGGTTTGCGTTGAGTTGCGACTTGGCACCTGCGTCCAGTATGATCTCGCCTCGCACTGGCAGCCCTACACTCGCCTCGCACTGGCAGCCCTACACTCGCCGCGTGACGTCACGCTCACCAGGTGTTGCACGCCTCCTGCATGAGGCTCCCGTCGGGGTAGCTGCGGCCGCCGTGGTGGCAGGGGCAGGCGGCGCGCGGCACGCATTTGTTAGCGCCCGCGTCAAGCACGAAGCCCGCCTTGCACTGGCAGCCCGGCCGGCACTCCGCGCTCGTGGTGGAAGGCGGTAGATGCATGTTCTGGTGAGGTATAAGTGAATAGATTCGAATTAAATTTAAAAAAGACGCTAGCGTCTAGACGCCGACCCCAAATAATGGGAAAAAGAGCTAGGGAAAATAAGAAGATGTTAGTATAAAAGACACTAGCGATTTTCGAACGTCATCGTCATGCCTGCGCCCGCGCATCGTCAACGCAGCGCTTGCTCAATGTCAACGCGATGCCAATGTTGAGAGGCTGCCGAATCTACTTTCACACTGATTGTACCCGAACGCCAACGCTGTGGTTCGCACTGCGTCAACGCTGCGCACGCGCTGGTGAAATGACGACTTTCAAAAGACAGTAATGGAGAGGCATTAATAACTGTACTGTATGCAACAACACTTGATGCAACACCACTCTAATTTGACACAAATCATACAAAATGTGTAGAGGAATATATTTACGCTTTTTGGTTTCTACGTCCGCGTCTGCCAACCGTAACAATATGTATAATAGGAATGAAGTGCAAACCTTGCAAGTCAACGGCTCGGCGACCATACAAGTGGTGAACTCCATGTGGTTGGCGGCGCTGCAGTTGGAACGTAGATCTTCCGCCGGAGGATAGTTCTGGATGTCTGAGTCGGTTGCCGGCACGCACTCCCATCGTGCGCCCACGCAGGTACTAAATAAAAACTTATTTTAATACACATTTAACGTATATTTTTGCTTAAATATACAAGAATTCTGTAAGGTATAGGTACTTACAGAGTAAATACAAATGAGTAGGTCATCTTCATAGAATATAGAGGGGATGAGAACATAGAACGCACCGAACGCGCCCCATACGTATTGGCGAGCTCACATGCAAACTGCGCTTGGTGCGTTTCTATGAAGATGACCTACTCATTTGTATTTACTCTGTTACTTATACCAGGCCTGTTCATCTCCGCGAGTTTACATCGAAAACAAAACACACACGATGGCCCNGCGGCACGCACTGGCAGCCCTACACTCGCCGCGTGACGTCACGCTCACCAGGTGTTGCACGCCTCCTGCATGCGGCTCCCGTCGGGGTAGCTACGGCCGCCGTGGTGGCAGGGGCAGGCGGCGCGCGGCACGCATTTGTTAGCGCCCGCGTCAAGTACGAAGCCCGCCTTGCACTGGCAGCCCGGCCGGCACTCGGCGCTCGTGGTGGAAGGCGGTAGATGCATGTTCTGGTGAGGTATAAATGAATAGACTCGAATTAAATTTAAAAAATACGCTAGCGTCTAGACGCCGACCCCAAATAATGGGAAAAAGAGCTAGGGAAAATAAGAAGATGTTAGTATAAAAGACACTAGCGAATTTCGAACGTCATCGTCATGCCGGCGCCCGCGCATCGTCAACGCAGCGCTTGCTCAATGTCAACGCGACGCCAATGTTGAGAGGCTGCCGAATCTACTTTCACACTGATTGTACCCGAACGCCAACGCTGTGGTTCGCACTGCGTCAACGCTGCGCACGCGCTGGTGAAATGACGACGTTCAAAAGACACTAATGGAGAGGCCTTAAGAACTGTACTGTATGCAACAACGCTTGATGCAACACCACTCTAATTTGGCACAAGACATACAAAATGTGTAGAGGAATATATTTACGCTTAGAAACCAAATTTCTACGTCCGCGTCTGACAACCGTAACAATATAACAGCTATGAAGTAGGTACAAACAAACCTTGCAAGTCAGCGGCTCGGCGACCATACAAGTGGTGAATTCCATGTGGTTGGCGGCGCTGCAGTTGGAACGTAGATCTTCCGCCGGAGGGTAGTTCTGGATGTCTGAGTCGGTTGCCGGCACGCACTCCCATCGTGCGCCCACGCAGGTACTAAATAAAAACTTATTTTGATACACAACGTATATTTTTGCATAAATATACAAACTGATTGGCCTACTTATTCACACGATCAGGAAACAATAGGGGCGTTTAGCGGAAAAAAGCGCTTGAAAGCAAAATGGCGACGCAGCGGTAAGCGCTGTCACTGCTAAAAAATGAATGAAACACGTCACTTTTGAAGTTAGCAAACGTGTCCTCGTCGAAAACTGCCGTAGCGATCGCTATTTTGCTTACAAGCGCTTCCAAGCGCTTTTTTCCGCTCAACGCATGCGGTATAAATACTTACCATAGTTCTCTCTCGCGTCTGCCAGGCCTGACCTCTTTGTAGCCGGCGTCGAACTTCATGCCCTTATGGTTGCAAGGGCACAGACCTTTCGGCACGCAAGTGTTCTTATCATCGAGGACCTGCGATAGTAAAGATACACATCTAAGTACATCCATCAAATGAAATCTTAAAGAAGCTTCACCTGGAGTCCTCAATCACAGAGGAACTGGCTATCTTACCTCCTTTACTTTAGTAAGGAATGAATAAGCATGAAATCAAAGTTGACGTAATAGTTATTTAGAAAAACGCTTTTGGTAACGTTGACGTCAAAGCTCAAATCAGCCTTTTGTGAAACGGCAGCCATCACTAGATCGATAAAAGTCCATTCGCGTTCACTGTATTGTGCGTCCCTCTCTCACACACCAGGAGCCTGGTACGAGTGAGCGAGACGGCCTACCTGTCCGGGCGGGCAGGCGCATCCCTCCACGCAGTACGGTTTGCAGTTGCTGCTGGCAGACAGCGCCACGTCGGTGCAGGTCCGCTCGCAACCGTATAAGCACGCTACATATCGTGCGTCACTTTCTCGCACACCAGGAGCCTGGTACGAGTGAGCGGGACGGCCTACCTGTCCAGGCGGGCAGGCGCATCCCTCCACGCAGCAAGGCTTGCAGTTGCTGGTGGCAGACAGCGCCACGTCGGTGCAGGTCCACTCGCAGCTGTATGAGCACGCTACATGTCGTGCGTCCCTCTCTCGCACACCAGGAGCTTGGTACGAACGAGGGAGATGGCCTACCTGTCCAGGCGGGCAAGCGCAGCCCTCCACGCAGCAGGGCTTGCAGTTGCTGCTGGCAGACAGCGCCACGTCGGTGCAGGTCCGCTCGCAGCCGTATAAGCACGCTACATGTCGTGCGTCCCTCTCTCGCAGCCAGGAGCCCGGTACGAGTGAGCGGGACGGCCTACCTGTCCAGGCGGGCAGGCGCAGCCCTCCACGCAGCAGGGCTTGCAGTTGCTGGTGGCAGACAGCGCCACGTCGGTGCAGGTCCGCTCGCAGCTGTCCGCGCATACTGTGTACTCCTGGCCGCCGGTGCATTGCAGTTCTGTATCAACAAAAATGATAGACTAAATAAAAATTAATAGGAGACTAATGTCCGTTTTCACCATCAATCCCTAATTTTTAAGTGACCCCTACTATGAAAACAAAATTCCTGTTGTGGTAACACACAGGGGTAGGGTTCACTTTTAGGGATTGATGGTGAAAATGAGCATAAACAAGGTATAAAAAATTCTACATCAATACGAATTTTTTCCATCAATGAAGGCTATCATGTTTGCGCTCGCCTTTTGGAACCACTGACAAGTATGATCCTGATACAATGTTTTTTCTCCAAAGAAAAGGACGTGAACCATCAGTGACATAAGACAGCATCTTTCGCCCGCTCACCAGTTGGCACCACTGGCACACCTGTGCTGTATTGTGTCACTCACCACACTCCTTGACGTTGTAGCGCCACTGCAGCAGCACGCCGCTCTTGGCGCAGGCCATGGCGTAGTCGCCGAGCAGCGGGCACAGGCAGCGCGCCGCGTCGCCGCCGCACGCGCACATGTCGTACAGGCACGCTTCGTAGTGCGCTTCCACGTCCACGAACCAGTGGCATTCTAAAATAACCAGTCAAGTATCAGTCACATCACATCCCCAAGCAGGTTTTAGATTTAGGAACCCCCAAGGAAAACGCAAACGTGGTCGCCCCAAACAAACTGCGGCGCACTGTAGCAGACGAGGAGAAGAAAATCGGCAAGACCTGGAGCGAGATCAAACGCAAAGCTCAAGACCAAACGCGATGGAGGACTGTTGTGTCTGCCCCATCTAGGGGACATCGGACATTAAGTCAAGTACATAATTCGACGACGTTACGAGTCGACGATATTAAATGCCACAGATACACCGCCATAGCTCAAAACACGCCCGAAAAACTCGTGCTTCAACGCCGCTTATAAACACTCTGGCTAACAATCACCGAGAATCGTCGTGAAATGCACCGTTAAAAAAGTAAAAAAACAACTAACCACTCTAAAAAGAGACCGCATGCAAAATTACATTCAGAAAAAAGCTACATGTTACGTAATATTTAAATCTATTGAAGAATCAGAAATAAAATCATAAAAACATGACATTTGACTGTGGTGTAAACTACTGTACAAGAACGAAGTGGAAAGCAAAACATATTCATTCTCACCTTCAAATAGCTTGCTCTTCAACTTGCTGCAGTACTTCTCAGCCATTTCCTTATTCTGAACGTTTGCTTTGCAAGGGTGCTCGGGTTCCTTAGTGCTCAAGTCTTCGCAGAACTCCCTGGTCTTCCATTTGTTCGCGAACGCGAGGGTAGACTGCTCTACGTCGCCTTCGGGAGTCAAGAAGTCGTCGCTTTGTTTCAAGTTGAAGGTTCCACATAAACCCTATGAACAAGGAGTTAACAAAATAAATGTTACAGACAAATGTACACATCCGGCTCGAAGGACCAAAAGTAGGGTGCTTTTCTTGTCATATATGTATTTGGATTTAGAATAAAAAATCTTGTTATATCTTACTTTGGTCTTGCCCTGGAATGATGGCGGTACGTCGACAAACACTCTGGTGTTGCCATCCCACCAGATATCCACTTTCAGAGGCAGTTGCACTGGAAACAAACGCGTATTATTTAGTATAGATTAGGATATAGGATTCTAATGGGGAAACAATTGTTCAAATCGGTCCAGTAGTTTAGGAGTGTATTCAATACAAATAAACAATCAAATCTTTCTTTATAATATTAGTGTAGACTATAATATACAAAAAAAGTTACCAATGATAAACAACGAAGAAGCGGCTCGAATCCTGATCTGTCCCACGTTGACGGGAAGTGCAGACACCTCTTTCCCATTGACAAGAATCAGTCCTCCTTGCTTCAGGTGGATGTCGGCGCCGTCGTACCTGAGGTTCACGGCTTTCGTGCAGGACGGCCTGCCCTCGCCCTTGTACGGTGTTAGGTTCATTTCCTAGGTAATATTTATTTATTTATTTATTTATTTATATATTGATAGACATTAGAAATGTATTTTGGTTAAATGAAGAAGTTTAAAGATTGAGTGTTTAGAAGACTTAAAAATTTCATTTCAGGAGCAATATTATTGAAAATCTTATTCAAAAAGCTTCATTGGAGGCTAAGGTGGGAAACTGTAGTGGGATAAAAGACCAACAGCTGAGTTTATTTATGACCTAGACTGAAACTCATGTTCACAAATCTGAATTCCGAGATCACAATAAGTATTAACCAAATAGACAAGTTAAAGAATCGGCGTTTAAGCACCAACCTAAAAATCTGTCAATAAATGACATTACACCATCGTTATGTGCATGTACATGTACATACACAAGTAAAGCTCACTCGCCTTCGTGAATTGCAACCACTACAAAGTAAACTAAAGTTAAAAACCGGTGAGTTACCTCAGTAATAGCTCCCGAACACGCAACGTTTTCCACTTCAACCGTGATATTGTTAGTCTGCAGTAAGGTGTACGTGCAGTGTCCCATGAAGTCGTATCTTTGCCCGTCGAAGGTCGTATAGTGAGGGTCGCCCACGGCACTGCAGCGCGCGCCACAAGGCACCTGAGTGCACTTCCACTCGCCTGCTTGACATGTGCTGGTAAAGGAAGGCTGCTTTTAGGGTGAGTTTCAGTCGAAAAACTATACTTACGAGCAAAAGTATGGCATCACCCCCTTGTGTTTTGTACCGAGCGATCTTAAGAACTGAATGACTATGTATGTATCTTTGGTATCAATTTAAAGTTTATAATATTACCTTTAAAATGGTACAATTTTTATTTGTCTCATATTAGTCATTAATTTTTTGTGATCGCTCGAAACAAATAGGGTGATTCCATATTTTTGCTCGCGAGTGTAGTAATAGCTATGGAATTAGAACTTCTTTTAAAATAAAAAATCGATTACTGCTTGCTTTACAAAAAAGGAATTACAAAAAAAACTTACATTTGACTTTTCTGAACTTGTCTACACTACACGTTTTCGCGTCTCGTTTCTACGTTTGATGCATCAATACAGTTCAAAAGACCTTTCTTTTCTTTAATTTTCTTCGAGAGCATTGATTACTTCTTTTTGATCAGCCACCGGTATACGAAAGACGCTATAGATCGTTTTATCCATGAAGACGCGCCCCACCAATGTTTGGTCGAGGGAAGCGCGGGGTGCGGGGAGTTTGATCCGAGCAATCCGAACGTCATTATTGCAGTGTGCGTGTGCACTCATGGATAATTTAGCGTGTACCGATAACACTCAAACGTTAGCGGAAGAATGGTGGGGCGCGTCTCCGTAGATTAAACGATCTATGATAAAGCTAATAATTTTGACAATTTATGCAGTTGTAATTATTTATAATTATGTTAAGTCCGTTCTGTTGTTTACACATATTAAAGATACGGAATCTGGACGTTAATGCAGGTTTAAAGACAAGCAAAACGTGTACTAGACGGTTGCCAAAACTCACCAACTGTTGCACTCCTTAGGTATAACAGACCCAGGCTTGAAGCTCCTGTTCCTCAGTCTGCACGGACAGTCTTCCTTCTGGACGCACTTGCCTCCTTCCAGCAGTAGGCCTTCGGGACAGAAGCAGCCTTCGATGCAGGTGGCGTTGTCGGCCTTTGAGGCCACTTGCGGAAAGGAGCAGCTGGGCTGGGAGTCTGGCCCGCAGACCTTGTAGATTTTACCGTCGGGACAGGTTTTGGCTGTGGAAAGAAGATCAATGTAGCTGACTTTTATGTAGCTTACAAAAAGTGCGAAAATTGATATTTTAACACGTTCAGTGACACCGATTTGCACGGAGAGTTCACGTAAATCGTAGGCGGCATCAGAAAAGGCATCATGAAACTCGTAGTGGTAATAACCACGGTAAGACATCATACAGGTACAGAATTTATGTACCTTGCCCTTGTTTTATGGAGAGTCGAGGGTAAACGCGCTATGGGCAGAGCAATTGGTCTAACGTCGTGATTAAAGCTAGTGAACGTAGAATACATCTAGCCCTCTACGCACATAGATGACGATCATTGATCACAGTCCTCAGCAACGAAGGACACAAGAAAAAAATTATCGCTAGATGGAAAGGGACTTATAAAGATGAAAGCTTACAAAATTTCTGTATTTTATTCTAATTATTCGTTGTTAAAGTTGCTATTCGTCTAATCAATTGGATTCACTTATCTAAAAAGTATTCGTGACTTACGGCAAGTGTCGGGGTCTCTCCAGAACTTCATTTCTTCCACTCCATGTCGTAAGCACTCCTTAGCAAACACAGAAACCGTGCTGCAAGCGCATTCCTCGGGATCTGAAAACAGGAAATATTGAACCAAAACCATAAATCGATGAGTCATTTAAATTAATCAGCATAACTTTGTTTTATCTGATCGAGAAGCCTTACCTTGACTATCTTTACAAGCGCAGTAGTCTTCTTGGCAAGCTTCTAGCAACAGGGTCACGTCCATAACCTGATAAAAGAATCACATGAGAGTTCAGTTACTTTTTGGTGATCTTTGTTTATTGTTATTTGTAAAAAAAAGACAATTAGGTAACTTTATTTCCATTGCCCAGTACCCATAGTATGTACAATTCCTGCTTATTTTGGAACTAGATGGCGCAATGTAAAATACGTCGAAGGAATTATTTGACTGGCTGACATGCATGTTCCTCAGTGATGGCACTTATGCACACTGTTCTATGTGCAAAGTTTGAAATAAAATAATAATGTCAGCCAAAAATGACACCCAGAGTAGCCAAAAAGTTATTCAACCTTATTCCAATTGTAACATTGTAACAAAGATGCGTTACGAACTTTTTGGCAACTTTGGGTATCACGAACTATTTGACGCTGCCTGTACTGTACATTTTTGTTGCTAAATAGCACCTGTTACAACGACAAAGGATGCTAGTGTTTAGCTTGATTGTCTGCGGGGCTACTCCGAAAAAACGTTATCCGAAGTTTCGATTGTTGCCATCCCTCTCACACAAAGCGAGATGCCAGCATGGGCGACGGTGACAGATAGACCCGAAACTACGTAAACAGCGTTTCGGAGTAGCCCCCTGTACCTTCGAGCACTTGCGGAACTTGTCCTTGCTGAATATCCTGGCGCAGAACAGCTGGGCCTTCTTCTTGGCGTCGTCGGGCTGCGCCGCGCAGTGCGCCGCGTCGGACGGGCTGCCTTCGCAGATGTCTGAGCGAGTTCAACAATATTTTTACTTAACACGTTAGCTGCCACCCCGGTAACCGAACCCCTACCTACATTACCTACATTTGACCGGGGTGGCAGCTAACGTGTTAAACAAACCTTTCTCAAATCAAACTAGTCTATAGCCGTGACGTAAACGAGCAAAAACTACAAAAGTGACGACCTAGGTACGCTACTAAAAATAGTCACTATCTACGTCAGCACTAGAAGAATTTGAAAACATCATGGTACATCAAAGTATTTAATTTTTGTCTTATTAACACATAACTAATTCAATAGGCTAGTTTACTAAAAAAATTTTTTTAGTCCGTCAATTTTAATATAAAAAAATATTGGACACGTATGTATATTTTTAATTGTCAATCAAACAAATAATTGCAAAGTTATAGTGCGTTGAAGTTCCGCGCGATGTCACAAAGTGCTGCACTTTTACGCACTCACTGATGTCACAGGCCTTTTCTTTAGAACTTTGGCACGCTTTATCTCTTTACATTTTCATTAGTTTTAAAAAGTGAAAAATACGTGTCGATTAGTTTTTGATAAGTTAACTGACGGACTAATTAAAACTCTTGCTTTTTTACCCAGGAAACATCCCTATTCGCCGAATGCCAAGAGTTACAAGATTTTATTTTCAAACCAACCTTGTTCCTGAGGATTGGGCAATGAATCATCAATAACTTTATTACTGATATTAAATATGAAAAAGATTCAACTAATTACCTCCAATTTTGTTAAGCTGCCAGGACGACGCCATAGCAGCCTTGGTCTTGGCACGGGATCCCTCTCTGGTGACCAGGTCATCCTCCGGGTTGCTGTTGAGAGTGCCGCACAGGCCCTCTGTGTTGTTCCATAGCAGGACTGAACCTTCCACTAAGATGATATCCTGCAAAAGGGATATTTTGATATAAATGGTGAATTTTGGTGGATGATATCAAAGTAAGTAATTGCTAATATTCTTCTTCTTCGTCGCTACACTCTTGCCAGAGTGGTCGTGGTCGTCACACCAGGTCCGGTGGCAAGTCTCACAATCCGTCGCCATTCCTCCCGCACTGCAGCCTTTCTTGTGCACTCGAATTTTATTGCTAATATTAAATGCTACTATCGCAGCTGGTGTCAGTTTAAGTAGCGCTAAAATAAGATACGAGAGAATATTCTTCTCTGCATGGTTAAAGAAAAAAGTGTGAGAGAAACAGGCGTTCTAATAGGATAGTCGGGGTGCGAAGCCCTGAGGCGCAAAATTAAATCTGTTTTAATTTTAGGATCATGTTGCCTGTTTGCCTCCACGGCTACACGACGGATCAATCTTTAAAAACACCTAATTTAATGCAAATGTATCTCAGAACGGAACTATTCCCACATCTCGTTCCCACCGTTGCAACTCCTGTGTAGCCAGGATCTACAGCTTCATCGCCATAAAAAACCCAACCAATAAAGGTCAAGTTTATCCCGGGGGAAAGTTAAACTGTCATTGGAACCGCAACGAAATGTATCTCAGAAGTGGCAAAATCACTAATTTTAAAATTTCGAAGCCGGGATCGGGATGAGGCGCTTGGTGCTGCGGATCGACAAGCTGCTGTCTTCTATATTATATTTAAAGTCCATCTTACGTTGGTGTCCCACTTGAGTGACTTGGTGACTAAATTGACGACGACATAGGCCCAGAACAGACGGTGAAACGCAACTGCAACGAAACTGCAACTTTCTGATGATTCTTATGAATGAAACTGAAACTGAAAGTTTCAAACTGGTCGCGTCATGTGTGGTCTCTCAACGGACGCTATGGCAGAAACTTAGGTGCAACTCAAAAGTAACTAGCAGTTGCAGTTTCGTTGCAGTTGCGTTTCACCGTCTATTCTGGGCCATAGTCAGCCGGCATGGCTACACGGATGCCTGGTAGCGACGCCGGGATCAGGATGAGGCGCTTGGTGCTGCGGAACGATACGCTGCCGTCTTCTATATTATATTAAAGTCCATCTTACATTGGTGTCCCACTATTTAACTTACGTTGGTGTCCCACTTGAGCGCCAGGCCGGCGGCGTCCAGATTGACGACGACGTAGTCGGCGGGCATGGCTACTCGAATACCTGGTAGCGACGCCGGAATCGGGATGAGGCGCTTGGTGCTACGGAACGACACGCTGCCGTCTTCTGCAGGACAATAAAATTCAGTTATTAAAGAGTTCGTTCGTTCGTTTCAGCCAAATTATGTCCACTGCTGGACAAAGGCCTCCTCCCCAAAGAATTTCCATAACGACCGGTCTTGCGCTGCCCGCATTCAGGTCCACACTAAGTTTTCCGGCCCGTGGTACTCGAGAAAGTTTCTGCCCCAGCGGTCATCAGCTCTGCGATCTATGTGCCCCACCCACTGCCTCTTTATTTTAGCCATTCTGCGGGTTATGATGGTCATTATGTTTTCCTGACTCGCTGTTTCAATCACGCAGGGAAACTCCGAGCATAGAACGTAGTATTGTCATATTAAATTACTAAACTACCTACTTAAACATAATTAATTAACTAAAGATTTGAATCGATATCTGACTGCTGCAGCTTCTGAAATATGAACCTTATCTCTGGTACAGTCAAAACTTACAATCGGTCAATACCACTTTTGAATGCAAAAAATAGTCAAAAGTGATTTTGACTGATGCCCATGGTCAATATCACTTTGGACTGATTTTTCCAATCAAAAGTGGTTTTGACCAAAGGCGTTAGTTAAAATCACTTTTTTTGATCAATTTGAAAAGTTTTGACCGTCAAAACTCATTTGACTGTAACATCTCTAACCAACTGGGTTACTTTCGCTTACCCGGATGCATAGACAGGGTATAGGACTTCTCCTCCAAGTAGATGGTGATCTCCGATGGGCAGTAAGCGCGCGCGCACGCGCCGGGCCGCACCGCCACCGTGTATTTGTGTTCAAGCGCGTCGCGGACCAGAATGTGCTGGCATTGCGATTTGAAGCTACGGGGAAGGTGTTAGGGGTGGTTTTTAATGAGGGCTATCGTTTTTATACTCAACAGTTGGCACCCCTGGCGATTGACAGAACCTTACTCTACAGTGGCGCCATCTTGATGAGTGCAAATGCGACAGTCCTCCTACCACTTTCGCGCTCAACAGTTGGCGCCACTGTCTTCGCTACTAGCAAGTGAAAGGACCTTACTCTACAGTGGCGCCAACTGGTGAGCGCTAAAACGATAGCCCTCATTGTAAATAGTGTGCATATTATTTTCTCATCAATGAGGGTTTTCGCTAACGAAAAATCCGCCAGATGGCAATACGTAGACGCGAGGTCCAAATGCTGCATGTTTGGTTATTTTTGACATGACATTGACAGATATGTCAAAATCCACCATTCCACCAATCACGCAGCAATCAGACCCCACATCCACGTCCCGCCATCTAGCGGATCTTTCATTCGCGAAAACCCTCATTGATGTGTTTCAGATTATCTTTCAGGGGGCGTAGTGTGAGTTTACATCAAGCGTATTCGGTAGCGAATGCGTCAAAAAATCTATGAATGAAGATTTTAGTTCTTGAAAGTATCCGCTAGGGGCGCCGCGCTGTACAATCCGTCATACATTTAATGTATTTTTTACAAATACAAATATTTTATTTATGCAAACACACCGTTTACGCATACACTTTCAAATACAATTGGTAACAACTCGATATCGAATACGTTTAAACTCACACTAAGTCCCCAGATAACGTTTTTACAACGCGTCGAAAAAAACGCTTACCTTAGAGCATAAATACGAAAATTTGTGAGAGGATGAAGAATTATTACTTCCAATCAAAAATTTACGGGTTGTTAACTTGCATAAAACGTGAATAAATTGAACAGATCAGCATTATATTTTAAAGATAGAAATAGATTTTTATTATTTAAAACCTACCTATAAATCTTTCCATCAAAGGTCTTATAATGCTCGCCGGCCCAGGTCAAGCAAGTGCCCCCTTTAGGAGTCAAGTCCTGCACCACCATTTGCGTAGAATGTCCACCAGAGCCGTACGAGCCACCTCCCGACCCGTGCGACCCTTGGCCGAAGGTCGCAGACCCGTGGTGCGACCCGTAGGACCCTTCCGACCCACCGCTAGCACCGCCGTGGGTGTGACTTGAGGATGACCAGCTGTGGCTTTCGTAGTGGCTCTACAATAGAAATTAAGATATTTTAATACGAAATTCTAACGCTTAATTGCAGATTTACGATTGAAGAAATATTCTCCAATGAATCTAAGCTTTTTTAAGTCTACGTGGCTTTAGGAATAAAATTGACAAAATTACTTACGCTGTAGTTTGTAGGAGTAACGACAAAGACGTCATCTGAAACAACGAATAATCACTTACATAAAGTATTGAACGCATACCAAATAGTACAACACATTGAAAATCAAATTTCTTCCTAGCATTAAGCCTAGGCGCCAACCACCGACTTTCTGTCGGCCGATAGTAGGGCCCGATTATCATTGTATGAAATCGAAATCGGAGTAATGTGCACACTTCCATACATGCTCATACTGATTAACTGTCCAACTAAAATATCGGCCTACTAAAAGTCGGTGGTCTGCGCTTAGGCTAAGATTAATTAACCTTCTAACTAACAACTAAATTTAATTAAACTTCTAACAGTCGCCGAAGCAACTGTACCCGCCGAAACGAATCAAAGAAAGGCTGACAAACTTACTGAAGACACAGTGCGGTATTGGCTGCGGCTGGTACACTCCAGTCGAGTACAGGCAAGTGTACAGTTCCGCTCGCGGTGAACTGTACGTAGATCCACAAGGACAGTTCAACTTGCACGAGAACTTCTAACAGTCGCCGAAGCAACTGTACCCGCCGAAACGAATCNACTGACAATTAGTATGGTCCTGATACAACGTATTTTCTCTAAAGATAAGAATGTGAACCACCAGCGACATAAGACAGCCTTCTTTCGCATAACCGCTCACCAGTTGGCACCACTGGCACACCTGTGCTGTATTGTGTCACTCACCACACTCCTTGACGTTGTAGCGCCACTGCAGCAGCACGCCGCTCTTGGCGCAGGCCATGGCGTAGTCGCCGAGCAGCGGGCACAGGCAGCGCGCCGCGTCGCCGCCGCACGCGCACATGTCGTACAGGCACGCTTCGTAGTGCGCCTCCACGTCCACGAACCAATGGCACTCTATGGAATAACCAATCAATTTAGTGTCAGTCACATCACATCACATCCCTTAGCAGGCTCTAGTTTGAAACCCCCGAGAAAAACGCAAACGTGGTCGCCCCAAACAAGCTGCGGCGCACTGTAGCAGACGAGGAGAAGAAAATCGGCAAGACCTGGAGCGAGATCAAACGCGAAGCTAAAGACCGAACGCGATGGAGGACTGTTGTGGACGCCCTCTGCCCCATCTAGGGGACATGGGACATTAACGGCCGAATACTGAAACGCCATTTAAATATTTGACGGCTTCTCAAATAGTTAAGCAGCTCCTAAACTTACATTTCGCATACTCAAAACAATATCTGAGCAGTTCTCAATTTTTAAGCACCTCTCAAATTAAGTTGCACTCAAACGCCACTTAAATGAATTTTCGCATACTAAAACGCCATTCAACGCTAAGCATTACTCAAACAACTGTCAAATACGCAGTGCGGTATCGGCTGCGGCTGGTACACCCCGGTCGAGTACAGGCAAGTGTCAGTTCCGCTCGCGGTGAACTGTACGTAGATCCAGAAGGACAGTTCAGCTTGTACGAGAACTTCTTACAGTCGTCTAAGCAACTGTACCTCCTGAAATGGATCAAAGAAAGACAAACTTACTGAAGACACAGTGCGGTATCGGCTGCGGCTGGTACACCCCGGTCGAGTACAGGCAAGTGTCAGTTCCGCTCGTGGTGAACTGTACGTAGATCAAGAAGGACAGTTCAACTTGCAAGAGAACTTCTCGCCGTCACCAAAGCAACTGTACCCGCTGAAATGGATCAATGAAATACAAACTTTCTGAAGACACAGTGCGGTATCGGCTGCGGCTGGTACACCCCGGTCGAGTACAGGCAAGTGTACAGTTCTGCTCGCGGTGAACTGTACGTAGATCCAGAAGGACAGTTCAGCTTGCACGAGAATTTCTCGCCGTCACCGAAACAACTGTACCCGCTGAAACGAATCAAAGAAAGGCTGACAAACTTACTGAAAACGCAGTGTGGTATCGGCTGTGGTTGGTACACCCCGGTCGAGTACAGGCAAGTATACAGTTCCGCTCGCGGTGAACTGTACGTAGAGCCTGAAGGACAGTTCAGCTTGCACGAGAACTTCTAACAGTCGCCGAAGCAACTGTACCCGCTGAAATGGATCAATGAAATACAAACTTACTGAAGACACAGTGCGGTATCGGCTGCGGCTGGTACACTCCGGTCGAGTACAGGCAAGTGTACAGTTCCGCTCGCGGTGAACTGTACGTAGAGCCTGAAGGACAGTTCAGCTTGCACGAGAACTTCTCGCCGTCGCCGAAGCAACTGTACCCGCCGTTGAAAGCCAGCTTTCGCACGTCACACACGCTGGCAGCTGGAAGCAGAAAAACAGTTCAGATTTTTGTCACTGTTAAAAACACTGGTCTTTGTGTACTTATTTAAAACACTCATTAGGTACATGACCTAAGCGATGAATTAAGTTAACTCATCTAAAATGCCTGAATCTGTTAATATTGAATGAAGACCCGAACCTTCGACTTTATTCTGGAGTTGGAGTTTTTGTAGACTCACCATACTGGCACTGCGGTCCCCTAAAGTCCTCGGCACACTGGCAGGTGTTGAGCGCAAGACACACGCCTCCGTTCTCACAAGGCGGCGTGCATTCCGGCAGGCAGTCCGGTATAGAACCCAGAACTTTCAACACCAATGTCTGAAGTGGGATTTTTGTAAACTCACCATACTGGCACTGCGGTCCTCTAAAGTCTTCGGCACACTGGCAGGTGTTGAGAGCAAGACACACGCCCCCGTTCTCACAAGGCGGCGTGCATTCCGGCTGGCAGTCCGGTATGGTTGTGAAGTCAGCGCGCGTCGGCTGCCACTGGCCTTCGTTGCACCGCATGTTGGCAACAGTGGACCCGTCGATAAACTTGTGGCCCGCCATGCATTTTATTGTGCAGAAACTGGAAATTATTCTCGTGTTACAATGCTGCAATGTGATGAATTTTGGATAAATAAGAAGCTTTTTATCGCAGGGTTATAAGACAAAAATAGCAAAGAATTTGTAGCAAAAAGTTGATTTCACATTGTACAGAGGTACATTGTACAGACGTAGTTGTAATAGGCTAGTTTGCAACAAAAATTTAAGTAACAGCGTATTGATCTAAAGGCTGTAAGTGGCTGTATTGTCAGAGTTGGGAAGACTCTTGACAAGAATTCTCTCTCCCTGGCAGGTGTAACTAGTTGTTGTTTAAAAAAATCATAGAAAGCTAAGGTCTCTTTAAAATGTCTAATTTGAAATAGCTCTTAGACCGCTTTCACATCAGGCGATAGAAACGCGACAGTAGCACGGCAGCGGCGCTTTTAGAATGTGAAGGCAGACATCTGCTGTCATATAGCATGCAATTATTTATCAGCAGGGCGCCTATCGCGCGTTTGTCGCGCTGCTAAAGTCGCCAAATGTGAAAACCCTTACTCAGAGGAGCAGTTCCTATGGGAGTTCATGGGCAGCGGCGGGTGCATCAGGCACGGCTTCTTCTCGAACTCGCAGTAGTTGCCGCTGTGTTGGCCGGGCCCTGCAGGTGTAACTGGTGGATGTTTAACAAAGTGTAGCCTTACTCCGAGGAGCAGTTCCTATGGGAGTTCATCGGCAGCGGCGGATGGACTAAACATGGCTTCTTCTCGAACTCGCAGTAGTTGTCGCTGTGTTGGCCGGGCCCTGCAGGTGTAACTGGTGGATGTTTAACAAAGTGTAGCCTTACTCCGAGGAGCAGCTCCTATGTGAGTTCATGGGCAGCGGCGGGTGGACTAAGCACGGCTTCTTCTCGAACTCGCAGTAGTTGNCCGGTCGAGTACAGGCAAGTATACAGTTCCGCTCGCGGTGAACTGTACGTAGATCCAGAAGGACAGTTCAGCTTGCACGAGAACTTCTCTCCGTCGCCGAAGCAACTGTACCCGCTAAAAAAGAAATGCTATCAAACTTACTGAAAACGCAGTGCGGTATCGGCTGTGGTTGGTACACCCCGGTCGAGTACAGGCAAGTATACAGTTCCGCTCGCGGTGAACTGTACGTAGAGCCTGAAGGACAGTTCAGCTTGCACGAGAACTTCTCGCCGTCGCCGAAACAACTGTACCCGCCGTTGAAAGCCAGCTTTCGCACGTCGCACACGCTGGCAGCTGGAAGCAGAAAAACAGTTCAGATTTTTGTCACTATTAGAAAAAACTGTTTTTGTGTTATTTAAAATTACTAATATTTAAAACACTCATAAGGTACATGCGATGAATTAAGCTAACTCTTTTAAAATGCTTGAATCTGTTAATGCAGGATGGAGCTCAGAACCTTGTATTCTTCTTAGTTCTTGTAGACTCATACTATTTTACTTGTTACCTAAAGTCCTCGGAACACTAGCAGTTGTGAGACACACGCCTCCATTCTCTCGCAGCGGCGTGCACTCGGGTTGGCAGTTCAGGATGGAACTCAGAGCCTTCAACTATAAAATCTGGGTTGAGGGTTTTAAAGACTCACCATACTGGCACTGAGGTCCTCTAAAGTCTTCGGCACAATGGCAGGTGTTGAGCGCGAGACACTCGCCTCCATTTTCACAGGGCGGCGTGCACTCGTTTTGGCAGTTCGGGATGGAGCCCCGAACCTTCGACTCTAGTCTGAAGTGGGAGTTTTTGTAGACTCACCATACTGGCACTGCGGTCCCCTAAAGTCTTCGGCACACTGGCAGGTGTTGAGAGCAAGACACACGCCCCCGTTCTCACAAGGCGGCGTGCATTCCGGCTGGCAGTCCGGTATGGTTGTGAAGTCAGCGCGCGTCGGCTGCCACTGGCCTTCGTTGCACCGCATGTTGGCAACAGTGGACCCGTCGATGAACTTGTGGCCCGCCATGCATTTTATTGTGCAGAAACTGGAAATTATTCTCTTGTTACAATGTGATGAGTAAAAATAAAAAGCTTTTGTCGCAGGGTTATAAGACAAAAATAGCATAGAATTTGTAGCAAAAAGTTGATTTGACATTGTACAGACGTAGTTGTAATAGGCTAGTTTGCAACAAAAATGTAACAGCGTATTGATCTAAAGGCTGTAAGTGGTTGTATTGGCAGAGTTGGGAAGACTCTTGAATTCTCTCTCCCTGACAGGTGTAACTAGTTGCTGTTTAAAAAAGTAATAGAAAGCTGTCTAAGGTCTCTTTATAATGTCTAATTTGAAATAGCCCTTGGACCGCTTTCATATTAGGCGTCAGAAGCTCGACAGTAGCACGGCAGCGGCGCTTTTAGAATGTGAAGGCAGACATCTGCTGTCATATGGCATGAAATTATCAGCAGGGCGCATGTCGCGCGTTTGTCGCGCTGCTAAAGTCGCCTAAATGTGAAAACTCTTACTCCGAGGAGCAGTTCCTATGGGAGTTCATGGGCAGCAGCGGATGGACTAAACATGGCTTCTTCTCGAACTCGCAGTAGTTGCCGCTGTGTTGGCCGGGCCCTGCAGGTGTAACTGGTGGATGTTTAACAAAGTGTAGCCTTACTCCGAGGAGCAGTTCCTATGTGAATTCATCGGCAGCGGCGGATGGACTAAACATGGCTTCTTCTCGAACTCGCAGTAGTTGCCGTGGAAGTTGGCCGGGCACTGGCAGGTGTTCGTCGCCACGCAGATGCCGTTGTTCTTGCATTCGGGGAAGCATTTTGCTGTTAAAAGAACATGAAGAATTAAATCTTGATTGTACCTAGAGTTAAGACTTGCCACTAGCTAGCTTTGGATACTTTGCTGTTGCTGTTCAAATGAACATAAAATATTGTATTCAGAATCTATTACTGGAAATCCATGCAGCATTATCAGATGTTCCCGAAATCCCGATATCCAGGATGTACTGGACTTTGAATCGTCTATTGTTATTTTAAACCTATTCCAGTTAGTTTTAACATTGACCTGCATATTGCACTATCTGCGCGTGCGCCAGTCCCGCGCTATCAGCCGTTTAGGGTTATATGGGTCGCTCGTAGGTGTGGGAAGGTCGCTATGTGCCCTGCGAGTCGCATGAACGTTGAATTTGCTCTACGCATTATTTACGCGTTTTCCTCAAACGCAGATTATGAGTTTCAAAACTTTTGGAGAATGAAACTGAAAAAATATAATCAGTCTATTCTAGATAGATTGGAAGCATTATAATTATTCTTCTAACTTCAAGTTAGAAGAAAACATTATAATTTTGTTGTTGAAAAACTTAATACTCAACAATATTACTACTAATTTAAATAAAATTAATTAATAACGATCGTGTTTTCGCCAGATTTCAGCATTTCATTTAAGTCAATACGAAAATTCCTTAAAAAATTGAGTAAGTACATAGGCTAAATCAGGCTAAACTTGAAACATAGGCTAATTTCGAAAACAGAACATTAAAATAATGGTGAAAAAGTTACAGCTCATTACCTAACTCATCCAGTTAACATAACTATACCTTCATACGTTAGTTTCTCATTTATTTAAATAAAAATTCGCACATTCAAAGCTTCATCCGGCAACGGATTTGCACTGGTTTCCGCTGGGGCAGATAGCTCGGCCTACGCCAACGATAATGTTGACTACTGACTACTAATATTATCTAGGTAATAAACTAGTATTATATTATCTGTGGTAATAATTTAGAAACCACACAAATAACATTCATCAGGACGTAGGTGGTGTTTACGATGCATCCTAATCGCTTTTTCGGAAAGTTTGCTATCAGAGGAAAACAAAAACATAATAAATAATTTTGTTTAATTAGATCTCTTGCCACATAATAATAACAAAGAAAAATATGAGCCCAGTAGGTATTTGGCTACACTTTCCAGTGTATGTAGTATTGTTATTCAGATAGTCTACCATGGCAATCCTAGACAAAGTAACAATCGGGATAGTTTTAACTTCGAAATCGCTAGATTGGTAGGTATTGAAATACCTAAGCCCGGCCAAAGAGCGGGAATCGTTGAATTCTTGCAAAATAATGAGGTTACCTACTCGTTAATTAATAATTTGATTAAATAATTTGATAAATGAAACAGCATCAAACATTAAAATCCGTGTTGCTGTAGGTACATGTATGTCTATGCAATCGAGTACTAAATAATGATTTAGGTAAGTAGGTACATTAAATTTTATAGAATATTGAAACTCACCCTGGTAGGGCCGATTGGCACTGTTCTGGAAGTCCTGGTATGAAGGCCTGAAACATACAAAATTTAATGAAAACGAAGAATTACAAATATTACAATACATAATAGGTAGCCTAGAAGACNAGCTTCTGTATAAGGCCTATAGTGAGGGGCCACGTTTCCGAGCCATAAGTCTACCTACCTACCTTGAATTACCTAAGCCCGGCTAAAGAGCGGGAATCGTTGACTTCTTGCAAAATAATGAGGTTACTCGTTATTTAATAATTTGATTGAATAATTTGATAAATGAAACAGCATCAAACATCAAAATCCCTGTTTTTTGCTGTACATAATATGTATGTCTATGCAATTTTTTGCTGTACATAATATGTATGTCTATGCAATCGAGTGCTAAATAATGATTTAGGTAAGTACATTAAATTTTATAGAATATTGAAACTCACCCTGGTAGGGCCGATTGGCACTGTTCTGGAAATCCTGGTATGAAGGCCTGAAACATACAACATTTAATGAAAACGAAGAATTTTATTACAAATATTACAATACATAATTACTAGATNTAGAAGACAGTTTTCAGCAAAATCTGGAGAAACCTTCAGTTATTTTCATAAGTGGATAATTTTGGGAGTAAAAAAATAGCGCGCCATTTTTTGTAACATTTTTAAGGTAAAGTAAAAAAATGCAGCAAAGGAAACAACGAACAAACTTATTTTGATAACATAAAATATTCTTACAAATATTTACGCTGCATAATACGTTCAAAAATATTTAATCCAAAAATAAGATATGTTAAATTATTAAGAGACTGATAGAATATTAATACCAACCCATGGCCATAACCGTAGCTGGTGTCCCAAGTCTTTTTCTCTCCGTATGGGGAATAACCATTTTTGGTCCCAGCGTATCCAGTTTTGGTGCCAGCATATCCCGTTTTCGTGCCAGCATAACCGGTTTTGGTGCCAGGATATCCAGTTTTAGTACCCGCATAACCAGTCTTAGTGCCAGAATAACCGGTTTTTGTACCGGAGTACCCGGTTTTAGAGAACTGTTGATGTTTTAAATATGCAGGCACGTATGCCGGAGCCCCCACATCCGATTGCCTGCAATAGAATCAACAACAGATGATACGACTTTGATAGATGAGATGATACCTGCCTATCGGTTATTTATCATTTCATTATAAATGTTGTGATCAAGATTTTCAAATTTGAAAAATAAACAAGTACCTATGTAAGTAAATCATTAGAATTTTCAGCCGACAAAATGTTTGATCGATTTATGTAAAGTAGGTACCTACAGATTATAGTTTATTCACGTTTAACTTATCTTAATCATAAATGAGTAAATACTCACGCATCTGGAAATTCTCCATATCCTCCACTGCACAAACATATACCACACAGGAAAACTAAACTATGTATAACAAATCGCATTTTATGAAACTGATTTCATAGCTATTTCATACGAATTAATAAAATATAAAAATCTGTTGCTTGCTCTGGTGCCGCAAGCTGCACTGAATCCTAAACAGTTTGATGATATTATGTTATCTCTTGTTATTATATAAATCAGGAAATTCCGAGCTATAACATCCTCCCAGGCCAACGGATGTGGCTGCAAACACTGATTTAGGTGCCTAATTTTTGTTTAAAAATTGCACAGATAAAATCCCGTAGTAAGACTTTCAAAATATTTCCTTGGCCCATTAGGAGAAAAGGCGGGAAACCACAAATGTCAAAGCCACGGACGTAAAAACTTCGCAAAAACTTTTGAATTAATTCTTACATTATTTAATTTTTACAATGCCACCAAGAAAGCGCAATAAAACGGGAAAAATAGCTCAGGTAAAGACTAACATAAGTATGATAAATGTTAACTCATTTCCCTAAAAAATAAATTTTATTAGTCACGTGTAGTATTCCAGTGTCAAAATTGTTAAATCCCATTATTATCGCTATATTATTATCAGTTCTTTTAGTAACCACATGCAACAAAATTGTTTAAATAATAATATGTTAGAGACTATCTATTCGACCTTAATATTTTATTGAATGTCTATCCGCCTTAAACATTTAAGTATCAAAAGTCATAATATTGCTGATAATCTTTGGCTGAATAAATTTATTAATTTCAGAAAAAGCACATTACTATGAGGCTCATGGCTATCAGTCTGAAAGTGGACAAGTATATTTACAAAAACAAAGTTATAACTGTTCCTCAAGCTCAAATGTATTTGGATGAAGTGGCGTCTATCAAGTCATTATGTTTGGGAGATGCGCGATCTCTACAGGTAAGAATATTGGCATATTAAGTATTGTTTAATTTGTTTTAGCAAGATGTAATTTTAACCAAAGTTCCTATGAAAACTGTTAATTAAACGTTCACAATGTCTTTTAAACTTATAAGCGCTCTCTTTACCATCTATTCAGTCCAAGAGTTATTTGTTATTCAAACAACTTTGAGACACATAGCACCGTAGTGAAAATGAGTTGAGAACACGTGGTTTCCATAACATTTGAATTTAAAAACTTTATAATATTCTTACAGGTTTGCGAAAAGCTTACACGTTGTATGAAAGGCATTATTGAAGAGCAGGAAACTAATTATGTTTTACATCACCAATCTAGTGATGTTTTAGAAGACACAGAAACTTTTATGGACAGTCATCATTCCAATAATCTACACTCCACATCACCTGTTTACTCCTTGGCAGACGACGATTTAACTGAAATGGATGAAGAAATACCCATACCAAATAATATTCAAGTTGAAACAAACAATGGCGATTATGATAAAGAAGTTACTAATAAAGAAATCAACGTTGGTTCAAAGAAAACAGTCCGTTTTTGTATTAACGACGAAACAAATGCTGAACATGCTTATGAGCAAGCAGTTCTTGTAGCCCCTAATAACCTCATCAATACAGATTCTATTGAAGATAATAATTCTCGTAATCTTAACAACGATGTGGACAACGAACTGATAGATGTAATAGTGGACTTGACTTTAGATGATACTCAACAAGTCACTGAAGATTTGTGTTCCCAAAGTATACTTAAAAATATGAATGTAACTGAAACATCAAATAGTTTCAATCAAGATTTTGTGCATGATACTTGTGGCCAGGATATGGCAGAATTTGATAGAGAAATCATAAACTTAATAGAACCTGAAGCCCAAAATAACGAACACACTCAATGTACTGTATCGCACGAAATAAATACACCAACGCAAAAACATTTTGAAATAACAAAGAAAACTTTACACGGTAAACTTCCTAAGACTGCTGAAACTTTTGAAAATCTTAAAACAAATGTAGTTACAATTCAACTATCAAAGCCTGTAAAAGAACAAAGGAAAAAGATCTCCAAAAAGAAGAAAGATAAAGAAAATAAACCCAAAACGAGACGTAAAATGTCCAAGCCTAAATTTAATACCAATACCACAAAACCTGATGAAGGTGTTAGAGATAGTGCTTTGGCAAGTCATCCTGAGGTAGCATTTCAAGTTACTCAAAAAGCCAATGATGAATTTAACATCAATAAAATTGGCTCAAATATCAAAGAAAATAGTGGAATAAACTTTGTTGGAGATGTAAACAAACATTTTGCCACACACACCAATATCAATCAAATTGTTGGACCAAATATTTGCAACAATAACATGAGAAATAATGATTCGAACGCAATAAAATTGCCAAGTATAGTGTGTATTGAAGATCTGTCTTGGGTAGAAAACTTAACTTACGTTAGAGAAATACATTTAGACGAGTATGATGCCACTTTGAAACCTTACTCTGAATCTTTTTGGGATAATTGTGAGCTACCGGATAACTGGGATGGTCGAGATTTTGATTAACAATTTGATGCGGAATTGTTCGATACGCTATTTACATATTTTTAAAATATTGTTAAGATTTAATTCACAATAAAAACAACTAAATTATATTGATTTATTAATTTATTGATAGTTTAAGATAGTAAAGACAAAATTTATTTAATGGTATCAATATTGACAAGAATCAAAGTATAAATAAACTTTTACATAAAAGCAACAAACGTGATATAATATTATCTCATTACATGTATTTATATTTCAACTGATATCAATGTTTAGGTACCTACATTTAAGTGATTAAATCACTAGCAAAAAAATAACTTAAGTTTTATTACATAAAACTATAACTGTAGCCCTTTAAAATCTAGGCGTCTGATATAGGCACTCGCTAACAAAACGAGAAATAAAAAGCCATCAATATACCAGAAGAATACCATATTGTGGTGAAGTGTTGATATTAGTATCATTTTTGAAAAAAAACTGTTTAGTAAAATTTTGATTTTAACTAAGATTTTTATTTATTAGAAGTAGGCCTATAACAATATTTTTTCAGAAAGTTGCATAATAATTACACAAACAATGAATGTAGGTAGTTTTCCATCTTTATTATGCTGTATTTTTTTTGCTTTTCATGATTCTAGGTTTGCTAGCAGAAAAATAATAACAAATATACTGGTCATCACAAAAATCGGCCCACCTACGTTTTACACGAAACTCGTTTCTACTGACACAATCCCTACCCCAACAATATTGGTGTTATTTAAAAGCCCAATAAATATCCTTAAAGAAAAACACATTTAATTTCTTAATAAACGATTAACATAAACGCGATATACAATAAATGTGACTTGAAAAAATACCTCACTTTGGGCTCACCTCTGGGATCAATTAGACCAATTTTTATGGTTATAAAACCAAATAATGATCTCACGTGTCATCTTTAACAGATAGATAGCGATTAATCCCAACTTAACAGTTTTATAGCCATAAAAGTTGGCTCAAGCGTAACTTCCTATTTTTTGAAGAAGTGACTCTGGATTCTTCTACAGACACATTTTTGGGGTAAAAACCTTTCCTTTAATTAAATGAAGTTTAGAACTAGGCTTTTAAATGGTGCCAATATTGGTGAGAAGTGGGGATGCATACGTTTGAAAGTGCTTGTCGCGGGAGGGTCGATTTTTGTGATGACCAGTGTAGTAAAGTTGAAAAAAATATACCATTCGGATTTATAAAAACGCAATAACTACAAAATTATATTTTATAATCTCCTTATTTCTTGCTCAAGAACTAATTAGAAAAGATCTTGCAAGCAACAGGGTTGTCGACACCACAATAGCTTGCAAAAGTTGTCAACTGACTAGATGCTGGAATTAGATTTACAGGGTGTTAGGTAAATGGGTATATGAGCCGACCCTAGCCCATGTTAACATAGGCATATAAATGGTATGGTGAAGTCAGAAATTTGATATCATGTTTTTTTTTCATACAAAATAAATTTTATAAAATCCGATTTGTATGAAAATTAAAATAATTAAAATGAAGATATCAATTTTCTGACTTCACTATAACATTTATATGACCATGTTAACATGGGCTAGTGTCGGCTCATATACCCATTTACCTAACACCCTGTATAAGTATGTAGTTCCAATATAAAGTAGAGGAATGTAGTTAGTTGATGGACGGAGGTTCAGTTATGATCTTTATAGGTAAGTACTCCATTCCAATCCAAAGCTATATGAATATTAAAGTAACTAGGTATTTGAAATAAGTAAATGATATCGACATCCCTATTCTTGTGTGCATTACATGAATGCATGAGACAGTCAAAGTAAATATACACATTTTCTAGCGATTTTCTCTACCGAGATCATACTTGAAACTGAAACTTCAACATAACAACAGTTTATCACTACATTATGCAAAAGCTACAATTCCCTCTAATAAATACTCTCATGTTAATAACATTTAATGCATAATTCGAATTGCCCTTGTCATAATTGGAAATATTTGCGCCGCTAACATATTGCGCTATATCATAGTATTGGTAACGATAAGTCGTATCAACATCGCAGAACTAAAATACATATATATGCTTTATTAACATAGTAACTGGCCTAATATTATGTTAGTATTAAGGTGGTCACTTACTTGGTGCATTCGCATGTAACAAAATAATTGAGCATGACACCACTGATTCCTTTAATTAAAAATACAACAAGAAGGGTTACAACAGTGATTACTCATTTGGCGGTAACTAGGTAGCATTAGTGTCTAAATGAAATTTAAGATACAAATTCATCTAGTGAGTAATCACCTTTATAATAAGAATATATTCATTAATAGTAGTATATAAGTATATAAGTAGTATATCCGTTAAGCTAGCACCCATAACACAAGCATATTAATTGCTTACTTTGGGGCTAGATGGCGCTGTGTGAGATTGTCCAAAGATATTTATTATTATTATTTATTTATTATTAATGCTAATAAAATAACAAAATTAAATTATCATTCTCAACATAATGGTAAGTTTTTTGTTGTTGAAATTATTATTATTAACTTTATCTACTATTCTATAACAATTCCAATAGTTGTAGATAGGTGCTATTTAAAACAATAATTATAGTTAGTAATTATTATTAATAACTTCAAACACATACATAATTCTGTAAGAATGTTATCTGCAAGTCACTTGCAATGTTTCCGCTTTCAAAATTTTAAATAAACCCACTATAGATACTTCTATAGGTACTTAATATACATTAACACAATATAAAAATGACTAATTTATGAGTTCATCCTATAATCACAAACAAATGTACACACAACATTATTTAAACAGTGTGAACATTTTCAAAACGATATCTTTTAGCAACAATGCTTAGTTTTTTACACGCCAGCAATGATTAAAACGTTGAATTATGTAGTCAAGGGTATTAATTTTCAATTAATTCTATGATTTTACATTTTTTATTATTGCATTATGAGACAAGCCCATAACTCAATCACTAGTGTCGAAGATATTTAATATTAAGAGTTTTCGATGTACATATTTTAAATATTATACATTTAAATAAGGCCAAGTTAATCAGTTTGTTTGCATTTAACTAGCAAACTAATTGATGAATGCAATAAAAAAAAATCAACAAAACTTTGCAAAAAGTCATTTCGTGGCTCTTGACTTGACGCACACAAATATACAAAATGCTAATGCGGTCATATAGACCCATTGTAGAAAGCGATTTTTTCTAATTTATACATTTGAGTACATAACATTTTTCTTCGCCATTACTCATAATAATACTCTTCTTAACGCCATTTCAAAATCCCACATTTTGAATCAACAGGATCTGCCTTAGAAGCTGAACTTTCCTCTGACTTTAAAGAAACCCATGCTGGTCTTGTTATGCAGCAAGGAGGTGAGGCCCACATAGCTCTGTATGACTATGGGGGAGTGGTGTATGCAGCAAGCAGAGGAGGGCATCGCCTCGATGGCCCTCTGTAGTTTTTGAGCAAAGATCTCCATGTCGTATGTCGCTTTATCTTCTAATTCCCCGTCTGTAAAAGATTCACAAATATTAATTGAAAAATGCTGGTATTTAGATTTTTGTACCATCTAAATGAGATTTATGTAACTATGTTTCACGATTTTTGGAAGCTTTAGTTAGAATGTTACAAGCAGTACTTGTTTGATTTTATTGGGTCAAAAACTACTCTTCTTTATAGTCGGATAGCATAGTTAGTCAGGGCAAGAATGAGTGATAGATTATTTCACTTCACTTTGTATCATTTTACTGTGATAAAAATTGCACATGACCTGTGAAACTAACGCCCGTATTCACAAACATTACTGGTCTCACAGTGCGCGTGGACGCACAGGGTGACTCACGAACCAATCACAGAGCTCTATTCAACGCTATGCGTTAGATTTGCAAGCATCGTTTGTGAATACGGGTTTCAGAATTTTCCGAGACCTACAATATCAGTTGCAGATAAAGTAAAATTAAACCTTTATGCCAAAATATGGGGTGAGACGCGAAGGTGATGAAAGGCACGTCCTGGCTGAAGGGGTTCCACACCGTCTTCAGGGGCAGCTCCTCGCCCTTGTTCCACATCAGCCGCACGCCGCGAAGGTTGCGCTCCCTACAACGTGATACACGACTTTTTCAAATGCTGTATTGCTTGAAGAGGCCGATTTACATTTAGAGTGAAGACTTGGATATCTTCTAAAGCCTGGTCCGTGAGCACACTCACTGCGGGCGCGCGTCGCACAGTCGCGACAGCAATATAATTACGCGCGAGCGATAAGGATGGGTAGCTTGGGGTCATTGGACAAAATTCTACGTGCTCACGGACCAGGCTTTAAAAGACTTTTCGCATTTGATTTTCGTCTTTCTTAGACTGAGTTGCACCACCTAACTTTGACGATAACCGGTGTTTTTTGTATGGAGTTTGACAGATTTTTAACGTTTGTTAAAGTTAAAGTAAGATGCTGCAACCCAGCCTAAATGTAAATCGGCCTAGGCCTACTGGCGTTGTCTACTTGCGAAGAAGCGAAGGCGTCAAATTCTAACATTCTAAATGAAACGGGCTTGTCTCTAGTAATTCAATTGGTCTGTAAATGTAGGCTTAAATCAATTTTTAGCTAGCACCTTGATTAGTTCTACAGCAGCCTTTTCAGCAGGTTTAAACTGCAACAGTATACATTATATTTATAATTCTAACTAGCTGACCCGGCGAACTTCGTACCGCCTTAGCGTAGAGATTTTCTTAATATTTTTTTCCGTAAGAACCATCCTTGGACTTCCACAAACATTTAAAAAAAAGAATTATCGAAATCGGTTCAGCCGTTCACACGTGATGCCGTGACAAACGAGAGAGCGAAACGGGTTTCATTTTTATATATATAGACTACAAGCTTAAAATAAATACATTTAAGTAAAATAATGTTAGTCAGCCACACAGCACCATAGAGCAAATATCACATCACATATTATTATTCTGCGATTATTACAATATTGCTAGATTTTAAAACAGAAATTGCCTTCATCATGACTTATTATCAAAGTATATACTCCTAAATCCTAATAACTATAACATCAAAAAATATGTAGCAAGAAATTGTATTATACAGTTGTATAATTATTCTATTTTGCATTTTGATCAACTCTCTAATTGCGAGCAATAAAAGTTTAACCAAAAGCATTCAGAAGAAGCATTCTAAATCTATGAGCTTAAAAACAATGATAGTATCGTAACATACCTTCACGTGCAGTTAGACAAGGAGCATGCTATGAGGGTTAGAACTGTTAGGCTGAGCACCAGCGGATCCCAAGGCTTAATCAGTGACCGTTTGGAATGTTAAGTGCATTTATTACAGTTAGGCCCAGAACAGACGGTGAAACGAACTGCAACGAAACTGCAACTTTGTGATGATTCTTATGAATGAAACTGAAACTGAAAGTTTCAAACTGGTCGCGTCATGTGTGGTATCTCAACGGACGCTATGGCAGAAACTTAGATGCAACTCAAAAGTAACTACTAGTTGCAGTTTCGTTGCAGTTGCGTTTCACCGTCTGTTCTAGGCCTTAGGTGAAGATATGAAGCGGTCAGAATGAGTGTAAAATGTGGGCGTCTACCGCAACTCAAAGTACCTAGGTTCAAAATACTTGGGATCGAACAGTTTACTCTCCCCGTCGGCGTTGCTCGGGCGCCGGCACAGGCGGTCTATGACGCAGTCCTTCACGACCGTCGTCACTCCTGTCGCGAGCCCGTTAAGGCGACTGCGTGAGGGATTTACTACCTATTAGTTTCTTTAGTTAACATTTTATTTATTATCTACATATTAGAAACTTTAAATTTTTTTAAATCCACTTGGGTGGAAAAACCAGTTTTAGAACCACTTTTATATTCAGTTAACCAGTTCTATATCAAAACTGGTGTTAGCGACGCNAGCTACGGCCCTGGTTCATCCTATAATCACAAACAATAATGTTCACACAACATTATTTAAACAGTGTGAACATTTTCAAAACGATATCTTTTGGCAACAATGCTTAGTTTTTTACACGTCAGCAATGATTGAAACGTTGAATTTAATGTAGTCAAGGGTGTTAATTTTCAGTTAATTCTATCATTTTACATTTTTCATTATTGCATTATGAGACAAGCCCATAACTCAATGACTAGTGTTGAAGATATTTAATATTAAGAGTTTTCGATGTACATATTTTAAATATTACACATTTAAATAAGGCCAAGTTAATCAGATTGTTTGCATTCTACTTATTTGAGTTTAGCTAGCAAACTAATTGGTGAATCTTGGATGAATAAACCATTATTTATTCGTCCAAGTGGTGAATGCAAAAATTAACAAAAACTTTGCAAAAAGTCATTTCATGGCTCTTGACTTGACGCACACAAATATACAAAATGCTAATGCGGTCATATAGACCTATTGTAGAAAGCGAATTTTCTAATTTATACATTTGAGTACATAACATTTTTTTTGCTTCGCCATTACTCATAATAATACTCTTCTTAACGCCATTTCAAAATCCCACATTTTGCATCATCAGGATCTTAGAAGCTGAACTTTCCTCTGACTTTAAAGAATCCCATGCTGGTCTTGTTATGCAGCAAGGAGGTGAGGCCCACATAGCTCTGTATGACTATGGGGGAGTGGTGTATGCAGCAAGCAGAGGAGGGCATTGCCTCGATGGCCCTCTGCAGTTTTTGAGCAAAGATCTCCATGTCGTATGTCGCTTTATCTTCTAATTCTCCGTCTGTAAAAGATACACAATATTAATTGAAAAATGCTGGTATTTGGATTTTTGTACCATCTAAATGAGGTTCATGTAATTAGGTTTCACGATTTTTGGAAGCTTTAGTTAGAATGTTACAAGCAGTACTTGTTTGATTTTATTGGGTCAAAAACTACTCTTCTTTATAGTCGGATAACATAGTTAGTCAGGGCAAGAATGAGTGATAGATTATTTCACTTCACTTTGTATCATTTTACTGTGATAAAAATTGCAAATGACCTGTGAAACTGATGCCCGTTTTCACCATCAATCCCAAATTTTCAAGTGACCCCTATGAAAACAAAACTACTGTTATGTGTTACTATAGGGGTCAGTTAAAAATTAGGGATTGATGGTGAAAACGGGCATGAGTGTTTCAGAATTTTCCAGAGACAATATTAGTTGCAGATAAAGACAAAAATAGGACCTTTATGCCAAAATATGGGGTGAGACGCGAAGGTGATGAAAGGCACGTCCTGGCTGAAGGGGTTCCACACCGTCTTCAGGGGCAGCTCCTCGCCCTTGTTCCACATCAGCCTCACGCCGCGAAGGTTGCGCTCCCTACAACGTGATACACGACTTTTTCAAATGCTGTATTGCTTGAAGAGGCCGATTTACATTTAGAGTGAAAACATATTTTCTAAAAGACTTTTCGCATTTGATTTTCGTCTTTCTTAGACTGAGTTGCACCACCTAACTTTGACGATAACCGGTGTTTTTTGTATGGAGTTTGACAGATTTTTGACGTTTGTTAAAGTTAAAGTAAGATGCTGCAACCCAGCCTTAAATGTAAATCGGCCTAGGCCTACTGGCGTTGTCTACTTGCGAAGAAGCGAAGGCGTCAAATTCTAACATTCTAAATGAAACAGGCTTGTCTTCATTCAAATGAAGACCTCTCTAATATTAGGTATTAGGCTTAAATCAATTTTTAGCTGGCACCTTGATTAGTTCTACAGCAGCCTTTTCAGCAGGTTTAAACTGCAATAGTATACATTTATAATTCTAACTACAAGCTTATAATAAACACATTTAAGTAAAATAATGTTAGTCAGCCACACAGCACCATAGAGCAAATATCACATCACATATTCTGCGATTATTACAATATTGCTAGATTTTAAAACAGAAATTGCCTTCATCATGACTTATTATCAAAGTATATACTCCTAAATCCTAATAACTATAACATCAAAAAATATGTAGCAAGAAATTGTATTAAACAGTTGTAAAATTATTCTATTTTGCATTTTGATCAACTCTCTAATTGCGAGCAATAAAAGTTTAACAAAAAACATTCAGAAGAAGCATTCTAAATCTATAAGCTTAAAAACAATGATAGTATCGTAACATACCTTCACGTGCAGTTAGACAAGAGCATGCTATGGGGGTTAGAACTGTTAGGCTGAGCACCAGCAGATCACAAGGCTAAATCAGTGACCGTTTGGAATGTTAAGTGCATTTATTACAGTTAGGCCCAGAACAGACGGTGAAACGCAACTACAACGAAACTGCAACTTTGTGATGATTCTGATGAATGAAACTGAAAGTTTCAAACTGGTCGCGTCATGTGTGGTCTCTCAACGGACGCTATGGCAGAAACTTAGATGCAACTCAAAAGTAACTAGCAGTTGCAGTTTCGTTGCAGTTGCGTTTCACCGTCTGTTCTAGGCCTTGGGTGAAGATATGAAGCGGTCAGAATGAGTGTAAAATGTGGGCGTCTACCGCAACTCAAAGTACCTAGGTTCAAAATACTTGGGATCGAACAGTTTACTCTCCCCGTCGGCGTTGCTCGGGCGCCGGCACAGGCGGTCTATGACGCAGTCCTTCACGACCGTCGTCACTCCTGTCGCGAGCCCGTTAAGGCGACTGCGTGAGGGATTTACTACCTATTAGTTTCTTTAGTTAACATTTTATTTATTATCTACATATTAGAAACTTTTTTAAATTTTCAAATCCACTTGGGTGGAAAAACCAGTTTTAGAACCACTTTTATATTCAGTTAACCAGTTCTATATCAAAACTGGATTATACAACTCGGACATTCTGAACAATGTTTGTTTATTTGGTGAAGAAGCAAAAGGTATATTGTTATTTCCAAATTGTTCCATCTAGACAATTATTAAATGAACATATTTTTAAAATGTTTAAAGGAAGAAAATTCAACTTATTACAATATTCTATTAAAACTTAATGCAAGACTAAGTTCAAAAACAAACAACATAAAACAAGAAAACAAAATTACAACAAATAAATGATTTGATTAGAATTTCACAAGGAAGAAAGGTTTAGAATTAGTAATTTATTTTATATTAGACATGTAAAAACTTACGGCACTAGTGAGGATGGTGGGTACACAAGCTCTCCAATGACTATTGTGTCCAGGTCATCGAGGTAGGTCTTCTTGAAGTCGAGCTGTTTCATCGCTATAAAGTCGTACTTTATAGTCATCACCAGTCTGGATGTGAGGATGACAATCCTCTCCTTTTCGTTGTCCCATAATGTTATCCTTTAAGAAACAATTATTTATTATTGCATTTCAGTTACTCTCAGCTTCTTTTAATAAACTTTGTGACAATAATTAATACTTTGTCTTTTCACCTAATACTTTGTTTGAGATTTATGAGTCTTGATAATCTAAAATCTAACACAACAAATGATACATAAATATTTCTTTAAGTACAATAAATTAGATAGGTACCCATTTAAGATTTATTACTTACTCTGTTAGTAACCAAGCACCCAGATATTCTCCATCTTCAGGGAAGAGCAAGCCTGTGATGCATTCTTGTATGGCGTTCTCTACAACGCCTCGGCGGAATGTGAAGAAGTCTTTGATGTTCTCTCGATCAAAGGGCACGTCATAACGAGGATATACCGGCTGCGCAGCCTCAGGCTCCGCTGACGCCGATGCGCCATTTGTTTGCTCTCCTGCTCTAGCATCTTGGCAGAAAAGAAAAAATATAGAAAGTTGGTTTGGCTATTAATTGTACCGAAAAAATTCCACTATAATTAAGATGTTTGTTTTCAATACTGCTTTTTCATCTACTTTCGGTAATGAACATCAGACGACTCAATAAAATCTAGCCGTTAATTAGCGAGTAATTGAGAGATAAGGGAAAGCCCAATTAATTTTTACATTGTGATGACATCGAATTTTGTTCAGAAATAATATCTTAAATTTATTATTACCTGCAAAAGATGACGTAGATGAAGATAGGGAGTCCGCACCTGATAATACTGAACTTGGGTTTGCGTTGGATTTCACTCTGGTGCTGCTAGAATCATCCGTGGGATTGTTTTGAACGCGGCCCGTGGTGTCCGGCGCAATATTGTCTGTAGTCAACTGCAGAGTGCCCCCACGAAATTCCAAATCGTCATCCAATAACTCACTCATTCTGTTTTCTAAAATGTCGAGTATTTATTTATCGTTAAACTATTTTTCTATTATTTTAC